AATTTCGTTTAGGTTATGAAGTACTGAAAATTCTCGGCAAAGGCTCGTTCGGTCTCGTCGTTAAATGTCACGATCATAAAACTGGTCAACAAGTGGCATTAAAGATCATCCGTAATGAAAAGCGTTTTCATCGACAAGCGCAAGAAGAAATCCGTATATTGGAACATTTACGCAAACAAGATCGTGACAACACGTTCAATATCATTCATCTATTTGAGTGGTTTCAATTTCGCAATCATATTTGTATTACATTCGAACTATTATCGATGAACTTATACGAGTAAAGTCAAGTTGCGAATATTGTTCATGTTGACGCTTCTTTTGTCTGAATAGATTGATTAAGAAGAATCGCTTTCAAGGCTTTAGTTTACAACTTGTACGAAAATTTGCACATAGTATCTTACAATGTCTGGATGCATTGTATCGAAATAAAATCATTCACTGCGGTAAACGAATTTGCTTGTGCGAAAAACAATCATTTCCGTTTGATTCATTTAGATCTAAAACCTGAAAATATTCTATTAAAACAACAAGGTCGAAGTGGAATTAAAGGTAGGAGCAATTGCATTGGTTTGTTTTCTATGTTTAAGTTTGATTTTTCAATGTCGATGTTTAGTAATTGATTTCGGTTCAAGTTGCTTTGAACATCAACGTGTTTATACATATATTCAATCGAGATTTTATCGAGCACCTGAAGTCATCCTTGGAGCAAAATATGGTTTGTTATTTGCTTTCATTGTCACATTAATAAACGATCGAGTTCGTTTCGTTTTTTGCTTCTCGTAGGTTTACCGATTGATATGTGGAGTTTGGGTTGTATCCTAAGTGAATTATTAACTGGCATGCCATTGTTTCCCGGCGAAGACGAAGCTGATCAATTAAGTTGCATCATTGAAGTTATTGGAATGCCTAGTCAAAAAGTAATTGATGCTTCGAAACGTGCAAGAAATTTCATTAGTTCCAAAGGACACCCTCGATATTGTACAGTAACTACACTACCCGATGGAACAAGTGTTTTACAAGGCGGTAATGATTTGACCTTTGCGAGTCCATTCGTTTGTGAAATTGTTCAAAACAACCTTCGTGTTTAGGTCGTTCAAAACGTGGTAAACAGCGTGGACCACCTGGTAGTAGGGATTGGTCACAAGCTCTGAAGAATTGCGATGATCCATTGTTTATCGATTTTCTTAAACGTTGTCTCGAATGGGATCCTCAAACAAGACTGACACCAGCACAAGCCTTAAGGTAAATTCAGATAACGATGTTTACTTTCGTCCAATATACACTCGAATATTGAATTTCTCTTTGAATACAACGTATCTCTGAATATCGAATGCTTTCAAATACTTGAATAAGAAATCAATGAAGCAATCTCTAGTTTAATATTCAGAGAACTATGCAAGCATGACAATTGTTTGAGATAATCTTTCTCCTTCTCTCTATTTAGGCATTCTTGGCTTCGTCGTCGTTTACCCAAACCCCCCTCCGACGCTCCACCGCCCAATCGTCCATCAGCTGTACTTCGTCATCATCATTTACACGCTGCTTCACCGCAACAAACGACTTCACTAGTCGATACAACTACTAATGGTGGTATAACGAATAGCAGCTCTACTATTAATAATGGTAGTTATACTACTCATCATTACCAACCACATCAACAGTTATACAACACTACGAGTAATTCGAATTTGAAAAACTACTCTTCCACAAATGATTTCAGTCGACATCAAAAGTTGCCACATATAAGTGGTGTTCATCTGAACACTACTCACGACTAATCATCCAAACGACCGATGTTCATTCAATTCGCTCCTCCTCCTTCATCTTCCTCGTGTGATCGTTTTCTTTCTACCATTCACGTTGGTTTCTTTCGCTCTTCCTTCCTTCCTTGGTTTCATCGCTCCCTAATTTTATTTTTGTTTTTATTTGTTTGTTTTCTATTTTGCACGTTAAAGGTGTTCTTTTTTCCACCATAATTGTCAGATCTCACTCTTGTTTCTTTTCACCAACCGTCCATTGATACAAGAAAAAAGAAACCTTATTCTCCTGAATCACAGATGACTTGCAAACCCGTGTCAAGTGATCCTAGCAATCACAAGCGATTGAATCATTTGTCTGTGAATGAGAATGAAAAATATCAGTTGGAATCACCCTTGATAGATCTATTTTTCTTTTCTCATCACCATCNTCCACCATAATTGTCAGATCTCACTCTTGTTTCTTTTCACCAACCGTCCATTGATACAAGAAAAAAGAAACCTTATTCTCCTGAATCACAGATGACTTGCAAACCCGTGTCAAGTGATCCTAGCAATCACAAGCGATTGAATCATTTGTCTGTGAATGAGAATGAAAAATATCAGTTGGAATCACTCTTGATAGATCTATTTTTCTTTTCTCATCACCATCATTTCTTCTTTCTCCATCGAACTACATATTCACAGACATTATTTTCTTCTCGCACATTTTCCAACAAAGTGTAATTCTATTTTTTGTTGCCACACCCATTGCGAAAATCAACAACGTCAACGTCATCATCTCTGTGCTTTCATATCAAACCAATAAAACGATTTGTGTGATAAAATTTCGTGTCAGTGCGTGCGTTTTGGTTTTCTTTTCTTTGAACATAACGAAACAAACAAGAAGGACAAAACGCTTTTGTCTCTGTGTATTTCTTTTGTTTATTGTCATTCGAAACACTTTTTCTAATTACAATCAAGAAATCGAAGAACATTCTGTTAAATCTGATTCTCATTTGTAGATTGCTTTGCTTTTTCGCGGAAATAAAGATGCAATCACCATCGTTTCTGGCTCCATCAAGAGAATTGTCACGTCCGGGAACATCATTGCAGATCCATGCACGTCGAACCGAAGCACGTGATGCAAAGAAAGCTAAAGAACTCGTTCAAACATATACAACTGATGTTTTCGGACGGATTACCCGAGAAGAAAACATTTCATCGATTTTGTAAGAAAATTTCGGCGTGACTTTCAGAAACTATATTTTTCTTTGTAACTGAAAAAGGGAACATGCAATATTTGCATTGACGCTTGACGATAACGACGATGAAGTGTATGCCTTAGCTGCGTTCTATGACTATCCAAATGTTCATGGCGTTCCGTCGAATGATTGGGAAGATAAATGGTGGAAGAAGAATTCGTTTGATAAAACTGCGGATACGTCGAAAGTCAATGCGATTAATACACTTTTCTTGCATTTATTTGTCGCGCATCCAGACTTTTCTGAAGGTTGTGCTGAAGAAATACTCAATGTGACTTTTCGAGCGTTACCCGAAGTCAATCAAATTCTTCTTTGCTTACCTCCACAAGTGACACCAGGTTTGTTTCCGTGGAAAATGATCCAGCAGAGGATATGATGAATGTCGATCATTTGTATAGAGGGTGCATTGGAGAAATATTTCAAGCCAATTCAAACCGAACGAGTGGATCAGACTTGTGCTGTTCTCGCTTGTTATCGAAAAGATCATTTTCCAGCATTGTTCATTCGAACAGCGCGGTAAAGACGAATGAAAAGCGCATATATGAAAACCGATTGCTTCATTTAGAGTGCAAGACAATGACGATCTTGCTCCATTATTCAATCAGTACAATGAAATTCTTCGACAAACGTATGGAGACTTTTTCGTTGCTGAATTAATCGAATCACAAGATGCAGATAATAAAGCATTGGTGGCAGAAGTAAGATTTCATTTATTCAATATAAGAAATTATGTTCCCATTACGAATTTAGTACAACGGTTATGCTATTGGTTTCATGAGCATATCGAAAGAAGTGAATGTCGATGTACTCAACGAAATCTATGTTCTCTCAGCCTTCCATGGATTACGTTCATCCCATCCAGATGACAAATGGAATCATCAAATGACCGAAGAAACCGACGGTCATCTACCGAATTCCGATGCATATGTACACGGAGAAGTCGCCTCAAATTATGATGCAAGTACTCATTTAAAATCAAATCCAGTACTGGAAGCGATGCAGCGAGCGGCCGGCGCAGGAGACAATACTACTGAACCATTGCACCAATTATCTAATAATGCAACAGCATCGTCTGATTCGAATAAAACTAATAAGCAAGTAAAAGCAAACGAAGGTCAACTTGATCATCATAGTTTAACAGCATCGGATTATGCAACAACACCATTGAATAAATCAACCGAAGATTTAAGCAATTTGAACGAGTATGCATCGAAGTTAAACAAATTATATTCGTTAATTTCCTTCTGATAGGGATGCTAATACGGAGAATGACAATAATGATGCTGTTCTGGAAATTGCTGATACATCTGCGCAACGAGCAAAGATGACAAAAGCCCAGGTAGATCATACACGCTTTCGATTGATATCAGTGGCGTTTGTGAATATTTCTATTTTAGTTAGCTGCAGAAGATCCATCGAAATTCATCAAGCCGAAATTGATTAGTCGCACGCCAAACTTCTTCGGTAAAGAGAAAGCATTTGCTATTCAACTATTTTGCATCAGCGAAGTTTACGAAAAACGGTAAATCCATATTAAAACGTACGGATCACAATTCCTTCTTCATACTCTTCCATCATAGATCCTTCGATTTCTTACAAAAAGCGTTCGACATGTTTCCTGATCGCGATTATTGCATCATATCCATTCCACAGATGGTACCGGAGTTTCCACTTCTACAATCATTCGTGGTACGTTAAACTTTCCATTGACAATGTAGGCTTTTTCCTATGGAAATCTTTCTAGCGCATTCCACCACGTGTCCATTTACCCAACATTCAAGAGTTGTATTTATTCCACCGTGCTGGTCTATTACGTGACATTTCCATCGAACGTGCGGCAGAAAAACATCTCGATACAGTCAAACGATTAACTGAACATATTTCAGCTCGCGATAAAATCATCAATGATTTTCTCGATGCCGTACGAAGTCGTAAACGAAGTGTAAGTTTCCATTTCGAGCGAAACAACCGCAGATAAGATCGATACTTTCAGGATACAAGTGCTTTTCTCGATGCCTATATTGTCAATGTTGCTAATCAAACAAGCGCTGTTGTCATTTTCAGTAATGAAGAAGTACGTATGTCATTGGTGTTTCAACGGAAATCTTCTACACAATTTCGTGTAGAATATCGATTATCTTCGTTCGCAATACAATGTCGAAGATTTTGTTTATTTTAACTTGCACAAACGTAGCGATCATATACATTTGTACCATTTCGTAATCAATCCAATCTTCGCTTATATGACGCGCTTATTCTTGAAAGAAATCCTACGCAAAATTAATAAAACATGTGTTTACTATCCGATTTTCCCACGTTATGCCGAAGATGAAGTAGGGTGTCGTATTCTCATTTGAACTCTTCGCTCATGTGGATTACTCTAGATGCTCAAACATCATTCACCAACTTATGCAATTCATTATTTGGTTCCTGTACGCCCGCGTCGCTTAGTTCAGTACAATCTGGAAGAATTGAAAATGAATGCACCAACAGATTGTGTTCTTGGTCGATTACCGAACTTATCTCATAATCCATTTGCATTAGCAATGACAGCTAGGAAACTCCTGACGGAAACAAAAGTATGTATTTCACACAACGGTATATGTATACGACTCGCTTTGTCTTTGTAGATAACAATTAATGCACGCATTGTCATTGTCGGTGCGTCCACCGTCGGTGAGTGGAGTCATTTTCATTATCATTCTTATCTCATTTGAACCTTTTCATAGGATTGGCTGTTTTGGATGCTTTGATTATGTGGTAAGACTTGTTCAATTTGTTTTGCACTGCATGCCGCCTATTCGTTTTGTTCTATAGCCCTTACCTTCGTTTCAACAATTTAACACTGGTTTCGCCACATGGCATGCCAGGTGAATTTCCCCCATCGTCTACTCGAAATTTATTCTTGCCATCAAAGTAATTCGTGAAACGATTCAACACTACGATTCACTCTTTTCTCTATCGTAGCTTGGAATACGAAACTGAAGAGTTAAGTCGGATCTCACTTCGATCATACGTTAATATCATCTGTGCGAAATTAGTTAGTCTCAATCGACCAATGAAATTGGCTATACTTGATGATGACACTGTTCTACCTTACGATCACTTACTTTTATGTACAGGCACTCAATATTATGTCACAGCACCATTGAAAACGATTGTTGTCAATCCATTAAACAAAAAAGTTGTGCCACCTAAAACCGATCGTATCTTACTTGGTATATCAATACTGAAGATGATGTTTATTAGTGAAATCATCTTGCTTTGTGTTTTGTAGAACCGGCTCCACCAAATGTCCTAACTATTAATGATGAATTCGATGCTGCCATGGTTCTTAAATGGCTTCGATTGAATCATCATACCGAACGTAATAGAAATATGACGTTGAGATAAAGCTTCTAACCTACTTTTTCCTTTTTTAAAGATTCGATTTTAATCTATGGAGCAACACTTGAATCGTATTGTTGCGTCAACGCCTTGATAGCCAATGGTATCCCATCGAATGCGATCAAACTTATCATTCCACCTGAACATCAACACGTAAGATCTTTCATGTATTTTGTCCTTCAGTAATTTTGATGTGTTAGATTAACATATTCAATGATCCAACCGTACTAAAAAATGTTCAAGAAGAATTGCGAGAATTGAACATTCAAATCTATGAAGACTATATGATGGATGAATGGTGTAGTCATGATATGATTGATGCTGAACATCCGATTGAACGTGTCATATTTCGTCCACATGACAAGAAGCAAGGCAAAGATCTCAACTTGAAATGCACGGTAATGCCAATTCAGTTGTGATCTTCTTCTCACCGTTCGATTTCTAGACGTTGTTTTGTTTTGTTAACAAACAAGTGAATTACGACGCATTTGTTGCTATCAATCACAGTTCGCTGGTGTTCGATGGTCGACTTGTTATCGACGAACACGATCGTACTAATGATAAACGAATCTATGCTGGTGGATCTTTAACTAAATTCAAACGAGGTTATTATCGCGACGAATGGTCACACACTTGTTTCAATTCCAAAGAAGTTGGAAATATGGTTTGTTGAATATTGCTACTTTTTTCTCTAATGAATCAGTCGCGTGTTTAGCTTGCCAATGAATTATTTGCACAATATGATCCAATATTCGTTCCACCCAAAACACCATCGGGCAAACATCCACTTATTCCGTTATATAAGAAACCCAAACGCATTTATGCTGTTTTACCAGGTTCGGTTGTCTGTCTAACATAGATGAATATTCACCTTGAGATCGACATTTGTCGTAATTGGGATAATCTTATCGGCAAATTGAATGAGATATTAGTGGATTTCGAGGAATACTGAAACAAACTCTTGCAGGACAAAAATTAATCCTACGTTTTCATTACAGGGAATCTTCATTGTTTACAAATTTGTCAAACTGGTCCGACGGTTCCCTATGAAACTGCGAAGAAAATCGAGAATTATGTAAGCCTCTGATAAGCGTATTGAATTCACACAGATTTGCAATATCTTCTAGGGCACCGATATCATAACGAACCATCAAAACAACTATTTCCGTCTTCATATCGATTCGATTGGTATCGTCCGTACTATTGTTTGTCTCCATCATGAAGTAAGATTGATAGTTCTTGAATTCATCGGAATCAATGTCTATTTTTCATCGACTAGAAAATCGATGTGTATAATCTCTCGCAATTGTATGGTTTACATGAACGATTACTCAATAATCTCCGACAACGTTATAACGAAGGTCTAATAACTGATCTGTTCACGTATGATGTTCAAATGCTACTTATTAGTTTGTGTTTTTCATGGATATTTCTGTTTGATTCAGATATTTTCAAGAAAACTGGACTGTTGCTTTGTTTCACGATCGTTTTACTGATGTTCGAAACGAGATTCGAGATATTCTACGAAAAACTCTAGTATGTCGAATATCTATGATGATCTGTCATCATTGCAGAAAATCTCTTTCTAGAAAAACAGTGATAATTCCATTGTCGGATCACTCGAGACCTCCATAGACCAAGATATTATAGTAAAACCTGTTTTTGTTCTTTCAAACTCTAAACACTTGCTTTATTTCTTCTCAGTTCAGTGAAGATCAAAAAAGAGCAATGATTGGAAGATTCCGCAATGAAGGATACAAGAATGAAATCGAAGAGATTATTTTAAGATATTTGAATTATAATCAATATCATTTACCCATGTACGCAAGACCAACTTGAATCTCAAATGGGCGATCTAGCTATTTCAAAGACTCAGCTGAATGATTTCTTTTTTGAATTAATTTATCTTTATCAATGAAATGAATAAATGAATGAATGAATGAAAAGGATAGTTTTTTCTTTCGAATCGATCATGTCATCGAATCAACTGAGAACTGTATTAAGAAAAAAGAAATTGTTATCCTTTATTTGACCAAACCGAAAAACAAACAAACCGTTATCATAGATGTTAATGAAATCAAAAGAAAAATCAGTGAATTATCAAGATCATTGGATGGAGATTATCAGGAAAAGAAGGAAAATTGATAAACTTGATTGAGCTGAACAATCACGTTTAAATTGGTGGCATTTTCTTGACGTTCGTATCCGAATCCGTGAGTAAAACAATCGGCGGGCGTTTTCGTAGAATATAAGTATAAATGATTGCAGCTAGGATGGAGCCAGACAGTGGACCAAACCAGTATATCCAATGATTTTCCCATGTATTTGTCATTGTTGCCGGGCCAAATGATCGAGCTGGATTCATTGAACCACCAGTATAGGGTCCGCCGAATAAAGCACCAGTGATGACTGCTAAACCGACTGCTAAAGCTTTCGAACCGCCAATATCTTCTCGGTGTTTATCGCAGATTGCATGTACTGTATAACATAGAACAAATGTAATGATGCATTCAATTATCACGGCTTGTGAAATGGTTACATCTGGAGCAATGGTAGTTAAACCTAAATTTCCTTGTGCATGCACCGGTGCTAATAACGACAGTAAGAAAGAGCCACTGATGGCACCGAGTAATTGAACGCCGACATAAGCTAATGCTCGTACGATATCGATTTCACAAGCGACTAAGAACGAGACTGTGACAGCTGGATTAATATGAGCACCACTCATATGACCGAATGCGACGACGAGAGTAGCAACAGCAAATCCGCCAGCTAAAGCGCCATGTAGATCAGGTACGGCTTTCGATGTGATCGGTAATCCAGTGGATGTACATATTAATGTCAGTAGCATTGTACCGATGTATTCACTGAGTAGAGCTTGATAAAATGCTAGTGTTCTTATTTGTGAGATACAAAGTGCTTCTCCAGTGAATACTGCTCTGTTCAAACGAGTTGGTGGGCACCGAAAGATGTACTGGCCACTTGTTGTATGATAATCACAACATGTTTTGGCAACAGTTGATGAAGCACGAGGCCGTTGACGATTATCAAGGTTCGGTAAACCGCCATTGCTTCGAATTGGATCTTGCTTGTCAATTGCTTCTTGAATAAAAGGAGATAGGACTTCCATTGGAGTCGTGTGACAATCAACAGACGGCGATGGATGAAAACTCATGGTTGAGATTTAACTGAATAGGATATCTAAAGTATAGAAGGAAAGGTGAAATACGATTATTTATGAATTTCTGCAAGACCAATTGCATCATAATCTGAAAAATTCGGTGTGATTCATAGAGATCTGATTATTCATCAAGATAGGAAGTGTTTGATAGTTAACCTAGTTGACTGCTTGTTAGTAAAAACGTCCCATTTCCTCCCATATCCAAATTGAGACACCCATAAATTTTCTCGAATAAAATGGAGACAACTAAATTATTTCTAATATTTATCTTCCAGTACAAAATACAGTGATGCCCGTATGCACATAAATATTTTAACGTTAATTTCACACCTGACTGCGATGATAAATCAAAAATATGATAAAAAGAACGATTCGTCTAAACACAGTGTCTTCTTACTTATTTTCTATTTGTTTTTCTTTATGCCGACTGCTTAACCAAAGAAATTCTATGCAACATCAATCACTTTCTTCTTCTCGCAATCCATCAAACACTTACATGAAATGAAAGAATTCTTAGACAACATCTCAAGGCAATCTTATGCATTTTCATCAACCGGCTCCTGTTTTTTTCTTCAATGAATTTGCCTATGTTTATTACAGAAATTAAACCAGAACAACACAAACAGGTTTTTTTCATCATCATGATGATCAATGACACAGAGAAGCAACATACGATGCATTTGTGTTTGTATTTTGTTTCTTACAAACGAATCTCTCCTGATTTTTTGTTTCACCGTACAATGATAGAGACATGAAAGCAACCTCAACGTTCTACACAAATCGAAAAATAAACTTCGCCAACAGCACATGTAATGACTGAAATGAGCTTTTAAATGCACTTTACGCTAGAAATTTTTTGCGGACGAACCACATATCACCTACTTTCATTCTAATCAATCATATCGAGTTGTTGTGTTTGATTGTCAACAACTATTCGATGTCGAAATGAATAAATAGAGAGAAAACAACGTGTCCTTCGTTTCTGCTTCTCTCTCGTCAATTTATATAATTATGATACACTTAATAATGAGCGTCGATTCATGCAGTCATACCTTTCATGACGATATATGTTGTCGTGTCTTCAACCAAATTAGAGGTATGGCGTGAGAAAATAAAAATGAGTCAACGAAAAAAGAAAGAAAATGCCTGATGACTTCGCTGATTAGAAATCTTCTAGAAATCATGATATTTGACTGACTTTTCGAAGAGGAAAGCAAATGATCTCGATAAATATAATTGCCGTATGATTGCTTAGAGAAAAACGCTTTTCTTCGTTCAGATGATTTAGCTTAGCATATGGGGGGAAAATCGACGCTTGTCACAAATATTTTGTCAATTAGGAAATTGGATGTATTCGACGCTGATATCGTGTATTCATCTAAGCAATTATAATTGATCATTCTAAACTGTAAAGTACTACTGCGTAGAGCGATGTCACCTGAAGAGACAAACAAGCTTATGCCTCCCGATACGAATCTCCGAACGAAAAGCAAATGCGGCCTTGAAAATTTGAGTTGTAAACATGTTTTATGATCTTGGAGTACTGATAAGCTTTTGGATATTCTTGGAGTGGTATCGACTGTTGAATTTTGTGGAGAAAACGTTCTCGGTTCAACAAAGGACGGCATCTACCGCATGGTTGTATCTATTCATTTATCCAATGGCTAATCACATCCATAAAAGAAGAAGAAAGGATTGACAGAAAAAAGAGAAAAACCCGAAAAAAACGATCATTTGTCAATGTAGTTGCCAAGTATTTAGAAACAAAAACTCATAAAAATCTTTTGTTTTGTTCAACTAAATGTCAATTTTGACCAAATCAGACAGGTTTGTATTCTTCAAACATGATGTTTGACTATCAGCAAATATTTTCGTTTGCTTGCTACTTTTAGTTGACTAAATCAAGTAAAAAATATGTCCCTGACTTCAATGAATAGCAATGATTTTTGTTTATTATTAAATATCGATTTGAATTCACGGCGAATTCATCGATTACTTGAACGTCGTTTCAAAAGTAATTCGAATAAACATAGTTTTGACTTTAAATCGTTCGCACCGGAACAACCGTCGAACAATGCGAAAGTGTCACGTTCATTTCTTCGTTTTCAACCGAAATTAACTTCCCCAAACGATTCAGAAGAATACATGTCATCAGATTCCGATTGCTCATCGAATGATGATCAGGAAGATGAAGTATACGAAACGGAAGTATCGTCAAGCAACGACGATGATCATCTCAACAAACTTGCCGAATGGCAACCGGAAAAGTTTCAATCTGTTATCGAAACAGATACTGACGAGGAGGAAGATCAAGAGGAAAACGATATTACTCAGCAAACAATCACGGCAGAAGATAATCAAATGGATGTCTCATCAGGTTTGACGATGATTAACTGAAAATCATATTGTTATTTTGGTTTTATCCTAGAACCTCCGGCTTCATCCAGTCAAGTTGAAGATCTACTGGTAACGTACATTCATAGACCTGTGAAAGCTGAACCGATGAGCTACGACGAAGGAATATTTGATAAACCTCCTCAATTGGACGGTCATGTAGATTTGCCGTTGATTACATCGTCTAATCAATCGAATAATAACGATACTGATAGAAGATTAAGCGAAATCATCGCTAAGGTAGCCGAAAGAACATGTGCTCAAAAGAAAACCATTCAAATACATCAAATCCCGCCCAAACCATGTCGAATCCGTCGGATAGACGAACCGAGAAGAAAATCTTCAAATCCTACCCCGAAGAAACCTCGAACAAGTCCCCAGAAACCCGATCGATCTAAAACACAGTTACATCGCGATGGAAAAATTGCGAAAAAGCCTATCTCGCGCCTACTCAATACAGTAATGAAGAACAACGGCGACGCTATTCGAGAACGCGATACACGCGTACCAACAGTACCCGCCAGCCATCACGTAAATAACTAGACGAAACGAGGAACTCTTGAGAAAAAAATCGTTTTCCTTGCTTTCAGAAACCATCTCGTACTTTATCGGTTAACGGCGTACAATCGACGGCCGGCAAACAGCTAATTGACGATGGCCGGCGTTCACGTAAGCTCCGGTTGTCACTGTTTGTGTATCTTTCACTGTTGAACTGACTCTTGTAGAACAACAGAAAATTCCTCCTGTCTTACAAAAACAAAAAAGGGTTCCGGATCGTCCTCAAAAATCATCACAACAAAAGGAGAAATCAGCTACTGATCATATGAGATTAGCACAGCGACGATTGAATCATTTACACGAACGAGAACAACACTCAACACCTTCTTCATCGAAAGAAAAAATCAAACAAATGTCACGAACATCGAAAGTATGTCATCAATCAAATGGCATCCATACATTCATTTTTCGTCTTTGTTCTCTAGCCAATCATTCAAAGATCAGTATCCGTACCGAAAAGTGCAAACTTGAATGTTCTTAACCAGCAAAAAATGAAAACTGAAATAAAGAAATTGAAACATTTAAGCACAGAACCATCGAAACTCGAATGTGGTGCAAAGGAAAACATACTCTCAAAAACGAAAGCAAAGACAGTGAATAATACTGATGGTAAGACGATCATTCAATCATGTTGTCTTCGATTATTTCATACATTTTAGATATTAACAAGCAACAATCAATTTTCGAATTCTTGGCTTCGTCCATGGATTCCACTAAGACAATGACTAAGAGACCTTCCACCTATTTCGACGATTGTATCGTCATCGACGATGATAGTGAGGATGAAACTGAACATAACCGAGCGATGATCGAAGATGACGAAATTCAAGAAATCGAACGGCAACAGTAAATATTCCAAATTTCGTCACTTGCATTACTTTCACGAGCGAATTTCGAAAATTTTAGATATTCAATCGCGTACGATCTTCACGCTCGTCAAAAACACCTCGATCATATTGTTCACACGCCCACCATGCATGTCAAATGGCTATTCAATCTTGAAAATCTCCTTCTCGATCACATACTGATCTGTCACGAGAACAATCGTTGTCCATGTACGAAATCCGCCGACAAATCCCACGCAATGACATGTCAAGATTCAGCCAATGCACCTGGTTACCATATCGATCCATCATTTATTTCGATTATAATTATAAATTTTATCAAAACGTTCCTTCTACGAAATTCGCCCACTGATCAACAAGAATTCTCGTTCGTTCAGTTTGGTATTACTTCACATCTACGCTATTTTCTACTGGATCTACCGACTTATATGCACAATGAAGAGCAAGACGTTGATGATACTTGCACGAAATGTCACCAGTATTCATTGATTATCAATATTCTGTTTGATTTATTATTTGATTTAATCGATTATGACCTGTGTGGTCGAAACGAAAAACTTAAGTATCGTTCGTCGTTGATCGAAGATGATTATTTTACTCGGTTTCTGCAATCGAAGATAACGAAAAAGAATCCATTTCATCGTATTAAATTGGTTATCTATTTTATCGAACTGCTTGGCTTGCATATGAACAAATGTCGCAAGAAAAAACAATTTCAGTTTAATCAGAACGAAAATGCTTTATTCCATTCTATTGAACAGTTCATTCGGCATATTATTTTCAGTATAAACAAGTAAATAAACAACCGAGTGTTTTTATATCGAGAAGTTGACCCTCACGATCGTTTTAGTATGATTAATGAACGCCTCTCGATCTGTTTCAATGTGATGGAATTGTGTCTACTATTTGCGAATGAAAGAACAACTCGAATCAGACAAGTAGGTTGTTAGAAAAGCATTCCGATGGATATTTCGTATGTTTATCTGTTTAGATGTCTTTGTTTTTGTCCGAATTATGTCAGCAAGATGTGAAATATGTAAATATGTTTCTATTCGATGAAAACTTATTAGTTGATATCCGTTTGTTGTTAACTAATGAATTGATTTCAAAGAAATTTCATCTGAAACTGATATCCGCCAACGAAATCAATCAGTTTTTCCAACATATTCAAGTTAGTCCGAGTCATTCGAAAAATAATTCAATTTTCAATATTTTGCTTCTTTTTAGGATACTTTGACCCGTAAAGAGGTAAGAGCCTTCGAAGACGCAAAAAAGTGCTGATAACGTGGATTTTTTTATCAACATCATCCTTATCTCTCTCTCTCTCGAGTGAAATCATCCTACAGAAGTTCTGTTTTTATAGGAGATCGATGAAAATGGATTGCTACTTTTCCGAAGTTTACTGAATTCCTATGCTGATCTAATTATCGGTAAGCCAATGTTTAATCTTGATGTTTATGCACACGAACGCTGCATATTTTTTTCTAGAAGTGAAAGCTATTTCCGAGATGTACTCAGATATTGTTAAACAGTCAGTGACACTACTTCACCATCACCTGGATCTGATATTTCGGAAATTAGTCGCAGTATCTTTCGATGATTTGGCTTATTTCAAGCAAACTGAATGCACACTGATCTTTTTTCGTTTGCTCAAGTGCAAATGGAATCATCTATGACTCATCAGATCGCTTGTTTTATTCTCTCTTCCGAAAATATAGTCAAATGTACATTTATTCTATCTCCACGCATGCCTTTGCCGGTGTCAGTTCTGTCTTCGCTTAATATATTCTCGAGACGTTTGTGTCTTTTGTTTGTTTTTTTTTCGTGTAAACAACGATGTACTAGTTTGCGAATAGTTTATGAGCATTTTCGTGCAAAATTTAGGCTAATCTATATATTGAATGAACTTCTTCTGTCTTCACTAGATTAAAAAGAAAGATAGTATGGCGGACGATGAACGATTCGAATCATCAATATCCACATTGGTCAATAATGAGCAATCAGAAGGTAAAGAGAGCGAGTAATTCGATTCGAGCCATTGTTTAATCTCTAAATAGATTCGATTACAAATGAAGTATCGGACTTGATCGATAATCTTCTAACTCAAATCGAATGCGAACTGTCTCCAAGTCATTCGTCAGGATTTACAAGTTTCGTTGTTGAAGATATTGTTGATAAAATCCGCTCGACAACATTAGCACATAAACAATCATCGAGTACAGATGATATCTCATCGCATTCACTTTCCAGTTCAATTGTTGACGTTCCATCAGCTCAATCAAGTCGGTCGATATCACCATCTCAGATTCTCAACGATGCCAACCAAGTTATATTACCGATCGATAAACGTATTTTGGACGACATTGAAATTTACTCGCGAGAACTTGCCGAAGAGTTTGTAAAGTCCGTCGAACAGTTAACATTAGCTTTACATCACATGTCTGCAACGAGTGTTTGCTGTCTGCAAACCTATCGTGATGCTGTGGGAGAGAAATTAAATGAAACAATTGAAACCAATATCAAAACTATTTATTCGTTCATGGCACAAGCAGAACAATTAAGCGCACAGTTAGCACCGATCTATGAATTGCAGAAGAAGATAGCTTATATTAAACAGTTACTCGATATTCTGTCCCAATCTATTTGATCAATCTTTTTTTTGTTTGTTTTTTAAATATATGTCTAAATGTCTCGTTTATTTTTTCCGTTGTAGATTAGAGCATAGGATGAGCCAACGGTCGAGATTTAAAACATTAGTGGTTGTCGATCTTGAAACAACGGGATTTATTCAAGATGAACCGAAAATTACCGAATTGGCGATGATTGCTGTAAATATGTGAGTATTTGGTGACTTTCATATTCTCAATGTTAGAATGATGAATTTAGTGAAGCATTAGAACGAACAAAACCAGAAGATGAATTACCTCGAGTATTGGTAAGCGAAGAATGAATGACTGTTAGAGATGAGATTCTGTTTTCTATTGTGACTTAGCACAAATTTGTGAAATGTTTTGATCCACTGAAATTATTAGATTCGGAAGTAGCAAAGATAACTGGTGAGTGTGAAGCTTCGTAAGTTCAATTCATTGATTATATGTATTGCAGGCTTCACTAGTTCAATGTTGATGGACTATGCACCGTTCAATTATGAAACAGTCATTGCCATTGAAGCTTTTCTCAGTGATTTTCAACAACCTATTTGTCTTATTGGTAAATTGAATGATCAATTGTTCGATCAAGTCATTTCTCTTGTTTCTAGCTCATAATGGTGATCTGTACGACTTTCCGATTTTATCCCATGAAATTCAAACTGCCATGAGCAATTGCGACCGTTCGCCTATCGGCAATGCTCAATTAAACTATCAATCTACATCCATTCCGACAGACGATCCCAGTTCACTGTTGACTAAAGATGTATCTGTACAAACTATCAGTTCAAAAGACGATCACAACCAGATGTCATTCCTATCGATTTCGTGCGCGGATTCGCTTGCATTCTTCCGACATCTAAGTCAGTTAGAAACCGAGAATCAAGTCAATTCACCCGAAAATTCGATAATGATACCGACTGAGAGCGGTATGTCAGTTGACACAAGTGATAAAAGCTCGACTTATATTCCTACTCCGGATCCTGAACGAAATAAACCGTCCCTAAAATTGAGCAAAATCTATCAACGAGATTTCCCTAGCGGAACATCGCATTTAAAACACCATCAAGCTGAACATGACTGCTTAATGCTTTTAGCTATTTTGAAAAGGCATCTGTCCCTTTGGCTCCAATGGATCGAAGTCAATCATCGTCCATTAAACTATTTTTCATCCTCGTTACTTTCAACAATTCAGTCTTCGCCGAAAAAAATGTAAATGTCTAGAAGCTTTAGCGCATTTGTAGGAAAACATTTTTCTCAATGTTTTTTATTATACTTTTCTATTAAATCAGAATGGCATTAATATTTAGTCTTTGAAAGAAAGGCAGTAAAAAGGAAAGCGTCGATCGACAAATGACGACAGCACACTATTGAGATCGAAAGGAGAAGTACCGAACAAGCGTTTCCTCTCTCTCTCTTTGCGATGATTTTCCTATTTCTTTCCGCATTCTTAATAACGCTTCTTACATGGGTGTCAAGGCTTTCCTCTCTCACTGTCTCACAAACTTCGTCATGTTTTATATTCTAACGTATTAGTAGACGAGTAGATGACATTTTTGAAATCCTGAATTTTTTCTCTCATTTCTTCCTCTTTCTCTCTTGTCTTTTTAAACTCTTTAATTGTTTTTTTTTCTCCTGTTTTCTTTTTTTACCAACTTTTCGTCCATTTAGTTCTTTTTCTTTGCGAAACTCTTCTTAACAAATACATTTCTATATTTCAGCTATTTATAAATAACACTCCAACAAGCAGATCGACCAAGTCCGCTCAACGATGGAAAACAATATTCTACTAAAAACTGATTCCTACAAAATCTCACATCATAGACAATATCCACCTGAAACAACCACTGTGTATGCCTACCTGGAAAGTCGAGGCGGCGACTATCCTGAACAAGTGTTCTTCGGTTTGCAATATATATTAAAAAAGCATTTAGTTGGCAAAATAGTAACGAAAGAATATATCGACGAAGCCGTTCAATTTTGGAATAAGCATTTTGGCTACGATATCGTTGATCGAGAAATGTGGGAATATATCGTTGAGAAACATGATGGCCATTTACCAATACGCATAAAAGCTGTTCCGGAAGGGACGGTTGTGCCAACGGGAAATGTATTGATGACAATTGAAAATACGGATCCGAAATGTCCGTCGTTGACAACATTCTTAGAAACAATTTTGTTACAAGTTTGGTATCCGATAACTATTGCAACGAATTCAAGAGAAATCAAAAAGATTCTGGTAAGATTCCGAGAAAACAAATATTTTAGGAGAGGAGGGTGAGACCTGTGTATTTTAGCTGCGATCATTAGTCAAAACAGGTGATCCAACGATGGTCAAATCTAAACTACATGATTTCGGCTTCCGTGGCGTGTCTTCGTATGAAACGTCTGCAAGTACGGACAACTTTCTCTTGTTGATTTAGTTTCATTGAAGTCTTTAGTTGGATCATGTGCACACCTAACATCATTCACTGGTACTGATACAATATCAGGCTGTGTTCTAGCTCATAATTATTACCTTGCTGACGATATGGTCGCATTTTCCATTCCGGCTTCGGAACATTCTACGATGGTTAGTTGGACAAGAGAAAAAGAACGAGAAGCATATGAAAACATGCTAGGTTTGTATGATTTATAGAACACCAAGAATTATTATTTGATTTTGGATGAATAGATGCTTATCCGACGGGAATTATTGCATGTGTATCGGATTCATACAATATTTATGATGCATGCGAACATATTTGGGGTGAACTTTTGCATGACAAAGTTATAGCACGTGATGGCACTGTAGTTATTCGATCGGATTCTGGTAAGAAGTCTGTGCTTGACAGAGCTTATCATCTTTGGTGAAAATTCGGTTTCAGGTGACCCATTGGAAGTACTCGAACGATTATTAATTATATTGTACGATAAATTTGGTGGTCATGAGAATGAAAAAGGTTATAAAGTTCTTGATAAGCACGTCCGACTGATACAAGGTGATGGAGTGAACATGAAATCAATTGAAGCTATTGTTGATTTACTTGAACGTATTGGCTTTTCCACTGACAATCTTATGTTTGGCAGTGGTGGTAAGTCAACTCTTTCCATCAAGGTCTTACCATTTACATTTCGATTTCCAGGTGGTCTCTTACAAAAATTCGATCGCGATACAATGAAATTCGCTATTAAGTGCTCTTACGTGGAAATCAACGGCATCGGTGGACTAGCCGTTGCTAAAAACCCAATAACGGATAAAGGCAAACGTAATAAACCCGGTCGACTCAAACTAGTCAAAGATACCAATGGTCAATATCGCACCTTGAGTAGTATTGATCAGAGTAATGAATATGATAATGCAGAAGATCTATTAGTAACTGTTTACGAGAATGGTCAACTTCTCTGTGATTATTCCTTCAATACAATCCGCGCCAATTGTGATATCGACCCCGATCATCTAGACTTTATGCATATTATGTAGGAATAAGTTGATTCTAGTGATATTTTTCTTTTCAATGATTGCATTTTGTCATCTCTTCTATAAATATATCGTGTTTTTTTAATGTTGTCAGTATATTTAAACTAGATGATGATTGAATAGAGTATTGATTTTCCTTTGTTGTTATACTTTCTCGATCTTTTTAGAAGTCTATCACATAAGGATGAGTGATAAAAAAGATGATCAAGTAGCGATTCAACGATTTGTTGAATACATTCAAGTAAAAACTGTTCAACCGGAACCGGATTACGATGGTGCTTTGAAATTTTTGAAAAACTACGCACAAGAACTCGGACTTGAATATCGTGTTATTACATTAGATGAAAGTCGACATGTCGCTGTTTTAACTGTAATGTAACGAGTTGACGAACGTGATGATTCTATGTCTATGTTCTAGTGGCCATCGTCATCGGTAGAGAAGACGATTTTGCTCAATTCGCATATTGATGTGGTACCAGTGTTTGAAGAAAATTGGATCGTTCCACCATTCTCCGGTGAAATTCTAGACGGAAAAATCTATGGTCGAGGTACACAAGATATGAAATGGTGAATAGAAATGCACGTATAAGAACAGCACTGACATGTATGTTTTCCTAGTGTTGGTATACAATATTTGGAAGCAATTCGTCGGTTAAAAGCGGAGAACTATGTACCGAAGCGGACTATTCATTGTCTGTTTGTTCCCGATGAAGAAATCGGCGGCGTACGCGGCATGAAAAAATTTGTTACACTTAGTGAATTTAAAGAGTTAAATATTGGTTTTGCTTTGGATGAAGGTAAAGACAAGCACACGAATACTGATTAGCTGAATAGTTCTTGTGTTTTTCTTTTCTCATTTCGAATAGGTTTAGCCAGTGAAGATGATGTTTATCAAGTTTATCATGGTGATCGTGCCGTCAACTGGATCCAGTTCGTAGTTAAAGGTAACACCGGTCACGGATCTCGTTTAATCGAGAATACAGCTGCCGAAAAGGCGCAATTTATCCTCAATGAAATGTTGAAATATCGTGCTGATGAAAAAGAACGTTTGGAGAAAAGTCAAACAACGGACAAACCTCTTCAATTGGGTAATATTACAACAGTTAATCTGACTAAAATTGCCGGTGGTGTTCAGCAAAATGTTGTACCGGATCAATATTCCCTATGGTTTGATTGCCGTATCCGACCTAATGGTTATGATTCGTTTAAACAGTTCTTACAAGATGTTGTTCGACGCGTACCGAAACAAAATGATAATGAAGCCGAACTCATCTTTATTCAGGATAGTGGCCCAGCTGCTATCACGGACGTCGAAAGCCCATCGTGGTGGTTGCAAATTTTTCGACAAACTTGCGAAGAAATGAAATGCAAAACGAATTGGACAATATTTCCTGCCGCCACCGATGGGCGATATTTACGTGATTGCGGCTATCCTGTTATTGGTTTTTCGCCAATAATTAATACACCTGTTCTTCTCCACGATCATAATGAATATTTGCACCAAGATGTCTTTCTTCGTGGTATTGAAATCTATGTAAAATTGATTGCAAATCTTACCAGTCAATGAGAGCCAAAAGCAGCAATCTGTAATTGTTTAAAACATATGATGTGATTCTTTCTTTGCCGTCGTTTTGATTTTCTTCCATTTTTATCATACACTATAAATATTCATTTAAAGCATCGCTCTCGATAGAAATACATGATTTTGATTTTAGATCTGCTCGACATTGTTCGATACATTTACAAAATATGGTTGTTGCTATGTAAGTGATCAGAAACAAATGAATTACTCGAATGCTTTTCGTATAGTGTTATTGAACTGCCAACTGATCTGTTCAAATCACCGGCCGAAGCATTCGATAACTATTTAGAGAAATTAGAAAAGGGTGGTGCAAAGAAAACTCGCCCATTCGAAGTGGAATTGACTACCTACAATCCAAGTTCGTGTTCATTGTTTTACATCTTCAACACGCGTGTCAAATTTGTCTTCTCTAGTCATTCCGAATTCAAAAGTCGTCCATGTTCTAACTCATTCAGAATATCCGGCTTCATCGTTTGCCTACATTGACCATTCGAACACTCAAATGCTTGTCGCTGACAATACGTTTATCGCTTTAATGGACAAATTAAAAGCCTTGCGCGTGTTTGATGTTCGCTTGTCGAAAACGAGGGTACGCGGCACACGATTAGAATATCAAGATTTTGTCATCAATCTCGGCACTGTCTCCCAAACGGAAACAACCAAAGGTTTAGTTCTCGAAGTAAACCCCTCTTCTCTAGATATCCAGTTCCCTTTGGAATTTAACTCTTTACTTAGGTCGCGTTTGTTGCAATGGATGAAACTCGTGATGGTTACTGTTTGATTCAGGAATTTCTTCAGTCCTTTCTAAACACGACCAAACAAAAGATACAGAGGCTGATCACTGAGCAATTGAGTATTTGGCTTCGATCGTTGAAGGATAGAAAGGACAACGAATACAATCCCTCGGTGACATTATTACAATATCTAGACATTCTTGGCATGAGAAAACAATCGAACGGATGAACATTTGTATGTTTCATATATTCTTATTTCTGTAAAATTCATCTGAATTATTCTTTTCTTCATCAAACTTTATAAGAGGAGAACAACGGAGAAAGAAAGTCAATAAATAAGTAACTTATTTGAAACGAAAAATGAACACGAAGTGGTAGGCATTGGTCAATTGCAAAAAATGCTGTTCGGGTTCAGTTTACCGGAAAAATCGGTTTGAATGGAAAATACAAAAAACGTTTTGCACTTGTCAAAGGGAGGGAAGGAGAGAGTAGATACACAAACAAAGGCACCAATCGAGGGAGCTAAATGGACAGAAGCCCAATCGATAGTTCACACGAAACAAACATAATGACTGCTATAGAAAAAAAAAGCCAACGATTCATTTGTGATATTACATAAAACAAATCAGAACTAAGAATAAAAATGCATGAAAAGCACATCATTCTTTGATCACCATTTGATAATCAATAAATGAAAGAGAGAGAGAAAAGCAAGAGACATGAAGAAAAAAGATGTACTAAAACAAAACAAAGAAAAATAAACTTTTTTTTTAATAACAACAAGCAGAAAAGAGAATTTTTAGTAGTTTGTGAAGATCGATTGCTAAAGAACACTATTATGCGACTCTGATATTTTCATACAATGTCATTTTTTAACGGAATGAAATATAAAGAAAGTAAGTAAGAACATGAAAAGATAGATAAAACAACGAAGGATAAAGTATCATCGTCATTGTATATCTGAAAAAAAAACATAACTCTTGATACTGAATTTGCCACTTGATTTCAGTTATTCACAACTCTCGTAACCGTCGAGATTGATGCCGAGTTGAATATCTCAATGATATGTCTGTCCCGATTTCGTCTATTGCCATTAAAGCCTATGAACAGACAAACATTTTCGATAGAAAACTCAAGATTGGAAACTTACAGTGTCGAGCATTTGCCGTGTGTGTGCAGCTGATATACAGAATCGCACACGCGCATCTAATAACTTTGTCGCCGGAAAGCCCACTGTCACGACAGCGATACCTCGACGAAGCATTTCACGATTGAAGCGCGTAACTCGTGCAGGCATATAGATTAGCATTGGAACTACTGGAGAGTTCTTATTTCCGTATACAATAAAGCCCATGTCGACTAATTTCTGTCGAAAATAACGTGTGTTGTCAGCCAACTGACAAATACGTTTTTGCCCTAGAAGTCAAATATGATGTGAGAGCGTCTTTTCTTTTCTCATCTATGTGTACCTTCAGGACGTTTCAATAGTTGAAGAGAAGAAATAATTTGTTGGACAACAGGCGCTGACATACTCGATGCATAAGTATTCGCATGTGAATTCACTCGAATATGATCAATTAATGACTAAAATTTAAAAAAAATGAATGTTTTCAAGCACTTTCCTTTAATTATTGATGAATATTATGCCGTCTATCTTATACTTGAATTATTTTTAAATTAAACAAATTCTTTCGAAAACATCAACTTCTTCAGTTTTATCATGATTTTCCACATCTGGCTGACAGTTTTTACCTTTTTGCCTGCAATGTAACCACCGGCTGATCCAAAGCTTTTTGTAAAAGTTCCCATGAGAATGTCGACATCGTTTGCATCGATACCAAAATAATCCATGATCCCGCGACCATTCTTTCCCATAGCTCCAACGGAATGCGCTTCGTCCATATACAAATACGCTTTGTATTTCTTCTTCAGTGCAATCAATTCCGGCAATCGACAGATGGAACCTTCCATACTAGAAAAAGAACATGACATCATTGAACTGATTCTTGTCCGAACGAATCACGTCTGATTTGTCAAGTAGATTAGAATGAAATAGACATGTCAACTGTTTTCTTTGTTGTTTAACGAGTAAGGGAGAAGAAACATGCAAAAACCTACCCACTTATCTCAGATATCTTCAGATACTATAAAAGGATTTCTATTGTGGGAAATTAAGTATTCGAATTTGCCGTCAGCTCACCTGTAAACACCTTCAACGACGATGATGATCTTCTTCCATGGTCGCTGAGTACGTGGATGACCATGAACAATAGCTGCGCGTAATTTGGCTTCCAAATCTTTCATATCTTTATAAAAAAAAGCATAGGGCAATAGAAACTGCAAGAGAACTTCATTTCGTCATCATTTACCATTATGTGCGAATGTCTGGTAACTAGCACCCGATAGACGCATACCCAAGATCAATGAAATATGGTTCATCTCATCACTTAAGATCAGATCTCCCTGAATAGAGAATGCAAATGAGCATTGTGTTTACTAACACATAGATTTTGACATACTTTCGATGCTACAGCAGGGATATTGAGAGCATTCGTTGCGAAACCCTAGATGAAAGAAAAGTAGCATGATACTTTTCGGTCAGATGTAGAATTTAACAAACCATTCCAAACGCAATTGAACTTTCCACATGAAGAAAGTTAGCAAGGAGCTGTTCGAGTTCGACATGGTACCGTTGTGTTCCTGTAAGACGAAAAGATAATATTTGAATAACATGTGCAAAACAGTATCAAAGTATTGAATTACAAATTTCGTTTACTGTAGTGAAGGTTATTGACACTGACAAAAACGAATTTCTGCTGCGCTGATCCACTCTATCCTTTTCATTACAACACAAAACAAAGGGCATCACCTTCAGACTATCGATAACATTTATTTGCATTATCAACCTTGACCTCGGTGGACCTCGATGACAATGCAGACACGCACATTTACTCATTTTAACACTTGCGATAGTCAAACAAACGTAATAAAACAAAGTATATGATTAATTTTACGAACGAGCGCGATAACTTCTTTTCCGTCTCTATTTTCTTGAGGGCTCTCCGTTATATTACAAGAAAGCAAATATGAAACATTTATCTCTCTAACTATTCTCCACGTGTTTACGCTGTAACATACCTAATTCAATTCGTGTATTACAACTACTAACACCATATGTTTTAAGTGCGTTAATAGCATCTGTTGCACACGGCCCTGACTTCTCTGCAAAGCCCAGATAATTATATGAGCCTAAATTGATTGCATTGATGGTTTTGCCGGTATATCTAAATTTATGAGGAGAAAAATCATAACCTGTGTGTGAAATTTGAGCATTGTCTAAGAAAAAGATCTTACCTGTATGTCCAGTTGTAATCGTCCGAGATACGTTCAGTTAATTCGAATTGTGCACCTGGCACACTAGCAATCGGTCGATTGAAAATATCACGAACACGCGTATACATGTTTCGCGTATAGAATGACTCATAGCTCTGGTATAGAGGTACAAAGCCCTACCGAACACAAGAAGATGAACCGAAAAGCGAGACAAAGAATGGAACTTACTAATGCAGCATTTGGGTCTACAGCACCGCGTTTCTTTTCTATGTTTGAATTGCGTAGGAAATCTCTTAGCCATCCAAATAAACAGAGTATTGCGTAACTCAAATAAGTTAAGATCGCTGCGTACAGCGGCGTTTCTTCAAATTCTTCGCATTGTAGATTTTCATCGTCTTTGTGGGTGACATTCTCACGTTTGTAATTCATTTCGTTTTCATCCTAAATGATTGTTTGCAACCGTCAAGAGAGAGCACGAACGTCGTTTTGATCGATACATACAGATGAAAAGACAGTGTCACTCATTTCTTCTTCAGAATGAAGTTTTGATGGTGGATAACGATGCTAAAAAATAAAAGACAACGATGATAATAAAATGTCAATCATCATATAGTTGACGATAAATCAATATAATTTCAGATGCATGCGTGTGCGTGTGTGTATCAAATATCAATATTTAGTCTATTGATAAAATTGACCATGAATAGAAATAAGATGTGAAGGTGGCAGAGGAGAATAAACGACGATGACGAAAAGAAGTAGCTTAATTATTGAGATAGAAAGGGACCGGATGCAAGAGAAAAAACAGATTCTCTAGTCAACTTACAACAAGCGTAGCATGGCTTAGTTTTGATGATGATGAAGCCAACATTGATCTGAAATAAACAAGAGAAGTCTCTTATGAATCATGTTTCATATCGAGACGCATTCATCCCACAATCGGACCATACGTTGTATTCGTTATTGTTGCCAGTCCCTCTTATCAACGGATGACGTCGTATCGAAAAAGAAAAGAACACGTCGAAGAGAAAAAAGTGACTGAGAGAAAAAAAGGAAGAACTTATTCTGTTCCTTTTTAGTACTTTATCATGAGTTGTTTTATTTTGTTGCCCTATGTTCTGTTAAGAAAAAAGAGAAAAACAATTATATGATACGAGTAAAGATGGTAGAGAATGAATCATTTTCAAATAAAACAAAAAGACGACAGAAAAGAAAGAAAAAAGGACCCAGGAGACGTTATCTATCTGTTACACTCAATAGAGGTCGCATCCACTTAGAATTTTAGAAGTTTTTCTGATTAGTGCAGATCTCAATCTATTGAAAATGCAAGCGCCATCTATCGATCATCTGTCGTCTGTACTGCACGTTTTCATCGATCAGATGCTGAAGCAGATGTAAAAGAAATGCGCCTAATACGTCACAAATCATCAGATTATTTGTAGATGAGTATCGATATAATTTTGAATCAATGATCGATTCCTTTGCTTCAGCAGTTGGTAGTTTGTCAATAATAATAGAATAAAAGCGTCCTGTTCCATCAATACACCATACACACTATTCGCTACCGGATGAGTTGTCGTCACCGCTGGTCACACTCGATCGTGATCCAGCAGCAGCTTAACACTTAAATGATGAGTTTCGTTGGTTATTTATATAGTATGGATCACACCAACCACGTGAAATAAGAAACAACGATGCCAGAGGAAGTGTACGATTTCGAACCAACTGATTTGATGATCCATATTTCTCTACATAGTTAGAATATTCCATAATAACAGATCGTGCATATTTTCTATACTATAATTCACTCACTGGATCGAATTGAAATCGTGCTTTCTAACGAGATGGTAATTTGTTCTGAAACTCCAAAAGAAAGTCTTTAGTTCGATCAAAACAGGTATCAGAGATGTTTAGGGTTCCGTGAGAAAAAGACGAAACGTTCGACGGGAACTGCTAAAGACACAGATGCGTGCCGAAGACGGGGTTTATTAGAATCTCATGCGCCGTTCGAAACTGGACGTGTCTGAAAACGATCATAAATGTCAATAGACTAGTAAGATGTGAAAGGAAAACATTACTCTTGAGTGTTCATGGTAATGTCGGAAAAGTAGAAAACTACGTTTCACTTTGATTAGTTAATGGAGGTTGGTAAAAAAAAACACTAAAACGTCATCTGAAGGCGTTTCCGAGGAGGAAATGTAATTCTCATTTGAAAGTTTAAGTAAATTTCTTTTAGATAACAACATGACTAGTAAAAAAACAACTTTCTCAATCAATTATTTTATACTGCTTATACTTCAACTTCTATTATCAGTCATTCGATGCTGAACATTATGAAAATTAGCGCTTGTGCTAATCTATTTTCATGTATATTCGAAGATCATTTCTCCGCTTGAGTATATTCAATCGAATGTTGACCAATAAACGGACTTTCATGTCAATACAAGAACGATTAATAGGTGAACATCTCGCTCGGCATGATAAGAATCTTGAATTGATGTTAAACAAATCAGATTCATGTAAAACTCTCTTGTTACAAACAATTTTCGATAGACAAATTCAAGAGAACATTCATTGGAATTACTTGTTCCCGATCGAAGTCTACGATCGGTATATGTATCGACTAAACTCATTAATTATTCATAATCCAACTGATTTCGATCAGCGTTTAAAACTTTCGAATAGAAACCGTTTCCTATCTGAAAATGACGACGACAGATTTCGAGCGTTCCTTTTCGATTAGGAGGCAAAAACATCGATTACGCTGGCAATAGTCTGCATAAGAAGTGCAGATTAATTCACTTAAAACAATATTAGTTTTCAATTATTTGAAAGAACTATATTGACATAAATTTGAGATATTTTTAACTCGACAAATACAACAAACTAACGGAATTGATTCCAAACGAACGCTTTTACATAGACATATGTTGTAAAATATGGCCTACTCAACTGTGTTTGCTCCAAGGAGCAAGTACGTCTGTGTTTAACGCGAAGTTCGCCGCTGTGCTATTTGCAAAAATGGCTCCGAAATTGTTTTCGAATGGAGTTGTTATTAATAAAATGAAAGTTGCTAAAAATGTCAAGGAGAAATCTTATTTATGATGAAGATAAATCTTCACTACACCTCGTCCTTCTTCTCCACGACGAAAAACTCGCAGTTTTCTTATCTCTATAGTCTCTCGCTCTCTTGAAACGAAAAAAAAACTCCCCGCAAAGATGTATCTTATATATATTTGCGGTAAGATCTTCTGCACACATACTTCTCATTCTTTCACATATTCTGGTGTGCCTATTATCATCTCTACGAAAAGTGAAAGACAATAAAACAGAGATGGAAGATGAGCTTTTGGAAAAAACTCGCCAGGTAGAGAGGCTCTTTCAAGAAAATCTCTTGTGTGCAACCAACGGGACAGAGCATGTCAATCATCTGCACCAAGAATTAGAACGTTGGCATTCTGATATTCGAACTTCATTGCAAACAGTTCTTCAAGAGAAACACCAAGAAATAGATGAGTATTTTGAACAATATCGAAACGAAATCAAAGATAAACACGAAAGATTCAGACAAATACATCTGAATTCCACTTTGACAGATATCAATGCTCAACTTGAACAATTGAACATCTATTGCCAATCGAATTTCATCGACAACCGTCTGAAATTAACCGTAGAATCTGTCCCAAGAAGTCAACTAGCGGACAAAGCTCAAATCGAATATTTACCATATACGGATATCACACACCAATCGCCGATTGAACCGTTGAAAGTAAGTACTGAGCTAGGTAAACAGTCCAAACCTACTAGTCGAGCATCGACAGTCACATCAACGGTCTTGCCAGAGCCTGGTTCAGATGGTGGACGACGCGATAGTGAGAAAAAAGAAGAGACTGTACAACCCGTGCCGGATCCTGAAGGACAAGATCGAATTGTATTGAAATTACCGTCGAGAACAACCACGGTTACTGGTGAAGATCATGCACCAAAATCGCCGACACAACTGTACGTGGGAAGAAAATCGGTATTCACGCCCGTTCTGATCAATAAAAACCGTCAATGTACGGATGAAACGAAAGAAATTGTCGAATACTCCATCGATTCCATACAGATTTCCCATGCTGAACAGTTGAATCAATCTTCGAGTAGTTCCAATGAGAATGACAATGATAATCTCGTACGTGCCTATAAAGTTATTATCAACAGCGAAGATCGAAATCGACGACATTCAACTTTATCGTCTGATAGCGAGCGAATGGACGGAAATCTTTTCGACTTACAACATTTCAACCGGATTGATTATTCCACCATCATGTTTCGTAAATGTGAAACGCAATACAACTGTCTCGCTACATCTACTAAGCAAAATGAATTAGTTGTTTACAATTCCAAACTAAAAGTTCTTATTGTTTTGCAACACGAAAGGCACAAAGCATGTCGTCATCGATTCTATCTCGAATGGCCAACGGAGTTTTCTCCACAAATATCCGACATAGCATATTGTCATGATAAAGATGAGTACCTCATTTCAACTTTGGACACGGCGCACATTTATTCATTCAATCGTAATCATCTATCGATCACTGACCTAGGTAAACTATCCGACGATTTACGTTTACGTCGTATTCATTGCCATCATCGTACTGTTTATTGTATACTAAGTGATAATTATCTTCTCGAATATCAATTTGATGAATCATGTTCGAATTTGAAGTTCGTAGGCAAGAAGATCATGTTATATAACCCACAAAATCGTTCGCAAGATACAGCTTATCATCTGTTAGATGTTGCCTGCAATGATCAATATTTAGTTGTAGCTTATGCTGATGATCAGGACGCAATTCATTTGCAAAGTATTCATCGTCGAACAAAAGAGTTTCATAGCGATATTGTCTTAGATCAACCAAGACCAATCAATCAAACTTATATACGAATAGAACCAGTTATTCATCAGGAAAACTTCATTTATCTTGAGGGTGAACAACAACTTTTGAGAACGATTGACTTTACTAATGATCGAAATGGTCAGCTCACGTCAGTTGTACATCGACATACAAAACCAACGAATGTTTGTTTCCTCGCTGATGGTCGATTTGTTATCCTGTATGAAGGGCCATATTTCCTCTCCGTACATGGCACACATCAATAATTCATTTTTTTTTACCATTGACCCTTGGATACCTATCGATTTATCAGTAATTTCTTCCCAGAATGATTCTGAATAAATAATTCATAAAATTTGAAATCTGGTGCTTTTTATATGAAAGGACATATGCACCTTGTCGATGATATTTTAAAAAAATAGCAATATAATTCCTTCACGTTCTCACACAGACGTCTAGTGAGCATTATTTATCTGTTTAATAGCTTGGTTATCAATGCGCAGATTGATCGTTGGTTACAAAAGCTACATGAAATTAGAATAGGCTATCTTGTGTGAAGCTTTTCGAGAAGATATTACGATGAGACAATGATACAGAGATTCGAGTTTAGCTTTCGCAAATGGTATGTGTGAAAAGCTTAGTAATGGCATAGAACGTGGTTTCTGGATCAGAAAAAATTGGTTAGATGGGTCAAAAGCATCAGTGATCATTTTTCCAACTTGAGTTTTATAACATAAACAAATCTTGGCTTCGTTGCTACGTCATTCTACTTCTTTTTCGCATATGTTGCAATGTCACCTTTTTCTTCTTCTTTATATGCTTGTTGTTTTTCGTCTGTGCTCTCATTCGATACTTCATCGTGATTTCAGCTTTTTTTTCTTTTATTCCGATGCTGCGACTATTTGCTATTTGTTGAAACAAAATTTTTCATTTGGCACAGGAGTTGTATTGACGACGTATTCCGAAAAGATATTTCGAGCATGCAAAATCCTGGAAACATTTATTAATCGATGCCCATTCGCAACTAAAGGGAGTAGTTTGACGTTGATTTGAAAGTTGAAAACGAAAGTACACATCTAATATCCTCATTCACACTTCCTCATCCATCTATCATATTTCTATACTTTAAAACACTTTTCGTTGTCTAGACACCCCTTTTAAGTTTCATTCAAACTATCTTTTTTCAGTAATATTAAAATATGGCTGCTGAAGGATCGTCAGTATCGTGTTTCCGTACAAAGCTCGATAGAAGGCTATTCGGTAATCGAATTGTGATTTGGCTCAATGATTCAACAGATGGCTTGCAGGCCAAAGAGACTCTTCAGTATTTGCAGCAAGAAATTAAGGATTTAATACTTACCGACGATGTCGATGCCTGTATTGATTACGTCTCATCGTATGAACATAACGACATATTTTTGATTATAGCAGATAGTTTCGGGAAAACACTGACACCGTTAATACATGATATTGAACAAATTCAAAGGATCTATATTTATTGTGAAACATGGTTAGGGTATCCAATTTGGGATTCTACTGTATTTAATAAAGTTTCTGGTCTATTCGATGACAAAACACTATTGAAGTCAATTTTACTCGAAGACATTAAAGAATATGAGTAAGTGAGTATAAAACCGTGGTTTGTATGTAGAAAAAAGCTTGCTTTGTTTCATGCCGATATTATAATTGTAATTTCGAATAATCGTGAGGTCGCGACTACTGCTAGCATAAATAACATAACATCTGAAGATAGTAAGAATGGGAGCACATATTTATATCTAAGTTGAAATGTGGTAATTTGGTACATCCACAGTCACACACATAAGATGAGCAAGTCTTATTGTTTTAGGGGACGTGAACTATACATGGGCAGTAATTCAAGGAAAGCAACGCCAGCGTCAGTACTTGGACAGGTTGCAGAGATGTGGTACAGTGAATATTGTCAGAGCCCAAGCACCAAAACCCAACATATCTTGGTTGTATACAACCCGAAATCAGATTTTAAGCATGGATTCGAGACGCTCACACAGCGACTGTCTCAATTACCAAACGTGCACTTAGAAATAGAACACGATGTTGAACAAGCCTATAAAACTCTAGGCAAGCTGCCCTTCACATTTTGGCGCACCGTTGTTGACAAAAGCATGGCCAAAGAATTCACCCTGCTGCGAAAGGAAAAAATGATTAGTTTATATTTTTGTGTCATTACTGTCATTTACACACTTCGATATGAGGAGCATTTACGATGGGCTCTGAACAATTCTATGGATGTAAGCAACCACAAACACTTTCTCTATAGTTCAGATCATTTTCAAACTCTCGGTGTTTTTTTGTTCAGGTATGGGGTGGCGTTGTCACAAATGAAGAAAAGGTTGTTAGATTCTGTTCGGGTGATCCTCTGACACACGAACACAATGTAGTGAAGAGTCTTTTACATGCCGATGAATCTGGCGTAAAGAAACTCATGAGCGAATTGTTCCATACCAAACTTCCATTCTCAATAGTAGTGAAAGATGATGATCCTCTGCTCAATGGTAGAATCAATTTCGATGAAAACCAAATAAAACAACGACAGAACCGCTTCGTTAATATTTTGAAACCGCAATTTGTTCAAAATTTTCGCACCAACAGTTTAGGCGAGCTGTTTTCCAATTTGCTTACAACAGATAACGAGTGGAACGACATCACACTGGGACGTTGCCTTGGCGGTACGTACAGTAGAAGTATATTTATATCACCTATTGAGATTTTGGAAATAGATCATCCTTGCAATTTGCTTCATTTTCTTCTTTGTGATAGGTATTATATGTCATGCGAAATTGAATAATCGACCAATGGAGCATATACGGGACAGGTTAATCAAATGGATCTACCCTTCATGCGGTGCTATACCAAGCAAGATTAATGCAATCTATTATGTCCGTGCTTTTACCGAAGAAACCTTTTTATACAAAGACGTTAACTTTGCGTTGGCAAATAATGACCAAAGATCTATTTATTGCCTTCGTGAATATATTAACACCTGTATTGTAGCATTTGAACAAAAGCTCATTCCATTCTATGCCGGTACTGTTTACAGAGCGGTTCAAATGACAACGGATGAGTTGACAGAATATAAAGTTGGCACTGGCATTCGATTTCTCGGCTTTATGTCAACCAGCAAATCTTTCAATTTTGTATCGTTCCTCGGTACAAACGTAATTTTCATTATTCACACTTTATCCGCACGGCATCAACGTAAGCTCGGTCGGTACACCAACGTTGATCTTCACACCAGTAATGTAACAGTGATGCCATCGGAAGAAGAAGTATTATATGCTCCTTTCTCAACATTTGACATTATCAACATATGTACAGATGAAGTGTCTGGTGTTACGTACATTACTCTTAACGAGAATGATGTATCAGCAGCGGATCATGTTATACTAAAGCAGTTGCAACTGTACGCTGACAAAGGTGTTACAACAAATTTTGTGATGCCTCAGTCGCGCATAGTACTGAACATCGACGACAGGTCTACTGGTACCCAACTTAATAATCTTTCTCTTCAGGACAATACGTCGACTATACTTAATATTGAGATACCAGTGAGCAGATGGCTAGGAGATGAAGAATGAATCTAGCAGTAGTTACTGCGTTACTCTTGGCTTTGATCATGGTCATAAATCTGAGCTCTTGAACATAGTATAACGACTCATTCGCAGCTATACATTCTGCTAGTAAGGAGTATGCATCATCACTCATTAGCTTAAATATATTTTTAAAAAATATGTACTATCTTTTTGCAGTTATTACATGTATCGCATAGATTAATTATTTTTGAAACAGAAGTAAACATGATAGTGATGCTCGCCGCTGGATTATTTTCCTTGAGTGAAATAATGAGACTAACATACGTTGTAAATATAATATCAACAATTAAAACACTAACGAGACTCCTAAAAACTATTCATGAACACTTTCGTTTATCTTTAGCTTTTTACCTAAAACCAATGTGTACAGCGGCACACATTAAATACTTCCTTGAGATTAACGTACCTAGCAAAACCATGCTTTACATCATACATTCCACACTGATAGAGTATGAAGTGTATATATAGTGGTCGTAGCCGGTGAACATGACTGATTTTTCTACTTGTTGTAAACGAATTAAGTTGATATGTATGAGACGCCACAACGTACAGGATTTTCATAGTTTCATTCCAAATATGATTCGACAAGAAATGTACATCTATAGGACGTCGATGAGCCGCCAAGAAACACAAACAGAAGAAAAGAGCAGAAATACCATCTATTTCAGTACAAATACACTTCTCGCGGAATGATTGAAGAAGTATTTGTATGTACAGCCATCTATCGAGGATTCTATTCCGCCCATTGCATCCTTCATCGGACTAATAGTATTTTATTTAAACATTTCACTGAGCAACGAACGATTCGATTACAAATTGTTTAAGAAGCATTGACACAATCGTTCTTTAAATAATATATTCTTCTGATTCCTTTAGATTTGTTTTCCATATACGAAACCAAATCATGCCAGGCGAATACGAACGTAATCTTCTGAATATGCAGCATCAAATTCGTGAAAATAATGCATATCTCGATGATTATCTCAACGATTTGAATTCTTGGACAGATGAAATGAAGAAAAAAGAAGAGACTTTATCGAAAACAGCAGATGTAACTGCATCGAATAGAGATCTTCCACCGGTAAGAAATTTCGTTGCACCACCGAGACCGAAGAAGAAATCTAAAAAGAAGAGTGAAGAAGCGAAACCGAGCGACATCAAGTCTGCTGCTCCGAAAATTCGTGCATACGATTATCGTGCTTGGGACAAATATGACGTTGATACTGAATGTGAACGAATTGACGCAAGTGATGAACACAGAAGTGACGACGACGAAGAGGATGCTGATGATGACGATGAAGAATACCAACAAGAACTTTTGAAAAAGAAAGCCGAACATTACAAAGATCAAGGAAATTATCAATTTAAACAAAAATCCTATGGTGAAGCGATTGAATATTATACGAAAGCAATTGAATGTGATCCAACATCTCCGATTTATTTTGCTAATCGCGCCCAGTGCCAATTATTTGAACAACGTTACGGTGCGTGTGATGCAGATTGTACATTAGCAATTCAACTAGATCAAAATTATTTAAAAGCGTATTATCGACGATCGTTAGCACGTATCGAACTTGGCAAACTTGAACAAGCTAAGGAAGATTTAGAATACTTTCTATCACGTGAACCGACAAACATCGATGCGAAGGCCAAATTAAATGAAGTGATCAAAAAGGATGAAATCAAACGCTTGGGAAGAGTCTATCCTTTGCCGAATAAGCCAGTAGATAAGCGATCGACCAAACCATTGAAACGAATTGATATACAAGAAATCGATACATCGGTTATTTCATCTCGTGAGACAACAAAGAAGAAAAGTATTGTCATTGAAGAGATAGAAACAATGGAAGTGAGTTAATACCTTTCATTCAATCTGATACACTTTGTCTGCTTATCTAGACGTCGACTCCTTCGGAACCAGTGCCACAACGATCAGCACCTCAGCCATCGATGCCAACACCTGCACCATCTACTTCGCAATCGGAAGAGATACCACCGAAACTAATCATTATTCCAACATCCGTTCCAACGACAGGTTATCAATTCAAACGCGATTGGTCGAATTTGAATAATCAACTTGAACAACAATCGATATATTTCAATAAAATTCCTCCAACATCTTATAAAACAATCTTCTCTACCGGTATTGACTCATCAGTATTCTCACGAATACTCGTTTTCTGGTCGAGCAAGATTGACATTGACGAACATTTAATCAACTCAATGCTTGAACTTCGCAAAACACCGAGGTTCAATACCCAATTAAGTTTTCTTGGCAATGATGATAAACAACACTTAAAAACCATTCTGGACAGATTACAAGCAAATTCTTCATTTTCATCGGATAAAATCCAAACAATCCTACGTGATTATAAAACTGATGGAGATCAAATCTAAAGTCTTCTCGTGTGTGTATGGTTTTTTTTCGTAATAAATACGGACAATTCAATTTTAGCTCTTGTTGTATGACAAAAAGTAATTTCAGTTGCAAAAATAGTTGAATTGTCGATGAAGATAAGTGAATCAATTAGGACGCACGGAAAACAGCTCCAAATTGCTACTTTTTAACGAGTAGGTGCAAAAGTTATATTTGCTCAACACTGTATGAGTAAGTATCGACATTAGTTGCTCAATCTTATCAGTAATGAAAGACATAGACAAAGAATTTTATCAACCATCTGCTTTTCTATAGCAAACAATGTATGATGATGTCAGAAATCAACCTTTACTTTCATGAAATACGGCCAACTCATTAAGACAATGGTGTTTAATTTATTTGAAACACCCAGCTATAAATATATATATATATATATATATATATATCAACGTTAGAACTTTAATAGGAAACAAATTTCCAAATGACTTCGGATTTTTTCTCCTTTCTTCTCATTTAGTTATTTATCATGTTTCTATTCTGTATGTAACATAATAGTTCGTTTTTCAGACAGGTCACCAACAGTTTGCTATTTCCCACTTCATTGCCTTTGAGCTGTTTTACTCATTTGTTCGCCTACGTCTTATTCACATCCTTCAGGAAGAAAGAGAAGCAATGAACAGCCTTATTGTCGCCCACATTTGTCCTCCGACTGCTTGTGAAATAATGAGAGCAATAGAAAATGCTAAAGAAAGAGGAAAAACGCGAAGATGCAGAGGCGGTCTATGTTATTCTCTAGATTTAGAGTAACTACTCATTTCCATTTTTCTTTCTTTCGTCAAGCATATACGCAGTTGAATGCAGATGACATTCCTGTCTGTTCTTTTCCAACGCTGAACATTGCGTGAGCGTATTGACGCTCAATAAAACCGGAAAAGAACGAGGAGACGAGACAACAATCTTTCTCTCCCTTCGTCTTCGTTCTTGTCTCTGACTTATTTTTCAGCAAAATGGGGAAAAAAGGGGAAAACGAGTTCTTTTTTTTATTGACGCACCTATACACATATATCTATTAGGCACAATGTGTGCTATTCATCATAATTCTCATTTAACGTGAAATAAAGGAAAAAAAATGATTATTAAACGACAAAAAACCAGGATAAAACGCCGTTGATACATTGACTTCAAAAGAAATGCTGTTATAACCAAAACGAAAAAGAGAACCGATCGATTAACTTTATTTTTCTATCTTCCGATTAGATTTTCACAGACGTTGAACATATGCTTGCCAGAGAAGGCGAAAAACTCGTCTAGATTTTCTCTTGGAATATCAACGTAGATGATAATGAGAAGAGAACAAGAGAAAAGAATTCATTCTTTTTCCCCAGCAAAGTTTTATGTAATGTTACTACAGAACTATAATTAGTGAGCGAAAAAGAATAAGAAGAATTCTCTCGTTTTTCTCTCGCTATATTTTCTCTCGCTATATTTTCTCTCTTTTTTTTCGGGCAGCAAGAAGAACGCATGGTTGGCATCAAAATAATAATAAAACCAACAATAACAAACACTACTACCACTCTTTCTACTCATGTCCACGCGTTGTGGTAGTGTGTGAACATGACCCAATCATCCTTTCCTTTTCTATTCTCCTCGTCTTTTTCTTGTCATCGTTTGGTCACTTTAATTACAATTCTATTATTAAACCCGTTGCCCATTATTCATGGAGCACCCACAAAAAAATCCGACAATGAATTAACACCCAACGTTCAACGCCACAAACGAGACGTTTTTACCAGTGATGACGATGATGGTTTCAACACTCTTCAAGCAAATGAATATCCTCTTATATCTGAAACAAAAATTATCTTCGAAGGATTGATAGGTTCGTATTGGCGTTTGAACAGGAAGGAAGAAAAAACTCATCTTTCTGTTTTTCTCTCGATTAATTAGGTTGCAAATACGATTCTAATCTATGTAACAACAATGAAGCTTGTTTTGATGGTAAGTCAACATGAAAAAAGAAATCGGAAACTACCTCTGCAAAAAAAGAACTAATCAGTTCTTACTGAACTTTTCTCAGCAGTTCATAATCCAATCTGGAAGATTATGATTTCAGGTATTTTTGTATTAAAAAAAACTCATGATTAAATGATCTCTGCTCTTCAACCTCCAGTCTTTACTTGAGCATGTTTTTCTGCTGACGAGGATGTCTGTGAAATAACTTTGGGCAAACCATGAGTGATTCTTCTTTTGTTCAGATGGCTTGTTTGGACAATGTTGGGATGGCGAAGGTTCAGTACGTTCGGCATTTGCATTAAAATCTAATGTGGATGAGCTTGCCGATGATAAATTGATCGCGTTGGAAAGTACATTGGACTTTTTAAATCGTCACTATCTCAACTGGCGAGATTATATGACTCAATGCATTCTATCACATATCTTAGCTGATACACATCAAATCAATCAAAATCGTTTGGATATGTCCTATGATGATTGTTTGAACAAAGACGAACAATTAGATGAACTAGCAGCTGTTCAAGAAGATGATATGCAACGACGACAATTGGAGCTCTTCGATGAAAACTCGAGTAAGACGAGTGTTGAGTGTTATTACCATACTTCACTTGAATCTTTAGATGTGTTATACAAAGATCCATACAGTCCAGTCATGAAATCGGATGACATCATCATCGAACTCCAGAATAACGATGGAATACCAGTCTATATTGAACCAGACGAAGTTGATATTGAACAGTCACGCATACCATCAGTTGTTATCGCACTTGCTGAAGCAGAAGCAGCACAAAAAGAACTCGAACAACTAAACCAAATTGCTCTTGCTTATGCGATCGATCATATGAATGATAATGATGCAGTCGTACCAGTCGAAGAAGAATCATCAATGAGTAAGAAACGCATCAATTTAATTGACAGAAGACATTAATCGAAGTGAAATTTTTTCACTTCTAGATGAACCAACAAAAGTATCTGTACATACAAACGAAGTTCATCCGGGTTTAATCGAAACATTGCAAACTAATAACAACAAACAAGTCATGCCAGCCTTCGTCGAACAAACCATGGGTAATGGGATGGCAGTTGAATATACTCACGATTTTCATTTCGTGGATTTTAGGAGAACATAACGAAGCAGTCGATGATAAAATATTGAATAATACAGATGCTAATCGTTATTTTAAAGTTGAAACAGCGCAAGGTTATATTTCTATCAATCGAGAGTATGAAGAGATCCTTTTCATTCGTCATCATTCATTCAATCGAGTCTTGTTTAGTTTCAAAGATCAAACTGAAGGAGGTCGTTTATTATCTTATATCGCACAGATGAATTCATGGCCAGCAGCTATTTTCACTAAACTCAAGTAAGAATCAAACAATTTTGGATCAATTCGGAAATTCATTCTCGATGTTCTATTCGTCATTCAGTGCTGATCGTCGAATTTTAACATTCCATGTTGCCAATAATCCCTATCGAATCAATGCAAGCAATGTTGCCAGTGCAGCATGTAAGTAAACTTGATAAGCGAGTTGCTTTCCATTTGAAATAAACAGACACGTCATCGAATAGGTTGATGATTTCATCATTGAGTTGTTAATAACGGTCTGCAATATTGAAAATTGCTTTCCGCCTTTAACGGAAAGACCGCACTGGTAGATTCACTTTGTCAGCATCGGTCTACCATTGTAATTAATACTTATTCTTCTCTCGACGCCGAAAAGAAAAACAGAATTATTTTAAAGCTGAACTTTTCTAACTTTATTTTTTATCTTTTCTCAAGAATATCTAAGCATGCTAGATGGATATACGCTAATAACATCGTTGATGATTAGATTCCAGAGAATTTTCATGCTTTTTCTTCTTCTTCTTCATCTTGTCATTGACAACTTCCATAGTTACATCGATTCTCCAGAGAGATTTGAAAGTTAAAAAGAGATGAACAATGTGATATTAAGCAGATGAGATGTTCTATTTCATAATACGAAATGCTCTGACACCTTCTCTTTTCCCTTCGTTTTAGTACTCAATGGAAAAAATATTGAAAATCAATTGGGCATTCATATCGTTGATTCTGGCATTGGCAATCCTCGACAAGTAAGATAAATAAATGAGGAAATATGCAAATCGAATGCTGAATTCGAGAAAAGAATTGTTGACATAGTGCGCATTATTTTCATCGCTCAAAACAAATCAGCACAGACACGTCTCGGAACCTTTAAAGATTAAACAGAAAGAACCATCATCTAACTATTGTCTTCAACATGGATGTTACATCGACTAGCGATTGCAATTAGTCAATGCCTTCAGGCTCAAACTTGATACTTGACTCATCTTTTTCTCTATGCATAACCAATCAAAAGGTCTCTCGTGCATATTAGATAGATTATCAGAATGAATAGAAATCTCTTTTTAGACAGTCTTCTATCTAAGAATTCTTTTGACAAGATCAGCGTCAATAATTCAGTATTTTATTCAACAGTTAACGTTTCATTTCGAATTTGTCTTCTGTTATGATAATTGAGTATAAAAAGAGAAATTCGCTTGTGCCTTCGCACCTTTTCCCATCGTATCATGTTCTGGAAAAAGATTGCTTATCATTAGATTATGTGAAATATTACATTAATACTCGACTTCCTGTTTGCTTTTATTCATTCCGGTAAGTTAATACAACAAATCTTCGACTTTCCGCCGCGTTTTTTCTTCTGTTTAACATTGATGTTCATGAGTTGAACGCGGTCTATTGATTCAATAATCAAGAAATCATTGGAAATATTTGTTTAATTACAGTCGATTTACGTGTGCGTGTATATTCACCATATGACTTTTCCGTTGGTAGTTGCACGAGTGAATACGTTCACAAAGACGAGGCAACTATTAGATTCACACGCGAATGCATGCATAATTGATAATTCTTTTCTCCTATATCATACTGTAACTATAATTTCAGCAGGTGACTTACTAACACAATAACTTCGTTGACAAAAGGAGAAAAATGCCAAGAGAAAAGGTCTTTAATTTGATGCATCTCTTCTTCTCTTTTTCTTTCTCTTGTCGACATAATTATGTGAGAATTCTATGTGTTAAAGTACAGAGTTCATTGACGAATCTTTTCAAGAAAATTTCAAAAAGAAGATGAAGAAGGTTAAGTTATTAAATATGATGAAACGACGCGTTCTTTCGAAGAAATCATTAATGAAATAAAAGACAGATCGTTAATATTAATGAGTACATCTACCCAAATCTCGTTAGACAAGCTTAGTCACTAGAAAAAAATTATTAGTCGTCTAATAAAAGCATAAGAGAAGAAAAAAGATGAACTAACATTATCTTATTCTTTTTCTTTTTTTTCTTCTATTCGCCTGCTCTCAGGGTAGTCAATTATCAATTGATCAACCAAACAGTTCACGTTTAACCATCATTACATTGGTTACATGTGCATTGGTACTGTTCACTATGGCTGCATTCGTACTTCTCTACTTTGTTAAACGCAACGATCGTATACGAAACAAATTGGCTGAAATTACACACATCAAAGGTTTATCGACAAATTACTATCAAGTAAAGTCATTTGTTAGACAACACGCGCAAGATTTTTCTTTTTCCATACAATAAAAAGGACCTATGTCGACAACGAATGCAAGTCCAACCAACAAGTAGTAAATCACCGGAAATTCATAAAGTTCATCAATCATCACCATCGAGTGCTGCTCCAACAACAGTAACAGCTGGCAGCCATGTGAAACATAATAGTGAAGGTTCATCAACACGAAGCTCAACATCATCATGGTATGCGAACGTTGATCAAGTCCACTTCTTTTTCACGAAACTATTCGCTTCTTTTGTTTTCTCTCGTTCGCAGGAGTGAAGAACCGGTTGCACCAGTGAATATGGACATCATGACAGGACATTTAATTTTAGTAGGAATTCACTTGTCTTTGAAAAAAGATTGTCGGTGACATGAATCTCATCTTTTAGTCATATATGGAAGATCATCTTCGTAATCGACATCGTTTAGAAGCTGAATGGCAAGCATTATGCACTGATGAAGCAAATGAAGAAAAAGCGTCATGTTCAATTGCACTTTCTGAAGCTAATGCCAACAAAAATCGTTATATCGATTGTATACCATGTAAGCACAAATAGTTGACATATGATCTGTCAATGGAAATGATGATAAATGGATTTACTAGAATGAGATTGGTTGACATTTATTTTCACTTGTCATCAGATTTTCTTGAACTGTATATGTTTTATCGATGCCGCCTTTGGTGGGTCACAGATGTTAAGTATAATTATCCTCAAGCATCTTTTTATCTATCTATCTATCTATATATATATATATGGATGAATATGAGACGGCAGGTCAGTGTAAGAATAGAGTAAAAAGAAAAGTCAGGTAAACCGTTCATTTTTTTTTCTTTTCTTTTCTCACTATCATTAATTAGAGGTAAGAATCGAAATTCGAGCAATAGAAGAACTCCTACTTACTTACTTACTTTTTTTTGCCAAGCATGCATAAGAAGTCATATTTTGTGCATGCGTCTACACATCGTCTTAGGATTCGAATTGACATGTCATCATTATCTTCTCTTCGCCAGAAAGAACATATATACATATCATTTCTTTCTTTCTTTTCATATAGATGATCATACTCGTGTCCAACTGACTAACAATGGAAACGATGATTATATCAATGCAAGTATTATTGTAAGTCACTTGTTTGTTCACATCGGAATCTAGTCATTTCTAATGGAATTGGTTTTTCTCATGATTAGACTGATTCGGATCCGAAATGCAAATATATTGCAACGCAAGGTCCAATGCCAAATACAACAAATGCATTTTGGCAAATGGTTTGGGAACAAGGATCATGTGTTATTGTAGCATTGACTCGACCGAGTAAGAGACTTGATCTCATTGGAATTGATCTCTTTCGATTGAGTGTTTTTAGTTGAAAATGGTATTACAATGTGTCATCATTATTGGCCAGTCGAAGGTTCAGCGCGCTTCAATGACTTCGAAGTATGAAAACCATTGTTGAAACTGAATGATAAGAAAAACTACCTTTTTTTCCTTTAAGGTCAATCTTGTTTCGGAACATATCTGGTCGGATGATTATCTCGTTCGAAGTTTCTATTTGAAGAATGTGCAAACCATGGAAACGCGTACTGTAACCCAATTTCACTTTTTAACATGGGGCGAATTGAACAATCCACCATCGGCTAAGGCATTATTAGATTTCCGACGGTATGTAAAATAATCTCCTCAATACACTATACTTAGATCGTTGATTAAAATTAATGAGCTAAAAAAGTAACTTGTCATTTAAAATGACATGAGAGGCGCATGTGTGCACGTGATCAAGTCGCATCTTGTATGTCTTTAACCAACGAGACTAGTTGCTTCTTAGCAATTATCAAACAGAAGAGTGTCTAGGAGAATGAACGCATAGTTCTCTTTGGGCAGCTTTTGAAAATTATGCAATTTGGCATCAATAATTGCATAGTCACAAAAGCGACCTGATGGGAATGCTTGTTTTTCATATACAGCGCGATCAGATCAACTGAAATCTCTCCTTTCCTCCCGATACGATCGTTTGATTTCGCTTTTTTATTCTCTAGAAAAGTGAATAAATGCTTTCGGGGTCGATCATCACCGATTATCGTTCACTGCAAGTATGTATTTTCATTCTCTTCTCACATCGCATTCAAATGACTTGTGATTGCAGTGATGGCGTCGGACGCACTGGAACGTTCATTCTTTTGGATATGGTCTTGAATCGTATTTGTAAGGGGGCACGAGAAATTAACATAGCTGCAACACTTGAACATATCCGTGATCAACGAGCAAAAATGGTGAAGACAAAAGTATGTCAAATGTCATTTTCTCCATGAGAAAGACATTCCTTTTCCTTCTTAGGATCAATTCGAATTCGTCTTTGTGGCTGTTGCTGAAGAAGTAACCTATTTATTGAAAGCATTACCTCAATAAAGTGACATTTATGCATACGTTACGTCACTCAAGTTTATTCTATCTATGACAACACTAATTTCCTGATCAATTCTCTTGCGCTTCGTTCTTTTTTTTTGTTGCTATTACGAAAGGAAAAACATATAGATGATGATGATGATGATGATTTATGAAAAATAAATACAAAAAAGACTCTATGACACATTTTTTCGTCTTCTATTTATTTAAATATTCAATTACAATCTTGCCATTTGCAGAACCATTTTCTACACGCGCAATTGCTCCAGGAATTTGTTGAAAGGAAAACTTCTGTTGATCAATGTTTATTTTCAACTAAAAAGAAAAACTTTCATATTGACCTTCCTCTCTCTCACTCTCCTTATTAAAATCCTCACCTTATTTTGTTCAATAAGATTCTTGACTTCATTCAGAACATGTCCATCGGCTCTGTAGACTGCCCATCGATAGTTTACACCATTGGATAAACCCTACATTGATGAATTCATTATAGTTACTTTCGAAAGCGCCTCCGTCTTACATAGTACGTTTGTTTTACTGCTGTGTACGTCGTACGAGCAAAGCCAGGAATCAAACCGTATTGATCAACATTACGAAAAATGGGTGAAACTATTGTGACAAAGGTTCCGCCTTTATTTAACAATGGACTCATCAATTCGAAACTGTAAGAACGTGGGCCAACTGTATCAAAGATAAGATCGTATCTGAAAAGATGATTGTTCTTTGGCATGTAATCATAACAAGTGAGAGAATGTTTCAGACATACTTTGGTTTTCGACTTAGTTCAGAAAGCCAATCTTTTTGTTTATAATCTACGGTATCAACTACACCGAGCTGTCGAATATAGTCAAATGATCGTTCGCTACAGAGGGCTGTTGTTTCCATGCCGAGATTGTTTAATAACTAATCAATGATATTCTCAACAGATTGAAATTTCAAATGTGTTCATTTACTTGAGTCGCAACATGACCTACACCTCCACCTGCACCAAGAACCAATGCGCTAATGTAAAGGAAAAAACGAAGCAGTTGGAGGAAACCAACGAAGATCGATCTACCGTCGGCCAAATGCATTTTCTTCGTTATATCCACTAAATTTTCGAATAGCATACCAACTCGTTAATGAGACAAGTGGATATGCAGCTGCTTCTCCATCAGAGATATTGGTTGGTTTTAAACAGATCTACAATCGGTCCGATAATGTTCGTTTGTTTGTCGTTGAAAACAACCTTACTTCATCTTCTCCAGCGGCACAATATTGAGCAAAACTACCATGCCGTGTAACATTCAATGCTCCGAAGACCTTTTTTTGGATAGAACGAGCATGAAATAATCTAAATCACTCCGTCTTACTTTATCGCCAACGTTGAATTTCGTTACTTTCGGTCCTTTGCGAATGATTGTACCGCAGAAATCTCGACCTAATATTATCGGAAAATCTAATTTTTCTAATTCATTTCCGCCCATTTGTAAAACATTTTTCGCCGATTGATATGTGCCAATCAGTTTAGCACCATAACCCTCTAGAGCATAAGACGCAACTGAACCAGTCCGTTTTTTGTCTTCACTTACCTCGTCTACGAATATCTATTGGATTTACACTACTTGCTGAAACTTCGATAAGAACATCCTTGGGAGAATTTAAAATAGGCATTTGTACACTATCGGATAAAGTAAACTGTTTATTATCGCCGTAATAATAGATAACCCATGCTTTCATACGGCCTGCTGCTGATGTTGCTGTCGACGGTATACGATAGGCCATATTGGGCTCACTAATGTTCTTTATTGCTGTGTATACCGAGCGGTTTAAAGACAGCAATGGGGAAAAAATGTTCGATTTCATCATCTAAAATAATGTAACCGTTCGAATCAATCGATGTCGAACATGTGCTCTGTTTTCTACCCATGAAATTTGCGATCGAGTTAGTTTTATGATAATTAGCGATACCTTCTTGTCTAATCTAAGTTATTCGATTACGTTCGAAAGGGAAAAGGCTGAATATAGATAGGATCTGTTTAATATAAAATCAACAAGCAACCAATAACAAGAAAAATAAAAGGCACCTTTCAAAACAAGAAAAATTTAAAGAAGATAAAATAAGTCTCTGTCTTGTGATCATTTTTGCCCTTTTTTCTGTGTAACTAAAACCAGACTTGGTGATGAAGATGAAGCCGTTGTCGTAGTTGATGTTCGAGGCCAAATAGGATTGGCTATTTCGGGCAGAACACGTTCAACGGTAATCAACATATCGAATTCCTGAGCAGAATTGTACAGACGATGTAATGCTTGTATAGCCAACTCTTCAGTCTAATCGATAGAAGAAATATGAAAGTAGAACTTCCTTAATTACCTTTTCAGATTATAAGAAAACAGATAACTAACCTGAATCTTCTCCAAAGATTTATTACTGATTTGTCGAAGAGCCTCATGTGCGCGGACTTCTTGATCTTGAATGTATTTGAAGGACATGACAGGCGGTGATGTAGCCATTGGCATATTGGAATAGCCGAATGAAGATGCTGATGGTGGAGATGTCGCTGACATTGACCAAGGGTTGCTGATGTCATGTTGCGGAGGCGATGGTTGACTTATTGGAATTGAACGCGTGGGATTTTGAATCGATCTGAAAAGTATAGATCTAATTTAAACAGAAAAGTTTGTAAAGCAAGCGTTACGTTGCTCGTGTTATGCTTGGCTTAGGAACATTGACTTCTTTTTCAGTTGAAAAGGTGGATTTCAGTGGTATTGGCGGAGGAACAGCAGTAGTTACTTTCCAAGGATTTTTTGATGTCGGTTCATCTTTCGTTTGTGTCACCGGTTTTACGCTGCAATACGAAGAGGAAGTATTCGAATATTCACGAAGAACAAACGTGGTTATACAGACATCTGTTGCGTAACTTTTGGCTTAGCCGTATTGACATCGAGATCCGCTACTCGCTTAGCTGCAGCAAATTTCTCCGCTATGGATGACAATATAAGTGTATTTTATAAGTGTAAGACATTCACTCTACCTTCCTGTTGAGAATAGACAGCACCGGGTATCGCAGGTCTCGTTGGACTGACGAGAGCATTATTTGACATTGCTGACTGTGTATTCTAAGGAATAGATCCATTAATCCCATAAAAACTTGCAATTTAAATTTACTTTATTTCCTTTCGATGTTTTTTTCGATGACACAGACGTCCATTTTTCTTCTTGTTGGATTATCGGTCGAGCTACAATTGCAGGTGTGGGTACTGTTTCTATCGAAATTGGTGGCGATGCTTTGTTCACATTCTCTGATTCCGATGTTCGCAATCTGAAATTCCGATTTATCGAAGACACTACTGACGATATGTAATTTCTTAACAACAATACCTGTTCAATTGTTTTCGTTTCTGTTGTGCTTGTTGCTTTTTCGCTGCAAGATTGATCGAGTCATCAATATCAATCGAAAGGTTCTCAACATTATCCATATCAACAAATAGATCATCCAAACACGGACAGTCGTTGTATGGCGTTATCATTCGATAGTTCATACAATCAAGCTAGAAGACATTCAAACTCAAACGAAATAATCCAACAGTTTGATCTTACTAGATTTCGATACGATTTCGTTAGGTCGGTTAATAATTGTTGATCTATATTATCCAGTAGACGTGCTTCGAGGAACGTAGCTAAATTTCGACAAATGAACTGTTCAACAAATGTTTTCAATTGCTCGGCGTTGTATGTTGCAGCGAATTGCAAAAGTTCGGCAGCATCACGAAACGTAACTAGAAAGAAAGATGACTATGATCTTAATTTACTTGCATAAAGAGTACTACCTAAATTTGCAATGTGAAATTCGCAAATTTGTTTCAGTCTTTCGATTAACAACTGATCGGACAAGACCAATATTTGGCACAACTGTTCCACGGAAACTGAAAATCAACGAATGATTTTGAAAATTCCACACAAATTGAACTCACATTTATTGGCGATCGTATCGGTGTATAAATAATCAATAATAATCTCAAGCAAATCAGCTGGTATTGCCATTTTCAGTTCACAATTACTTTGACTCTAAACATTCCACATGAATCTATTGAAAACACGAGCAAATCAAGAATCTCTCACTTCTATCCAATCCGCTAAGAACATGCTACGAAAGTAATCTAATCGACTTGTTAAGATGCATTTATGACACGAGATCTTCTTTCCATCTTCGGACACGATTGTAACATCATGTAGATCCGGTCTGAAATAGCCCGAAATGTCAGTTATAGAGAATTGTTTCTAGTTTTTTATTTACAATGCATCTCGTGTGTAGTGGTACCGTTGTTTAATTTGACCGATAGATTCATCAACTGAATTCGTAGCAATTCTTTGTCGACTTTGTTTAATCGTGTCCAGTCTGCAAGAAAAAATGAAATTTCAGCGACAAACAACGAGAACTGTTCGTACCTTTTACGAAGACTGTGCAGTTGAAGCAACTTCGCAAGGTCAGTCAATTGTTCCAATCCAATGTTCAGTTCCACATCACTATTTTGTCCTGGAATCGATTCGTCCGTCGGTGAAGCAGCGTCTTTTAATTGAACAATTAACCGAGTTCATTTGAGAGTTGAAAACATGACATACTCGTTTTCTTCTTCTTCTTCGATTTCGCTCCCGATTGATTTGCTCCCGGATGCGTACCGGTCTGTTGTCGAACTCGAGTAAAATACCGATGGTCATCGATATCATCATCGATACTTTTCATGCGAATTAAATACGCTTGATATTCATGTTCGTCGCGAGTTTTGATATTGCTATAGAAATTCAACCATGGACATTTATCCGTATAGATATATTCTAGGATTAATTGGAAAATCCCGGGATCGATGTAACTATTGTTCTCTGTGGTGATTGATAAATGATCAATTTGCTTTTTGTAGACTCGTTCTCGAAAGTAAGGACTACGCATGGAAAGAATATATTTATGAGCTGAGTATGTTTGGTTATTGTTGATTTCGAGTGTTATGTCTTGGGTATGTTCAGCTTCGCTGAGTAATTCATGGAGATTTTCTTGGAAAATTGATCGAGGTTGACATGGATGGGCGTTCAAGCTACAGCGAGCGAAAGATAGAGAAAATTTCAATGTCGTTTCTTACTGTGTAGTCGGATGATATTGAAGTGCAGCTAATGAACGGCCGGTGCGATCAGTCGCGATTGCACGACATCGATGAAGAAGTGGAATGGGTGACGGAGATAAATATTGATAAGCACGCTCATCGTATATGGAATTCGATGAAACGTCTAATAATTTATCAATTCGAATAATACAGAGGAAATATACCTGCGATATTCATTACCATGTTCGACTTTTTTGCTCGTATTCGATAACTTATCCAAACTTGCAGTATAGACCTGTCCCGTGTTGGTGGTGAAGAGTATTGCGCTCGTTCCAGCCTCTATGTGCTCAATGGTTAATCGTTGTTTTGTTGACCATACGCATAATTTTGCTCGATTGTTGCCCGCATCACGCTCATGATAAAGATACAACTAGGGAAAGAAATCGTTTTTCGTATATGAGAAGTACATAGGCTGATTCAGTACTTTCTTCGATTGAACATAGAATACTTTTAAATCATCATCAATATTCTCGTCGTCAAGGATTCCGTTTGATTCAAGCTTTCCACCTACCACAGCGAGTTCTGTCACATGCGGAACACTAGAAAGCTTTTAGATTTATCCGATTGCTTTGTTATTCTTCTTACTGTTTGACAATCTTCCGGTATTTATAATCATTCAGGATATATATCGCATCTTTATTGGTATAACAAACGATCGCATAATCACTGCAGACAAGTTTTTGTACTTGTTCCACTTGACTATTGAATTTGGTCACCAGCAATGGTTGTTGAATGTATAAATCATTACTTTTCAGATGGCCAAGATGTCCAGCATTGAGACCGAATGTAAATAATTGTTCATTATCAACAATCAATGCAACATGAAATCGTCCACAAGCAATATGCGTTACTTTTCGATCTTTAATCTGTCGAAATTGCATCTAAAAGAACAAAGACAGATTCGGTGAATAGTTTCATCGACTGCTGCTCTACCTTCGCTGGTACTAAGACTTTCGATACACCTGGATGTCCTAATTGTTGGTAATTATTCAAACCACAACTCCACAAACATCCTCTAGATAAATGAAAATAGATCTTTCGATTTCATAGTGCATTTTATCCAACTTTTCAGTAAGAAAATAAGAACAATCGCGCGTGACCGCTATGTCAACACAGTGATCTTGTTCAGTTTCTTTGATTGTTTCCATTGCCATGATTAATTTTGGAGTCTATGAAGAATGAAATAACGAACTTCGTTGCGAAGATAAAATGCAAGCTTTTCTTACTAAAGCTGGCTCTTCACTGTCATGTCCAAGACGTCCGCCAACACCAAAACCGCAAGAATAAACCGACCCATTATCAGATAAAAACAACGTATGATATTTATCCATTTTAATCTACATCAAATGTTCAGAACTATCCCAGCAAATCTTATTTGATTTCGGCATATACTTTTTTAATGCAAACTGAATCCCGACGAAACGTTTCGATTAGTTCTGGCACCTTTTTTGCTGTCGACTACAGACAAAGGATTTAAGTATATTAAAAGTTCTATATTAAGATTGATTTACTTGAATATGCCCTAGATTTCCATTGGTGTTCTCACCCATTGTATAAACTTCATAGCTTTCTATTTAAAAAAAAACAAATGGTCGATTTATTGAACTGATTCGAAGTGTACCTATATCTAAAGATTCTGGAGGCGCTTCAATATGTGTATCGCGTACAACATGATCGATATACGATAAATGATCATAATCTAGTAAATTCGTATTTGCGCCGGCCTTTGGAAAAAAACAAATAATCAAGAATTCCTACGAAAGATAAGAACAGGCGCCGTACTTTAATCAGATTGATAGTATTATCGATTCTCCCATAAAACACACTATAATGTAATGCCTGAAATGAGCAAACAATTCATAGTTCGAGCTCTTCGATAAATATTATATGCACTTACGGTATAGCCTGATTCTAAATTCTTCGAATTGATGTCAACTTTTTTCTGTTTTAATAGCCAGTCGATGACTGGCCATTTATCCGGTAGAGCCGAGCATATTTGTAGTAGTGTTCGACCATATTTATCATGACCTGAGACGAAAATCATGACAGATCAAAATGGAACACATGAATTTCTACCTTTTGCGCAGTTTCCACATCGACACAAATAATTGAGAATGACTTGCACGGGAATAGATTGCGATGCAATACGGATTAAATCGAGATAATGAGTCGTTGAACGGCATTTTGGTGTACAATCTATTTCGATAGGAGTAACGGGCATACCTGGAAATAGTCACTCTGATCTGTCAAGGACGAATTGAAATCAGTTGAAATTACATACTATTTAAAAAGACATTCTGCGCAACAGAAAAGGAAAAGTAATTGTGTCAGATTTGCAAATGGTTTCGTAAAAAGTAGGTTTTGCTCGTTCAGTAGCGATATTTTCAAGACGAAAAATGACGACATTATCGGCATCTTGGCTGTGGCGGCGCCACAAGCGTCTATTTCCATATGCCTATGCAATGGTAATTTTACCATTTCAAATTGTAAATTTGAAGTATTTTGCAACACTTCTACATTATTAATAAAAAATGTCATTACAATTTGCGATTGTCCAATTGGTTGGCAAATCAGAATCTGCACTCTAATGACGTCATGCTTATAGTTTTGTAGGTATATCAGTTTCATGAATGTACTGCTTGTTCGTTGGTCGATAATCGCTTTCTGCTGTTGTGTTCTTCAGAGAAAAGAAAAGACTCTCGAATGATTGGTTTCGCAAACGAAAATGACGCTTCACTCGTTGAAATTTACGACATACTCGATTCGGCTGACTCAATCCTTCTAATAAATCAATCGTTGAATAAACAAACTATTTGACAAATATATCCGTTGCTCTTTTCTTTTCAGTATGTTGATCATTTTCTTCTCGTTTGCTTTTAATGGAAAATACAACTTTGACACATATTGAAACTCTTTCTTCAACTACTCCGAATTCCTTCATTCTTTCACCTATACTCAACACCACAGCAACAACACCGACATTGCACATTCTACAGGTAAGTTTCTAATCTACAAAAAGAGGAAGAAAAAGAAAACAAAACAGAAACATAACTTCGATAGAACGAAATAAAAATTATATTTTAGCCAGCGTCTCGCGTTCAATCAGCTATAATCGATCCTGATAAAAACAAAACTCATACAAACAAGGAATCAAAATTGCTGTACGTACTGTTTCACAACCCAAATCGTTTTCTATTTCGAAGTTCTTTCAGCGTTAAACAAGAACAATCAGATTATACGTCTCGTCCCGAAGAACAATTACTCGCCAGACGTATTCCCATATCCAATCAGTTGAGAAAAACATTAGTTACACCACTTCAACTCGATCCACGTGAATCACTCAACAGTCCATCAACTGTATCAATGTCCATGGCGAATATCGGTGGTCATCTTATGTCAGCATTGAATCCGACTCATTTGCCAGAAAATACTGGAGGATATCATTTTTCAAGTATGAAAACATGATGTACATCCAAAGGGATTCACATGATCTTTTCTGTTGCAAATAGATTTGCCCAATGACTTGGCCTCGAGTTACAAACACTCTCGTTCTTCCAATCCGGATCTCTCGTCTCCATCGAACTCGTCCAACTCTTCGAATCCTTCGTCGTCACATCATCATCAAAGCAAACGACAAGACGAAGGTGGTGATCCAACACGTAAACGCGCTGTTCGTTTGCAAAAAAATCGGTATGCAACTTTCATTGTTTCGTGACGCTCGGCAATTCTTGAAATATTTCAGTGATGCTGCTCGTGAATGTCGTCGAAAGAAGAAGGAGTATATCAAATGTCTTGAAGAACGCGTGACTGGACTTGAAACTCAAAACAAAGCTTTGATTGAAGAATTACGGCAATTGAAAGAATTATATTGTCAACGTGAAGAAAGCAATACCAATAAAACCACGACAAGTTCGCGCTAGGAAAGCGAGGCCGATGTTGCCTTAGTATTCGTCTGTACAATTCGAAAACGTTTTGTTTCTGTTCTTGCTTTATTCTCTACATTTATATTCGTCGTGCAAACAGTTTACTTTTCCTGTAATCATAATTATAGCTATTTATGTTTTATTTTATGTGATCTTCTGTTTTCTCTTTCGTGTTTTCTATTCTGTGACAGTGTGTAAGAAAATATATGGAAAATAAAATGCAGTGTATGTGTATTCTTTCAATTGACAAATATCTTCTCTACTTTGTCCTTGTTTTAGACATGAGTGTGAATGGATATTAACGGAGTAAGTCGGGTTTTCTCTCTTGCTTTCTTTATTAAAGCAAAATAAAGACAATCGTGCTACGGAAATGATGCAAATCCCTTTAATTTCTATTTGAAAAGGATCAACATGTGTTCGTAAAGCAGATGATAGTTGACTCTAACTGTATGAAGTGAAAACGATGAAAAGATTTCCTTTTCTTTGATTAGTACCGTTCCTTTGCAATGGAATTATCTCCACCGGCATCGAATCTACTCCGCTCACATTCTGATCGTGATCTGCAATCCAATGAACGTCGATTGACACGAGCGAATCTAAAGAGTTGTTCTTCAGCGTCGGATATTCCACTTCAAACTGCAGCGACAACAAACACAAACGCAATAATACCTCCGAGTGCATCGGTACCTAACTCGCCACTTCTATTACCATGGGATCGACTACAGAAATGGCTGTACGGAATTGCCGTTGTGACGTTCGATCTGGAATTAGGACAATCGATCGAACTTCTTCTGCCCACTCATTGTAAATTAACAGATAAAGAAAGACTGAATTTATCTTATTTGTCATTCCCCGATGCCAACTCCACGTTTCTTGGCGACACACAATATCATTTTCGTATAAGACATGAGTCAACCTTACCAAGTTATTATCAATGCTACAATTCAATTGTTCCACCTGCATTACAAGTCGATCCGAATTCCTTATTCGGCTATGTACACTTTCGTCAAATACGTGACAAAAAAGTGAAACGCGGTTATTTTCAAAAATCACTTGTCCTTCTGTCAAAACTACCATTTATATCTTTGTTTCTGTCAATTGTCAGTGAACTTGGTCCAAATTATTTTGAATACGGTTTGACTAGTCTCGAAACTTGCTGCCATCTAATGGATCATCAGTGGCCTGATCCTGAACCAGGCAAAACACTGTTATTACCTCTGCTGGGCAATGTTCTTCAAGTGCGCATTCCAACCCATGGTGACAAACCGTTCTCATCTTCAGATCTAATACAATTTCGTTCGATTGTCAACGAAAATGGAACGTCAAACAGTAGTAATTCGATCAAGCTTCCTATTGATGATGATGTAGAAATTGAAACATCATCTACAACGAGTTCTCTCACTATCAAAACTCAAGTAAGCTAATTTCATCAAAAAAGAACTCGTCCGTTCATTCGAAAGAAACACTTCTCTTAGATTTCAACAACTACAGATCAACATACATACACATCGTTTGAATTTCTCCAAAAACACGAACAACAACTACCTCGTCTGATTCCATTTGTATACGATGTGAATACGTATCAATCACTGTCGTCGGTGTTGACACATATACAACTTTTATGGGAACTGATTCTATTGAATGAACCAATTGCCATTCTCGGCACTTTTCCAACTTATTGCTCACAAACTGTGCAAGCTCTTGGTAGGTGATATCGTGTAACATCGAGAACTTCACAAGTAGTTTCGATTGTTTTTAGTCCATATCATCTGGCCGTTACGATATGCATCTGACTACCGTCCATTCTTTACTATTCATAACAGTGAATTTCAAGAGATTACATTTAATTCTTCGAAAAAGTCTTCGAAGAAACCCTCATTTCAACAGTCGATTATTATCGGTGTAACAAATCCTTTTTTTGCTAAACTTCTTCATCAATGGCCGCATATCATTCGTGTTAACGATCAACAGCAAGATCGCTTGAAATCTCGATACAATGAAAATTCCCTTTGCGTCGAACAGAAAGACGCCAATCTTTCACTTCATGAACTCGATGATAACACTGATTTATCATCATCACCCCAAACATTATCCACAATATTGAAAAAATTTCCATCTAACTCTAAGCCATACAAACGTTCACGTACAATTAACAACAATTCTTCACATTTAACATTTGATATGAAGCCTGGTCTCTATACCAAATACAAACCGTATCTTCAGCGCGATAAAACCATTCTAAAAAAACTTCAATCATCCAACTCCCAACAACGTCCAGATACGGTTCAAAATGCTTTGATACGTCGTTTCTTCCTCGAACTGACACAGAGTTTTATCATTCCACTCGAACGATATTTCGTCAGTCTTCTTCCATTACGTAAATTTTATCAACCCAATCGAAAACCGCCTACCATCAAAGACTTCGACCAGGAAGAATTTCTCAAAACCCTTGATCATTACGGGCCACAGTTAACATCGGGTTTGAAAGGCGATTGGAAAGATCTATACAAACAGTTTCTGTTGACACCAAACTTTCGTCTATGGCTGGCTGATCGACAGCAGGAAGGCAATGCCAAGATTTATTCATTATACATTGAAACAATCGCCAATTGCCGATTGGAAGAAGATCTGAGACTTTCGAAGTTAAGCGAAGTTGAATTAGTTGACTTACTACTCAAGTTTCATGATCTAATCCAACGTTTAGAATCGAAAACCGATGAACTACTACTGACAATTGATCAAACGATTAAGAATGATTGTTTAGATAAACTACGCACAAAAACAAAACAAATTATTGATGAAAAGTTGTCTGAAGATATGAAATTATTATTTAGTAAACAAGTCAAACTCTCCTACTATTAAATCTTCATGTCTTTTGCTTTTTGTCTTCTCTACCAATCAAATCGGTGATCTGAATCTATTTGTTTTTCCTTATTTATCTCTGTCGTAACTCAATACTCAAATGTATTTTGTTGTCAGCACTTTTCTTTTGTACTCGCTTCTCAGTTTGTAATATAAGAGAAGATGCGAGGTTTGTTTATATTTTAAAAAAAGAATGCTCAATATTATATTTACATAAAAGCATTTGGGAAATGTATTCTCTGTTTGTTTATTAGATGTTCAATGACGAGTTCGACTCTATGCTTTGCTAAGTCTATTCAACGTATTGCTTGTTTGAGCAGTCGGTAAGACACTTTCAATGCGTGAAAGTGCGATTACTCTGTTTACGTTTAGTCAAGCACGTGGAAGTCTACGTTTCGTATCGACAGCGTTACCTGATAGTTGGTATAAACGCTTTCCTCCAATTGTCGAAAAGGATATCGAAGAAAAAGCGATTAAAGGCTCAGGACCGGGTGGCCAAGCGATAAATAAAACGCAAAACTGTTGTCAAATAAAGCATATTCCAACAGGTTAGTTGATATCATTTGTTTCTTTGTTATCAGATCGACAGTGTGTTGCTTAGGGATTGTTGTTTCATGTCAACAGACACGTTTTCTAGAAAAGAATCGATTGTTAGCTCGACGTCAACTACAAGAAAAATTGGATGCTTATTACAACGGTGAACAGGGTCTTGTTGCACAGTATAAACGAGAACGAAGCGAAAAACGAGAAGCCAAACGTTCAGAAACGAAGAAAACTCTCGAGAAAAAACGTGCTTTCAAAGCTCAACAAGACAACGATTCTAACAGTGATCATGATCATTCATCAAACTCCTAAACAAGTTATCGATAGTGCAAACAATGAGTGTATCACACCGACATGCGAAGAACTCAATTATGAAACTAGTCAAGTTAAATGTCCACATAGAGAAACAAACACCTTAGTAGAGAAATGTCAGAAAATTTTCAAAAATATCATGGCACTCAATGTACATTTGCAAATGTACCATAAACAAATAGGCATTCCTACAGTTAGTAAAACAAAATCTGTAGAAACACGAGTTTCGACATGAACATTCACATTTAGACATTCAATAAATACTCATCGCATATGGGTCACTATCATTGCCCAGTAAAAACTTGTACGTTTCATTGTTGTTATGGTAATTGTCAATTTGCTCAATCGGCGTCATCGTCGTTTTCAAGTTTCAATGCCGTAAGATTGGTTCGTGATAGACAAGAACTTTATTCTTGTCGAATTAATTGTATCTGGATGTTTTAGCATTATTTGAGGCAACATGGTGCGAAAAAGCAGCAGTGCTCGAAGTGTTTGAAGTCGTTCGGTCTACATCAGGATCTTATAGCTCATGAGCGAATGTAAGCGATCGAATTTTGAGATTGTCGACGAAAGATTTGTTTCTCGTTTTAGTTGTGGTATTCAATGTCCGTTTTCTTGTTCAAACTGTCAACAGCAATTTCATAATCGAACAAGTTTACGACGACATCAATTGAAATATCACACAGATTCGTATGACGCTCCTACTACGACAAAGTAACGAAACATTACCCTAGTACATCTGAATAAGGATGACAAGTTTGGATTTTTAATATAATTTCAGGCTTCCCCCTTTATCCAAACAGAAAGAACCTCGAAAACGACCCAATCGTCGTCGTCCTCTTCCAGCACATCAAATCGAACTACCTCTTCCTTCCACTGCTCATTCATCGGTGATTATCAATCCTCATGCATTAGCATTACTCAAAAACTTCAATTCAGAATCACAATTCGTTTCCCCTGGAACAAATCCACCTATCAGCATCAATAAATCTACTCAAACGAATACTTATGTTTCCATCGGTACAGAATGTTGTTCATTTTCTTCACCGACTCAAACCATCGAACAAAAATCAAGTCAAACAACCAATTCTGTAAGATTACCTAAAAACCGCACACGGTATTCTTCTTCAATTTCCAGCGTGTCACAATGGAAACCTATTCATGTTATTGACAAGGAAACACAAATGTCTTCTCCGATACGCTGTGATATGTGTATTCAAACTATGAATCCAATTTCCAATTTACCATCGCACTCTTCTGAACCTGATTCGCATGTTATAACTCAAACAATTCCTATTCCGACGACGTCTACAGAGATGCAAACAATGAATGACTATTCACTGGAACATACAACCAATTTAAGTAGCACTTGTCCTCTCTTTCCCGAACAAGAATCTAATGGTACATCATGTTTACTTGACGATTTCTTGCTGAACGGCCTACCATCGTCAGTTCTATCCGATATGAACACAATGGATTTACTCGATCTTATTGATAATAGTACACAAACATATTCATCTATTGCTAATCACCAGACACAGACTATAGCAGATTGGGACAATATGCTGATCACAGAAGATGAATACATTCAAATGATTATCAAGAGCTAAAATTTTCTTTTTCTCATGACCGAAGACATGTTTTTCGTCTGTTGCTAAAGTCTAGAAAAGCGTTTATTTACAATCTAATATGTGTGAAAAATAGACAATAAATACAAAAGTATTCGATTATTTTCGACTGGTTGAGTTCATTGTTGGTGTACGATAGACTAATAACATTTTATGATGTGTGGTTTTGATCTGTGCTAGAATTCTTCTCGAACTTGATAATTTCATTGTTAAAATTTGTTTCCAATTAATCGGCGAGACGATTTCTCGTGAATCCGTAAAACCTGTTGGTTGATAGTTTTCCGGGGTGATTGATGAGTTATATTGAATTTTCAGACAAAAACGATAATCACCTCGATTAGCAATTGGTTTGAGACGTTCGTCGATAAATTCATTGATCTGTTGCAATGCTTTTAAGACTTGCTGTTGAATATCATCAGTGGATGTTGTGTTCAGAAAACTTTCATCGGGACTGGTCGTCGAAGGATTGTTGTATGCAAAATAATATTCGTACATTTCGAAGACTGAATCATCGACTTTTGATATAACAAAAAAAGTAGCTAATTTCAAATAATCATTGGCAATAGCCTGAGATACACCTTGGATCTGATAGATAAGAAAAATGATTGAACAATTCACTTAACAAACAGATGTAAATACCCATGAGAAAACTGTTGAATTAAAACGTTTTTGTTCACTGATCGATGTCGATCGAGTAAATAATGGAACAGATAATGAACCAAGTTTTTTCGATGAAAAGTGATCACTGGAGAAAATATGTCGTTTAGCCGTTAGAGCTGATAGGGTAACTGTGAAAAGACGATGAATGAATAAAGCCGAATCTGACTTTGCCGTGAGTTCTAATGGGAAAAGTTTCCCCCATTCACGAGAATCGATAGTTGATAACGACATGGTCTGTTCACAGATGAAAACGAATTGAAACTCTAACGTTTCGTCGCAAGATATTCGTATTTTTCTCTTTCTGTCAGTCACGTGTCTTGGCTATAACCAACAGTTAATTGATTCAAAATTCTATTGTTTATTAGGGAGAAAAACAGAGCCATTTCATTTATACAAATCTCGCTAGTTGTATCCGAAAGATCAAAAAGAACATTCATAGCAGATAAGACATTTTTCAAACGATATGTACAAAGATTTCTATCGCATTTGTAAAAAAATTATCGTTGTTGACTTTGTTGCATTAACGATCGTTTTACTTCGACTTCATTGTCATCCAATTTCACCGCTGCTGATACATCCAAGTTCGTTTTTGATAATGTAGCCGGCAGAACCTCTGGACAGTGTTCCTCATTATTGGCAAATCGCTTCATTTTCCAAAGAAGATCATAAGCAATTTCATCGGTTACAATTGAATCATGTTTATACGACGGATGATTTGCTACGAACAGACGCATCCATGCTGCATTCGTTAATAATGAACCTGAAAAGAATTCCATATTGGTTCCAGTCGTTTTGTACAACCTCATCTATCTCATACCGGCTGCGCGTTTACTAATCAGACTGAGATACTGATTGATTGTGCATCGTGTATCAGCATCTACTTCAATGTTAGTCAGATAATCTTGAACAATGTTTAGAAGACCGACAAATTCATTCTAGAATTTCGAATCGGTCAAGAATTTTCTTTGTGTAAAATAAAGATATCTACTGATCCATTGATAATTTCGTTGATGGTCATAGGACGATGTTCACAATCATCTTTCTTGGATGTATCTGTTTGTACAGATGCCGAACAAAATGTATCAGGTGTTTTCTCTAGTGAAATCGACATGAAATAAATCCAATCTCTCATACAAATCTTACGCGTTGAAAGAGATTTTCGAAAATGAAATTTTTGTCGCCGAAGTGCATCGCGTTGTTGAGCGAGTTGCATATTTTCATCGACCTATAAACGGTAGTACAAAGAACAACAAGTTCATCATAACATTGGTCTGCTTACAAGTGAGATTGGAATCAGTAAGTTCAAATTGTAAGTCATAATTGCTCGTGTAAGTAAGACAATAAAGGTTACGAACGCTGCATTTTCGAAATCAGTCATTTGTAACTAGTGAGATTATCGATATGAGTTCTATTAGCGAAAACAAGCACAACGAATATTTACTTCGGTCGGTCGAAATTCTACTCGCCATCCGATGTCACTCCTTACGGGCGGTGGTTTAAATCGCATCGATTGCCAATTTGTAGAGTTGATGTTCTAAGCAGCGAAAGCAAAGTCAAAAGATGAGTAATGAAGCGATTATCTTAATTTTACCTCAAAATGATCAGCATCTTTCGTGTCATCGAAACGAAGGTTTTCTTCGAATAAGATCACCGTATCACGAATAAACAAATGTGCAATATGCTGAGCAAGAACATCATCAATGCCTATTTTAAAAAATGAATGAAACATTTATGAGCAGAGACGAACTTATTTACCATTATTGATTAACTTTTCAAAAACGTTCATGTCCTTAACTATGTCTATATCATTGTACTTCGTACTCTCGGGCGATATGTAGCAGTCGACGCTGGAATACCGAGATTTAGGTATGCGAAAACGTTCATGTTTCAATGGCTAAATACAATCAAATGATACGATCGTTTTTTCTAATGAATAATAGATTTACTTCGAATCCTCGTTCCTCGGCTGTTCGATCATCGGACATTGCACAAAGAACATTCCATCGGCAATCGATTTCAGCTAAATATCCACGCCAGATCGGAGATGATGCACTCATAGCTAGCTTGAAAGATAGGGCAAAGAAGTGAACACTGAAAAAGAAATATTCTTTTCATTCTCTACCATTATTGGTGTCAATGGCGTCAATTGATCATAGAGAAATCGTGCTTCATCGATCGATTGTGCTTGAAAGGTGACTTGCAGACAGCAACAACCCATGCCTAAACCCATTGCATCAAGATAAATATTATCCTTCATCAGCGCAGTTTTGTGAGCACCACCATCATCACCACCATAAACAGAGAAGTCTTCAAGAAATGGACGTGGTGTATTCTTATCGATGAAAACTAAGGTGGATAAGCATAAGAAATTCTATGCGCAGTTCTTTGTACATTTATATTCATCTATACTTGGGACGTTAAGAGCAATTTTAGCATTACGCCGTTGATTGATGTTATGCGTTAATGTTCTGAAAAACGAATTATTAGATGGAGTTCTTGGAAAAGTGGCAATCGTGTTTTGTTTTCTTACTTAAATCTTGGATGATCAGGAAATATTGCCTCGTCCGGAAAGCAAAACGATGCCGTTACTGATTTACCAGGTGTTGGTTTGTACGTAGGCCAAGTGCAATCGGGACATCCATTTCTAAAATTCGATCGTTTAAAAATACGAATGTCAGATTGAAAGTATCATACCGAGGGAAATTTGAAGTGCTCAAAACATATTCGTCTTTATCAAGCAATGCTTGACCTTGCTGCCGACTGAAACAGACACAACTCTTCAATTATTATCTCTCCAAACTCCTACCGCAAACGCATATTCGCTTCTACCATGTTGAAATGTGCTGGTAAATGTCCGTAAGGTGTACCAGGCGTTCCTTCAATCATATAGTCCTACAACATCGAGTTAAACAGACCTCGAATTTTCATAGCACAGAAAAAGAACGCAAATTTACAGTGTATTCTGGCCGCCAAAGTGATGTGCAATTGCTAGAAAAATGAAAATATTCCTTAGCATATCTATAAACAGATCTATTCAACATTACTCAGGATTTTGATGTTCAGGTTCCATCAAAATAGGCAGAAGTTTATGTGCTTTGAGAACTAATTGTGCTTTTTTTTGTTCATGGTCGAATCGGACCATAATAAATTCCACCTGAAATGTTGCTCTAATTTTTGTATTGTTGTTTCAAAAAAGATCAGCATACTTCGTCGCCCCATTTCAAGCAATCATTTCGACGATCTTTGAGTTTCTTGTAAATTTGAATAAATTGCTCGACACCACGTTCACGTACCGTCTGAGCATATTTCTTCGTTTCTTCCCAAGTTAATGGACGTCCCTGTGTTAATAAACCCATTCTCGTCGAAATAAATGATTAGATTCAATCTGAGAAGAAAAGAAACTAGACATTCCATTAGCTTTGATCTGTTTACACAAAGTATAACAATTATATAAATGAATTTTTCAAGCATACGCAAAGAACAGTGAAGATCTGTTATTAATAGGATCGATCAAAGAAATGACTTATGTATGTATATATAAGTGAATTGAAAACAGAAGAGATGAAGGATTATATGTCGAAGAGTTAATGGCGACGTCGAGAAAAAAGTGTGATGATGACATATCATTTTCACGTTCGATAACACTTTCTTTTCTATGAACGCAAATGTATTTGTTGAAATGTTATATCATGCAATGAATATCTGCTTAATTAAACAAGTGATTATCTCATCTCTGTTCAGAATTCTCATTTCATCGAATTGCCTAACACATAATCAGTTTCATTCTTCGAAGAAATTGTCTGTCGGATACATATAACTTTTCGAATAAGGAATACGAACAGATGTCGTCAAATGACGATTGTCGGAAATGAATGCACGCATTTACTATTGGATCAGAAAGAAAAGACTGAAGAAAGAAAGAGCAAGCAACTGTATTCGATCTACCCATTCAGCGAGCTTGGTGTTGTTGTCAGTCTTAACAAAAAACGAATTTTGTCTGTGTGTATACGTGTATCGAATTCTCTTTCTGTTCATCGAGTTTTGTTGTGAAAAAGCATGCCACCAGTGACTTATCCAGCATTAGCTGGATATTATGAATTGCAAAAGACGATTGGCAATGGTGGTTTTGGAAAAGTGAAACAAGCCATTCACCTTCTTACAGGTGAACATGTTGCAATTAAGATCATCGACAAAGCTAAATTAGGCGTAGGAAAATATTTCCGTGCTGCGTTTTGTTTTATTAACTATTCGTTTCTTTTCAGAGTGATGTCGCGCGTATTGCATTGGAAATCAAAGCAATGAAAGATCTACGCCATCAACATATTTGTCAATTGTACCAAGTCATCGAAACTGATGAATATTACTTTCTAGTCTTAGAGGTACAATATACTGACGCTGTTGTTTGACTTACCGTTCGTGTTATTGTAGTATTTCTGTAATGGAGAATTGTTTGATTACATTGTCAATCGAAATCGTTTATCTGAAGAGCAAGCTCGACATTTCTTCCGTCAAATTGTATCAGCGGTCGCATACATGCACAAGAAGGGTTATTGCCATCGCGATCTGAAACCAGTATGTGATTGTGAGCAGGAAAATAGTTCATGATAATTTCGATTAATTCCAGGAAAATCTTTTGCTTGATCGCCGAGAAAATTTGAAACTTATTGATTTTGGTTTGTGTGCTCAGCCGAAAGGTGGAATCAACTTAGCATATCTGGGTACAGCTTGTGGTAGTCCAGCCTACGCTGCGCCGGTAAGTCATGCCTAGAACTTTTGTTATCATATTTACAGTTAATGGATTCTTGTAGGAAATTATTGCTGGAACAAATTATCGAGGCGATGTGGTAAGAAAAGATTTTCATACCCTTCCATGAGATAGTTTAATTATAAGTTTAAATAATCTATCCTCAACTTAGGTTTGTTAATATCTATGACAGGTAAAGTAATATTGACTGTTAGTTGTCGCTTCTGCTTGTGTCTTTCTTGTAACATGCCGTACTTTTTATAACAAAAAATTGTTCTCGACCATCGTCTTGAATTTAGGCGGATGTATGGAGTCTTGGCGTTCTCTTATACGCGCTTCTCTGTGGTAGTCTTCCATTTGATGATGAAAATATTGCATCGATGTATGCCAAAATTCAGGTAAAAACTTCATTATGGGAAACTGGGGGATCCTTTCTTAACTGCATATCGTCGTTTTCTGTTATATAGAACGGTGTTTATCATATTCCATCTTGGTTATCACAAGAAAGTGTAGCACTGTTGCGTCTGATGCTTCAGGTAGATCCGAACAGACGCATTCGTATCGACGATCTTCTACGACATCGATGGTTAATTAATAATGTTTATCCCGAACCGGTTAAATGGGAATCCATCTATCAAGTATGTTCCATGTTTTAATTTTTGGTTACTTATTTGAATTCGGCTCTTTTTAGACTAAATTAGAAATTTCCTGCATACGTGAAATGGCTCTTTATTATGGCCGAACGGTCAATGACATCGCTCAAGAGCTTTCGTCTGTAAGTGAATTTTCGTTGACTTATCAGGTCGACTCAGTGGAGAAAAACTATCCGATTTTTCTTTAGAAAAAGTACGATTATTTGACCGCAACATATTTTATTTTATTTGATCTTAAATCTCGTCACAAACCCATACGTCTTCTACCTAATCGTATTCAACCAGTGAACACACGTCTGTTGGATGTGAATCAACCGAAATGTCCAGCAAGTTCAATTCCAGCAAATTTGCTTCGAGAAAAGAATCAAGAAACTAACTCTCGATCACGCACTGCACATCGACATCCACCACCAGCTGACCTTCTCCTCATTTCTCAACAGGATAAAACACAAATACCACCACCTTATGGACATAAATCATCGAATCACGATCAACGTGGTCGAACGCAAAAAACGCCAAACAAAGAAAATTTAGAGAATTCGAATACCAAACGTCATGAACGAACAACGCCAACTGTCAAGTAAGAAATAATCAATATCTGACTTATAGTCATAGCATCTGTCAATGCTTATAGAACACCGAATTGCCAACGAATTTTGATGTTTGCTGAATCACCTGGTGGTTCCAGAAGAACGCCTGACAAGAAAGGCGGTAAGAGATCGTACGTTTCGAAATGTCAAACTTATTTCTTTCTATAGATCATCGAATAACTGCTTCTAAATCTTTCGATGATGGTCTCGATGATGATAATCTTGACGATTCGAAGATCGCTTCTGCACTAAAGTAAATATTTACATCTTTTCATGAACAATGTCATTCGATTGGACTTGTTTCAGAGCATTCTCAGTTGGCGCAGTCGACAGCGACGATTTAGACGTTTACTTGACACCACAACGTCAGAAGAAAAACGTTCGTTCATTATTTGGTAGTGTGGAACGTGGTTTAAATACAGTCAAACAAATTCTTACACCAAAACGTACGAGTGGAAATAAACCAAGAAAAACATGGGTAAGTTCATATCGATCGGAGACGATAGTATGTTAGTTCGGTTGATATTTAGGAAACAGCGAATGTTACACCGATCAATGTTGATGATCCTGATCAAGTATGTGATTTACTTGAACAAGCAATTAAGAATAATTCTCAACTTAAATACAAAGAAAAAGGGTAGGACGATGGAAATATTCGTTGGAATTCATTTCATTGTGTCTTGTTTAGAACACGGTTCATATACGATGTTTTCATTGAAGATGACTGGGGTAAAATTGTCTTGGAATTTGATTTAGAAATCGTTGCCGTTCAAGGCAAAGAACTGGGTATTCAACGCAAACGCACCAAAGGTAGTGCATGGCATTATAAACGATGTTGTGAAGATATCATTGGTCAACTGACTCGACTTTTACCTCATTTACAAACATCTGTTTAACAACACGAAAAAAAAAGAACACGAACTGATCATGGAAGGGAAATATTTTTCTTACTGTTTTGTGTATAGAATTCTTATGTGTTTTCTTTTCTGTTTGTTCGGTGCCAATTACTGCATGTAATTGAATTCTATATCTAGTCTTTATGTTTCTCTCTGTCTGATATTAGATCTTTCCACGATTTATATCTGTAAAAATTCATCCATGTATTTTTTTTTGTCTGTGTATTCAAAATTAAATCAATACTCTGTCCCCCTATGACTTTCAATAACATAGATATACATCGATCTATTTTTCTCTTCGTATTCTTACTTAGATGGCAACACATTTATGTCGTGTTTTACCGGTGTGCAGTCGGACTGCACTAAAAGGACGTCTTCGAATGTCCTTACCAATGATTTCAAGTCTAAATCAACAAATGGTAAATGATAAAAAAGATTATCATTTCGATGCGAGATAAATCTTTTTCTTCCAGGTCGTTAGAATGAGTCATCATGATATTCCAGAGCCAGCTGGCGAAACACGTACAGAATCGGATACATTTGGACCCATCAAAGTTTCAGCTTCAGCTTATTATGGAGCACAAACAGCTCGTTCAATGTATCATTTCAACATTGGCATCCCAACTGGTAATGAGAGGAAAACCGAACATTTGTATTCGAAGTCTATCGATTGTGTTTAGATCGTATGCCATTACCTTTGATTGAAGCTTTTGGTTTATTAAAACGAGCTTGCGCGACTGTTAATAAACAATTCGGTCTGGATAAGAAAGTATCTGATGCCATCGCACAAGCATGTGATGAAGTCATTGCTGGCAAACTAAATGATCATTTCCCATTGAGTGTTTGGCAAACGGGATCCGGTACACAATCGAATATGAATGTCAATGAAGTTGTTTCAAACCGTGCGATACAAATCCTTGGAGGTACAATGGGAAGTAAAAAGCCGGTCCATCCAAACGACCATGTTAACAAGAGTCAAAGCTCGAATGATACATTTCCAACAGGTAGCAACCGATAGGAAAAAAGATGTTTCGTTCATGTATTGAATTGTCATTTTGTCGTTGTTAGCAATGCATATTGCTGCTGCTTTGGAATTGAAACGTCGTCTACATCCAGCTTTGAAACATCTCCATGATGCATTAAAGAAGAAATCAGATGATTTCGCATCGATTTATAAAATTGGTCGAACACATTTACAAGATGCTGTACCAATGACACTTGGACAAGAATTTTCTGGTTATACACATCAAGTAGCCATGAGCATGGAACGTTTGAAAACTTGCGAGCCACGCTTATATGAATTGGCAATCGGTGGAACAGCTGTTGGCACGGGTATCAATACACCAAAGGGATTTGGTAGATTTGTTGCTGATGAATTAAAAAATCTTACAAATTTACCATTTATTGATGCACCCAACAAATTCGAGGCATTAGCAACACACGATACAATGGTTGAATTAAGTGGTTCACTCAATACTCTAGCGGCGAGTTTAAGTAGGAGATAAATTGATGATTTTTTTTCGTATCAATCTATCGGGTATTTGTTTTTGTTAGTGAAAATCGCCAATGACATTCGTCTTTTGGGTTCGGGTCCACGATGTGGAATCGGTGAATTAGTATTACCCGAAAACGAACCAGGTAGCTCAATCATGCCTGGTAAAGTCAACCCAACTCAATGCGAAGCAATGACAATGGTTGCTGCTCAAGTCATGGGCAATCACGTTGCAGTGACAGTCGGTGGTGCAATGGGACATTTCGAATTGAACGTGTTCAAACCATTGATTATCAAAAATGTTCTTCATTCGATACGCATTCTCTCGGATGTTTGCCATTCATTTACAGACCATTGCGTCGTCGGCATTGAACCAAATACACCAATCTTGACTAAATACATGCGTGAATCGCTTATGTTAGGTAAGTCGGATGAAAACTGCGATTGAATTCATCTTTTTGCTTGAATGTTCGCGTTATCATTTAGTCACGGCACTTAATCCGCATATTGGATACGATAAAGCAGCACAAATTGCGAAAAAAGCACATAAAGATGGTACAACACTACGTGAAGCTGCTTTAGCTTTAGGACATTTAACCGAAGAACAGTTCGAAAAATGGGTCAATCCAAAAGACATGGTTTAAAAAAAGAAATGAACAGTTTCCTCTACTTTCTTCATTCTTTCCCTCAATAAACATATTTTAGTGTATTCTAGTTTACTAACAAGTAGATTCGTCTTTTTCGACACAAGAAGAAACGCATTATCTAACTATTAATCACTTTCAATAGTCGTTTGACGACGCAAAGGTAGTGCGTAGTGATACAAACTGGACGCGTTCGTTCGCGAAACAAGAAATTATTGCTCGAATCTGACGATACAATGATTTCTATCGCACACGATCTTCATCTCATTGGTTAAGAAACACTTCGATTGAGTGATAGTATATCTCAATTCGTTTTGTACTTTAACCGACAAAAACACGACCTAGTAAACAAATAATCCCATGACTACTTTATCAGTAACATCATTTCGAAAAAATCTATTTTACTATCGATAGAAGATATCTTCTATCGTTTTCTTTCTCGTTCTCTCGATAAACTTTAAACAATAGATATAAATATACTAAGATTACAACGACCATTCACACGCATATACACCCGCTAGTTACATACTAAACTAAATCAAATGTTAACACAGGAACAAATTCAGAGTGTATGCTCGTTGGACATGCAAATTCTTTTTTTCTTATTCGCGTTCATTTTAGTTTGAGAAGAACGGTTATCTCGTTGTCAAACAATTAGTCACTCGCGATGATTGTGCGAAATTGAAGGAATCAGTGGAAAACTTAATTGATGCATGGGATCCCCAAAGTGATACTTTGTGTACATTTGGCACTGGCGAAAATAGAGAACAATCGAGAAGTCGATATTTTCTGGAAAGTGGAGATAGAATTTCGTTTTTTCTGGAAGAGAACGCCGTTGACCCAGAAACAAGTGAGAAAATGCTTTACAACGTTTGTTTAACTATTTTCATATGTAAAGATAAACTGAATCGCGATAAACATCACAGTGTGAATAAAATTGGCCATGCTCTTCATGTACTCGAACCTCAATTCAAAAAAGTCTCATTTTCGGACAAAATCAAAGTAAAGTTTGCTGTCAAGAATCTCTCGAACCAGTCGAATTGCTCTCTAGGAAATTGTACGCGATTTAAACTATGTTAAACCAGCAATTTGCCAATCGATGTATATCTTCAAACAACCGTATATCGGAGCAAAAGGTTTCGGAACTTGTCTTTCTCGTACGTAATCGAACATGTTTTGTTGTAGTCGTTCCTCACCAGGATGGTACATTTCTTTTCAATAATCCACTGAAAATTATGGGCGTATGGATTGCTCTCGAAGATGCGACCCTTAAAAACGGTTGTCTTTGGTTCATACCTGGCTCTCATAAAGGTAAATTCAATTGTATACTGTTGAGTAGCATATAGGTGGGTGTCGATTTAGGACCGATCAATCGACGTTACATTCGTAATCCGAACGAGCAAGAATTCAATGACGGAAAAATGTTGATTTTTAAAGGAACTGAAGATCAGTATGATGATAAAGATTTTGTTCCGGTAGAAATTGAAGCTGGTAAGAAAAGTCTTTCAGATCATCATTTGTAATAAATCGGCTTGTGATATTCAGGTGATGGCATTCTTATTCATGGACAAGTTGTGCATAAAAGCGAACAGAGTATGTCAAGAACAAGAATTTTTCATAAGTAATGCGTTTTTCTGTTTAGATACATCACCGATTTCGAGACAAATTTATACTTTTCATATCATTGAAACGGATAATTCAGAATATAGCAAAGAAAACTGGTCAGTTCACTTTTCCTTCTTCTATCCATTACATTTGTTTATTTAGGCTTCAAACAAAAGAACCATTTCCATTGATTTATGATGCATAGATGAAGTTAATCCTGTTCACATACAAATACAAAATATTGCAAGATTTGGATGTGTTTTAAGTCTAAGATAGAGATCGAATAAAAGAGATATCGCTTTTAAATAACGTTCGATTCGTTTACTCTTTTCTACATCAATGATGTAACCAGTCGAAATCCTTAGGGCGTCGATGAGAGTAGGTACTTTTCATCAACCTTGATTCTCGTATCTATACTCTCAAGAATTAATTTTTATTAAGCATAGAGAAATAGTATATTCATAGAAAAACAAAAGACCTTACAAGCATGAACACATCCTCAACAAATATGTAAATGTACACTGAATCAACATTGACTACATCATAAATAAAACCTCTAGCACAAAACAGATATCACAAGGAAATGAATTACAGCAATGTTGGTGTCCTGTTCATCAATGTTCGCTCTCATGTGCTTGGTCGCCATGACTTTGAGGAGTTTGATCATTTCTCGTTGATGGAATATGTTGTAACGGCTGAGGAAATTGATTAAATGGAAGCGTGTTTGATCGTCCTCGTTGTGGTTGTCCATCAGATGATGTGTTACGAACCATTCGACGTTTAACTTCTGGTGGCTGCTGATCATTTATACGACGTAAAGCAAATGGATTCCCTCCTGGATGTGATGCGTCATCTGGTGTTCGCGGCTGTTGTAGTTCAGGTCGCGGTTCGGGTTTCAGGCCTGGTTGACCTTCCTTCGGAATTATCAAATATTTGTAAAGAGTTGTTCGTGGCGGTGGCAACTTTTCTTCGACTTCATTAGCAAAGAATCGTTTGTCGCAACACTTTTGATATAGATCGTGAATGAGTTTGGTTGAAACGAAATCACTGTGAAAGTTTCATAAGATTTCGTTCATTTTTTCAATTGAAAACAAAGCTGATCTTACCTAGCATTTGTTCCGATAATACGTAAGATGAAATGCCCATCGGCTTCGAGATACTCTTCATTAAAGAAATCGAATAAAGACAGAGGTTTTTTTGGATTATTGTAATAGATCTCTGGAACGATGAACATTCGAGACTGATGGTGAACCTTTCGGCCATCACTTAAAATATGAACTTCGTCTCCTGTCGTAGCATCCGACATATCACGACTTTGCACTACAAATACAATAGCTAGAGAGAAAAAAAACGAGTTCTTCATATTCCTATGACGTACATCTAATGAGTAGATCATTATCTTCTATGTTCATATGAGAACGACAGGAATCATTGAATGGCCATTTTTGTGTGATTTCATAGTCCATGACTTTCAATCGTCCTTCGATATAGGATTTGCGTCGAAAGAAAAGTCGATAGATCCAGATACCAAGATCGTAGAGTGTCAAAATAATTACGAAGACAAACCAAAACCATAGAAAGGTAAATATTTGCTGTAAAGGAGAAGAAGAGAAAAATATCAATACTTTGGTCGAACAAATATATCACTGAACCTTACTTGATTAAACAAATTTATTGGCAGAACACACATTACTGTGTACGTATGTGCGATAGGTAGAGCATTGGCTTCACGAATTTGGAAATCACTATTACAAATACTTTTATAAACAAATATGAGAAAAGATCTTCTTCTTACCATAGAGTAACTTTCGGAAAATATTTACTACTAAATTCCCAACCTTTGCCTTGATAAAGTAGTCGAATAACTGTAGCACCTAATGACCAAAACGGTTGACCCAATAGCAAAGACAGCAACACGAGTTGTGACAACGCGTTCAGAACATAGATAATTTTTATAAATATGAATAAATTTCTTAAATAATCGCCCATATAGCGACCCGAAGATGGAACGAACATGATAAAGCATTTTTTCCACCAAACAGTCTCGCGATTATTTGATTGACGACGTGGATCATCAACATATTGATCGATAACTGATATCATAAATTTCATTAATCGATCGCGTTGTTTTTCATCGTTTGCTCTCTTGTAGTTAGACGCTGCTTCAACGATGTCTCGTATATCAATACCTTTTTTACAGCAAAACAAAATCAACAATAACGACGTGGAAAGTCAATTTACCTGATCGTTGACACAATACACGCCATAATACATAAGGTACAAAGAAAAGAAAAGCTTGAAAAAGAAGTATGAACGGTATCCACTGGTAGTAACGTATGGACATATCATGCCGGATGTCCGGATTTTCAGGTATTTCACTTTGATCGTCAATGTAATACGTATTACGTACCCAGCACACCTAAAGAATTAATATAAACAATACACAATAAATCTGAATAGGAAAACTTTTTACGTACATTATTGGTATAATCTTCGTAATTTCCGGTGAAAAAAGCTGGTACCTGGAGAAAGGTCAATTACTCTGATGATTTCATTGATATGAAATGAACATACCCAACATTGAATACGTTTGGAAGTGAATTCACGATTCGATACGATTACAGTGAAGGCGATAAGTATCGCACATGTATAACGATAACTAAGACGATCACCAGCGGAATCATCACTACGAGATGTGCCCAGAAATAAGGTTGAAAATTCATTGGCGGCTTTTAATATTAATGCCGACATGACAATCGAAGATGACTAGGTGTAATATACACGTCTCTACTTCAATTCTCTTGAAGATATTTATAATGTTCTTATCTAAAATGGTAGAAAGTGTAAACTGATCCGAAATAAATCTGGCTATGAGTATGTTTAAGCGCATCAGCTGAGAAAGAAAAAAAATCATAGGAAGAAGCGATTTCAATCAATCGATTACTCAACTCTACGCCTCTCAGATTTTCCTCGTATCTATAAACATATACTAAGCAGAGACTGACATTTATGCTTTGTTTTATAATCCATATCTATTTCTAATTACCATAAAGCATACGCGGACAAACTAACTAGTAGACCAAATCTTCGTCGTGGATATGGTGTTTTATTTCTTTCGAACATAATATTTGGTGATGAAATATTTGTTGAAAACTAATTATCTTCCCGACGACTTCATTTCGATTTTCGAGCCTCTATAATGATTAACAACACTTACCATACGCATACGAATAGCATATATCACATACTCGTAAGTTTGTTATGGGTATGTCTATGTATACGTACGTCCGTATGCATTGATTGACGACAAATAATATCAAGAACGATGTAAGACGTTAGTTATTGATGACATTCATTCATTCATACATACCTCAGGACAGAAGGTTGGAGAAGAAACTTAAAAATATTGTTATTTGTATAGAAGATTAGAATAGAATCAGTCAAGTAGCTCTTTTTTAGGTAGTAGATTCATTATAATCATTGTATAAGTGTGAGTAGAGCGATTGTAGTTTTCCTTCAATGTCAAACTTTTTCTGTTCCTCTTTTTCTCTTTCTCTGACAATGGTTATATATGCGTTTATATATTTACTACAACTACTAGGCGTAAGGCAATGCTTTTTTTCTGATAGGAAACTTTGAGTCGTGTGCGTGTGTACGATGCTTTTGGTTGTCCGTCTCTCTCTCTCTCTTGCAGTGATAGAACACTAGAGAGAAAAGAGAAAATGCATGGGAGTGTAAGGAGGGAACAGGAGGAAGAGGACAAGAAAAAGAAAACTCTCTATTCGCTTGGCAATATTTGCCCTAGTACGACGTTAAAAAACCGCAAGACAAAGGAGAAAAAGAATGAAAAAGAACTGTGAACGATAAAAGAAGAGAACTACCCAGTAACGTTGCATACATGGAAATAGGACAATGTCTGAGACATATTTCAAACGAAAGTATTGTGTTTTTCTCTCCTCGAGCAGCAAGGTATACACAATTATGCTGAAATCAAGGTTACGAATTGCGATGAAAGCGACCACTGAGATGGTTAATATGAGAGAGTGGCAAATATATATAACAGCTGTTCTGACCAGCGATGAATTGATGCGTAATTTCACATCGACATCTCAACAACACATAGATGGGAGAAAAGAAAAGAAGCAGCAGAGGAAGCTATTATTACACCAACTCCTGATACGATGATTTTGATATAAAAAAGGAACATGTTTGTCTCTTCTCCTACCTTGGTTTTCTTATTAGCATTGATAGGCTTCTATGTAAATATGATGATTAAGATATATCAACACTTTCGCACTTGGAAACCTGAATACATAATATGTTTGTGTACATGTTCATAAAAAGAGAATTACAAATAATGTTTGTTTGACTTCATCTTGAATAACACACTATTTGGAATCTGATTTTCTTCTAATTGTAAATTGCCACTGAATTCACGTTTCTATCTATTGAACTGAAATTGATAAATAAGGCCGATTAACAATTTTTTGCCTAAAAACTGCTATAGATAAAATCATGATACATTAATTGGCAGACATAGAGCGACCTCTAACGTACAAATATAGTATTGTGTTTAAGCGGAGCCAATCAATTGATTCGTTGTTACAGAAACAGTGAAAAGTTTTCTTTTCTTTCTTCTGTTTATGTGCTTGCTGTTGCTGAAATATAACGAAAATCTTTTCTGAACATATTTCCATATTGTAAGCATGGATATTTCTACGGGTGTTGCTCCTCCTGCACCTGCGCCATCACAATTAAACACTACGTTCACCGGTCAAAATACTATCTATGTCAACAATCTCAACGAACGTGAGATTTCTTAGGAGATTCTTCTCGACGTTGATTTCGAAATTTTTTCTCTATTGCTTTTAGGTGTTAAAATTCCTGAATTGAAAAAATGTCTCTACGCTATCTTTTCGAAATTCGGTAAAATACTCGATATAGTTGCTCTGAAAAATCTACGCATGCGCGGTCAAGCTTTTATCATATTCGATCAACCAGATAGTGCTGCACAAGCGTTGACATCGATGCAATCGTTTCCGTTATATGATAAACCGTTGCGAATACAATTCGCCAAAGTAGATAGTGATGTCATTGCAAAACGCAAGAACACGTTTGTCGAGAGACCGAAACGTCGTAATGATACAGATGCACCATCGGTATCGAAGAAAGAAAAACGTCGACAACAATTGGCTGCTAAACAAGAACAACAACGTTTAATGAAGGCACAAATGGCTGCACAGTTTCCTGGTTTACCAGCTGGTATGCCACCAATGATGCCGGGTATGCCGTCAATGATGATTCCGCCTCCACCAATGATAAATCGTCCAGTTCTACATCCGCCAATCTTTGGCGGAGAAATGCCAAACAATATTCTATTCGTATCCAATATTCAAGATGCCAATGAAAGCATGTTAACAACACTGTTCAAAGGTTATAGCGGCTTTCGTGAAGTGCGCCTCATTCCCGGTCGTGAAGGCATTGCCTTCGTTGAATTCGATCTCGAACATCAAGCAGCCATGGCTAAAGATGGTTTACAAGGATTTAAAATTACGCCCGACAAAGCAATGATGATTACATTTGCTAAAAAATAGCTTAGTGCTCATTTTGTTGTTGTTGTGTTGTTTTTCTTCTTTCTTTTTTACATTCTTGTTATAAACACGAAACAACAGACAAATAAATGTATAACTCTGGTCATGTTTTGTTTCTCTCTGTTCTAGATGTCGACTGCTACAGATCAACCGATGGCGACAACAATGACAAGTACGCTAGCGCCTGTACCAAACTCTATTCCGCCGAATCATACACTCTATGTGAATAATCTCAATGGGAAAATCAAGAAACAACAATTAAGAAAATCCCTCTACAACCTGTTCGTTTCTTATGGTCGTATCCATGCTGTTGTTGCCATGAAAGGTGTCAAAATGCGTGGACAAGCATTTATCGTTTTCGATGATATACAAAATGCGACAAGTGCATTACGCTCATTGCAAAGTATTATGTTCTATGGTAAACCAATGCGTTTATCATATGCGAAACGTGATTCGGACGCAATACGTAATTCCAAGGAACAAATTGCTGAGAAGACAGCAGCATTAGCTGCCATGAGTCAGCCGGAGCCTAAGCCACGTAAAGAGAAACCTCGTATACCACCCCCACCATCCCAACCACCACCAGATCGTACTGTACACGAACAACATATCGGTAAGATTGGTCGATTTTCGAAAGTAATACAATGATCCTCTTTGTATTTGTTAGCAATGATGAATTCCGAAGAAGTCAATCGCGCTGCTAATGCTGTTGCCTTGGCTGAAGCTGAATTACAAGAATTACCATTACGAGATCGTACACGTCGAATTCAATCGATTATTGCTGCACAAACAACAATGATTGGTACTGCTGTTCCAATGATGACTGAAGTACAATCGAATTCGACACTATTTGTGACAAATCTACCTCAAGAAACAACAAAGGACGCACTTGAAATGCTATTCCGTCAATTTTCAGGTTATCTCGATGTCCGACTCGTTCCTGGTCGTGAAGGAATTGCTTTCATTGATTTTGATAATGATGTCGGCGCCGCTTCTGCTAGAGGTATGGTCTTTTCATATGATCTACTTTCATATGCGATTCTATCTTTCTAGATGCTCTCAACGGTTTTAAGATTTCGGCAACAAATGCAATATCAGTTAGTTTCGCAAAGAAATAGAAAAACAAAAGAAATGAGATTTCCATTATGTTTTTTTTATATATGGTTCTTTGATGAAGTCGAAGTTGTTTACTTCGTGTTTTGTTGTTGTGTTATTTTATAAAAATAAAAAAGAAAAAGTAAGGTCGGCTTTTGAAAGGGCGCCGAGAAAACTGACTTTGAACAGATACTGATACACAGATTCATCTTGCACAATAGCACCATCTCTTTCCATACTAAGACTGTTTCTATTTTAGATTGTTCGCTTTTTCTTATCTATTCTATATCCAATGAATACATTAGAAAGTCAAAACAATCGACAATCGGAAGAATTAGCTGCTAAAGTCTCTCGACTTAAACATGTTCGTGATTTACCGATTACTTTCATTTTCTAGAAATCCATTTTCTCCTGTCTTTTTAAGATTGCATTCGATATCGAGAATGAAACAAAAGATCACAACCGTTTTCTTGAAAATATGGTAAATGAAAATGAAATATTCACGCAAAATCATATCTCTCCGCGATTTTAGCGTTTCGATATGTCTACTGCACGTAGTTTTCTCGGTGGTAGTACTCGTCATTTAGGTAATGTAATGTCTAGTGGACGAGGCGATCGTCGTGCAATGTGTTACATAGCTGGTGCTATCATTCTCGCTTTTTTGTTTCTCTACTATGTTGTTAGTTCATTTCGTACAAAGTAAAATAATGTTTTTATTCGATACGTACACATTTATCTATTTGTTATTGAAGATGAGTGGGACAAATCGGGAAAACTCATCTTCGAATGAATTTTCTCATTTTGTTGTATGTTACTCAAATAAAAAATGCACCAATATTTATATATATATATATATATCTTACGGTTGGATTCTAGATATGCACCTTCTACGTCGTCCACTCCCTCCCCGTCTTCGTCCGTTGTTACTAAGCGACATATCTAATGGATCCGAAATTTTATCACCACTTTCATCAGCGTCCGGCTCACCAAATAGTTCAGCTAGATCATCACGACCATCGAGTCACACTCGTTCACCACGTCTTCTACCACCCCTGAGTGAGGAAGATCGTCACCATTCAAATCCTGCCATCGAATCTCGACAGAATGAGCCATCAGCTGATAACCAATTGACTGTGGCAATGAAAGATAAGGAGACACCTGACCAAGACGATGATGAAAGCGATGAAAGCGAAGACGAACGAGAAAAGATTTTACGAGAAAGAAATGAAAGAAAGTTGCTAACTCCACTAAAACCACGTGAATATTCACATTTTAATAAATTGCAACGTTCAGTTACAACAGCCAAACAACGATCACTTCTTCGAACTCCAAAACACAGAGGACCCCCTGCTCTACCAGCCAGACGAACACGTACTTTCTGTGATATTAAATCCCATTTCACGCATATAACAGACGACGAATCGTACAATGTCGCTAATCGATTTACTTTCAATGATTTCATTCTTCATTCGTCTGGATCAAACACTCGATCATACGAAGAAACAGCTGTAAGAAAAGCTTTCCTATCGAAATATACATACAAGCAGGTATGTGAAATGATTGCCGAACGTGTCTGGGCCGATCGACGAGAAGGTGGACAAGTGAGTGATTCAATTGAACTCCAACTTATCAAAAATTGTGATTCAAGATTCATATCCAAACATTGGTACCTGATATCGAACCATTTCAAAATCGAGTACCTATGCATCAAATCGTAGCTGAAATGGCTCTTGTACTTCGACAACACATGTCACATATAATTGGTAAGTTAAGATTCGCAAAACTATGACTGAATTTATCTCTTCTTCTCCTTCGCAGGCTCTCAACTGAAAATGAATATACGAACATTGCCAAGTTGGCGACAAAAGGAAGGGGCACACACGGAAATTCTTCTCTACGAAAAGGAAAATAAAAAAGAATCTCATGCTGAACTCGAAGAGACTGACGGTAGGATAAAGACTTTCTATTCAGCCAAGTGATACATTTTCGTCATATAGATTCATTTGAATACAAACGCGATACGGGGGCTCAGATTGCCATTTTAGATAGTTTAATAAAAAATGGCACACATTTAGATTTACGTGCCTTTACATTGGAATATCTTCCAGATATTTCCTTGATGTACATCACTTTAGTTGCCATTGATCTGTCCTACAACTGTTTCCAGGTAAGATTGTTACGATATTCGAAATCAACGGAATCTATGATTTATTCCGAATAGACTATTCCAGAAGAATTATTCGAATGTACAAAGCTTGAACATCTTTATCTGCGTCATAACCCGATCTCTTCAATAGGATCTGGAATGAATAAACTACAAACGCTCGTTTTTCTCGATATGGCATTTTGTCAGTTGACTGGTTCTCTTACCGAAAAGTAATGCAAAAGAAAATTTTCTACATAAGTATAAATGTGTACGTTTTATATTCATGTCATTAGTTTATTTGGATTGGTCAATCTTCGTCATTTGGATATATCCTACAATCTCGTCCAAAATATTCCGACCGGTATAGCAAATTTAAGGTAAGAATTTCCATCTCTGTCCAGATAATCATTTATTTGAATTTTTATAGAAATCTTCGACAATTGCTTTGTGATGGGAACGAACTTAATCATTTCCCAGCAAGTACGATTGGCATGACTAATCTTCGATTGGTCACTGCAAAAAACACTTGGCTTTTACCTCCACTAGCCATGGTTGAAAACTCAACAAAACCTCAAGTGAGATCTCGCTGACACCTATTACATTGTCACTTCTATTCGATTTGTCCTAGAAATTACTTGAATTAACCACTTCTCGTCTCAGTCAACTTCATTGGAAGGAACTCTTCCATAAAATTCCCGATTCGTCCAAAACCTTACTTGCTAAGTAAGCGAACTACATATCTTGCGAAAACTGTCATTATCATTGTCACGATTTTCAGTGCTCAATTATGTGATACTTGTTCGAACTTACGAATTGGCCATGGTTTTCGTAAAATAATCATCTGTGAAAATTTGTTTGGGATTAAACTACTACCAGTTCTTTTTGTCAGTTGCACACCTGAATGCATACAACAATTTTTATCTGATAAAGCTTATAGTACGACAATTCCGTCCAAGAATGCTTATATTATCAATGAACAATTTATTTCTCACCTGAAAACACGTCATATGTGATCAAAATGCATTTTCGTTTTCTTTTTTAATACTTTTTTTCGCGACTAATCTTCACAGTATATAAATAATAATCTCACGAATGAGCTTGTCTTTTTCTAGATCGAAAAAAAATGAAGTTGATAACACATAATATGTTAACATCAAACATTCTTAAAGGTGTTACCAAAGGTTTCCCGTTGAAAATCAAAAATGCCAAATTCGAAACGGTTTCTGTTGATTACAATCGTGATTTCATCACTCGAATCCTTCAACGTATCGAATATGACGCACTCCGATCAGCAATAAAAGACGTAAGTTCATATTGAACATGATAAGTTCGAATTGCTCCTTCTTTTTCGTTTACAGTTAGGTTTAAATGAAACGTTACCTGAATCCTTATCCGACAGTATGCAAGACGACGAGGAATTTTTGAAAATAATGCATCGCGTCTTGCTGGAATATGAAATTGAAGAAGGCGAATTGATTTGTCCCGAAACCGGTCGATCGTTTCCGATTTCCAAAGGTATTCCGAATATGTTATTACAAGAAACCGAAATATCCTAAAACAATGATTTTGTTGTAATCATTATTTGTTATTGCTGATCAAATAAAAAGAAATTTCACAGCATTTGTCTTTTCTCATCTACTAATCTACTGAAAGCATGTGTATTATAGATATGAATCTTGGAAGTATGAATGATCATTCATTGCTCGGTAAGGTAGAAACATCATCTGCGAAAAGAGAAAATGCCCGTAGAATGCTTCCGCTGTATTCATTTGACATGTTACCTGAGTATCTTCAGTTCAATCCGTATATACGAACGGGCTATCGACATGGTTTAACTTTCAAAGGTTGTTTAGTCAGGTAATGCTTGTGTGGAAAGATTGTTCGCATGAAAAGACGTGTTCTTTCGATGTGATAGTTTATTGTATGTGAATAACGAATCGGTCAATGTTTGGTCACATTTGATTGGTGCTGGTCTTTTCATTTACTTCTTTTTTCACAATATTTGTAAAGCACAAGTTTTTCCATCGATAACAAAGACGACTGATTATTATTTTATACTATTCTACACAATTTGTGTCATCGTAAGTATGGATTTCTTGCCAGGTTTCTAGCTTTGTTCAATCTCTCGTAGGCATGTATGTTATGTTCTGTGAATTTTCATCTGTTCAATTGTATCTCACCGCGAGCGTCTGCACACTTTCTCAAATTAGATCTCTGTGGTATCGGTTGTGCTATTCTCGGTTGTTATATATGTGGTCTTCATCTAACATTTGAATGCTTTCAAAACTGGCGATTACGGTATGAGACAATGATCATTGGTGTCATCATAATTGCTGTTATTTACTACATTCACGGAGTTAAACGATACATTACACAAAATAATCACGTTGCTTTGTTTATCGTGATCTCATTGTCCGGTTTTATTCCAAGTTTACATTGGTATTACCTAGAGGGTGGTTGGTCGAATCCATTCATTCGACATTTCTTTCCAAAGATACTCATTCTTTATGGAATATTGACTATTGGCGTGTTCGCTTATTTGACAAAGTTTCCAGAGAGATTATTTCCAGGTAGGATGATTATGGATCTGATGTCAGCACGTCTAACGTCGATTCGTTCATTCTTTAGGTTATTTTGATATTTTGTTTTCGAGTCATCAGATTTGGCATTTTGCAACGTTGGCTGCATTCATATGGTGGTATCACAATTCTATTGAGTTGATGCATTATCGTCTGATAAATCCTTGTGATACACAATTCGAATGACACAAATCATTTTTTTTTAGTTAGAATTCCTTTGTTTAGATTCATTTATTATGTCTTTTTTTGTAATAAGTATAATGTATGATCTGTTCGAGAATGAAATTAGACATACGTAGTCGGTTTTACTTAATGAATATCTCTCATTTTTCCTAGTTTTGTTTTGATTTTGAAATTTCTTATTTTTCAGATACCAATCAACTGAATTGAGAATTCGATTTAATCTCACTCAATATCTACGAGATGGAACAATCGTTTTTGGCACATATGGATATTCTCCATGGATGAAGCATGAATTACAGGTGAAGTAATCGGTCGGTTATCGATCAAATCAATTTGCAAGAACCTTGCGATGTGTGAAGCAATGAACAGAAGAAAGAAAATTAGAGCTGATACATATCGAATAGCCAAGAAAGTTCGAACGAAAAGACATTCATACGCAGACTAAGACGAATAAGTAGAAAGGACATATACGTTCGATGAAAAGATATTCTGTCTTAAATACAAGTTCATATATCGAAGCAACACAATGGTACGATTTAAACCGTCGAAGACAAAGTACAATGTAAAAAAATGTAAGATTTTTTTTCAATAAGAACTTGGTATTACCATTAAAAATTAAAGAATGTGTCGCGCTCGAAGTTCTTGGTGAGTTATCTAATCTTTCTTTACATCACGTTGTGCAAGAACTAGATTAATCTATCGTGGTAAACAACAGCGCAGGGTATATATAAGGTCGTTGAAGTTTATGTCAACTACGGATATAAGGACGAAAAGAATCTTTCTCATAACAGATGAAATGAGTCAGACTGTCGTTTCTGGTTAATTCAGCACATCCAATCAGTACGATGAGCATTCAGTCGTATTTAATTTACTTTCACAGTGAAGCGCTACATAAAGTCGTTCATTATAGTCTCGTGAGATCGACTTATATGGAAAAACAAAGATGATAAACATACTGATAAGTTTCATTATCGCTATTTGTTCTGTGACGTATAATCAAGGACTTTATAGGAGAAAAAAGCAGCAGCAGCAACATAGGTTATCTTTATTGTCGTATTTTGATAGCTCTACTTTGGTGCTTCGAAATTTATAGCGTAAGGTCAGTTTTATGCGTCAAATTGTTAAATTGCCACGTATAAGATCGAATGTTTTCTTACACAAAAAAGTGACATTTATTTTTATCTGAGATGACGAAATAACAGGAGAAAAGATTAAAGTAATGATGAAAGAAATCCTGATATGACAGAGTTGGTTTAAAATGTAACGACAAATATTCTCGTGTCCTACCATATTTGGTGAGTAAAAGAAGAAAGAGAATGACTATTTATAATATTATTCTACTTATTCTGCTGTGAGTACAGAACATCGCAGGCAATGATAAAAGAGAACATGAGTCATAGTTGAGAAGAAAATAACAGAAAGCATTTGTTGTAAGTTTTGATTCATTTTCTCGGCTGTGTAGAGACGGTGTGACTGATGCTCTTTCCTTGACTGTTGGAAAAGAACGTTCATCTGTTTAGATCATAGAAAAATGGGAACTAATCCAAACGATTTAAATCATCGACAAATACATCCACACGATGATGTTAAGTATAGTAATGGAGTCGGTACTAAAGTAACAATTGAAGCAAGTCCAACTGAAGCTTCGTCTAGGTTTGTTGGCTGCCTATTTCGTAGAGGTATATTTTCGAATAATTTCAGTGTTAAAATGAAGGATCTTTTCGCAAAAAAAGATGACAGCGAAAAGAAAGACAAAACGCCGGTGCCGATGGTCGGCTTCTTGAGTCTGGTATGTTCCTTACTCGAGTGTTAACGAAGTGCACTTAAATATTATTCACAGTTTCGTTTCGCCACTGGAGCTGATTTTTTGTACATGCTAATCGGTACTGTTGCCGGTATGAAAATATTGACTAAATGAACTTTTCATATATGTACTCGATCTTTTTCCGATAATTTAGCTTTGGTTCACGGGGCTGCATTTCCACTAAGTACAGAACTAGCTTTAGATGGCAGACAATTTAAAAGGAAATGTTTGTTTAGTGTTACTTATCTTCGGACAAGTTACCGATATTTTTACCCAACGGCCACTCAATGTATGCGACCTTGATTTTTCAATATTTAACGGCCGTTGTCCACCTGGAGTGACGTTGACTACAGAGAATATTTATACGGAAATTGCGTAAGTTCTTGTTTTGTTGTGCTATGGTGGACAACTATTTCCGATTGTTTCTATAGAAAGTGTAATCTGACGGGTTTAAATATCACTCTACCGGATGTCGATTTCCTTGGAAATATTCGTCAGCAGTCATTGTGGCTTACGAGTAAGTCATGTGTATACAAGATGAACGAGCAGAGATGAGGAAAAGCCCGAAAATCGAAGTACATTGTTGCAGAACGAATTGCCTAACGATACGTTGTAGTTATGGGATGCGGCACTATAGTAGTCGGATACTTTCAAGTTGCCTTTTGGTCGATTGCTTGTGAACGGCAAACACGTCGTCTCCGCGAAATACTATTTCGATCAATACTTCATAAAGAAATTGCGTATTTTGATACTTATAAAACCGGTGAACTTAGTACAAGATTGAGTGATGATGTTAATAAGGTTCATGATGGCATTGGCGATAAAGTCGGTTCGGCATTGCAATTTTTCGCTGGCTTCATTGCCGGCCTTGTTCTTGGGTATGTTTAAGATAAAATATTCAGCTTCCGTGACAAGTAGATTCTTCTCTCTATTCAGACTAGTCAAAGGATGGAAATTGACACTGGTGATACTCTCTGTTAGTCCCGTGCTTTTTATTAGCGCAATGATCATAACGAAAGTATGGAGCGAATGGAAAAGAATAAGAGTTTTACAAATCTCGTTCGTAGCTGACTGCAACAATGACTTCTCAAGAGTTGAAAGCTTATGCAAAAGCCGGCGCTGTTGCCGAAGAAGTACTCAGTAGTATTCGAACAGTGTTTTCTTATAATGGTACAGGTTATGAAGTGAAAAGGTAAATGATCGTGTTTCAAGTATCTTGATCTGTTCACATATTTCATTTAGATACGAACAACATCTAAGAGCCGCTAAGATTCGTGGTATTAGAAAAGGAGTCTTCAATGGAGCTTTGATGGGTACTATCTTCTGTTTAATGTTTTGTACTTACGCTTTGGTACGAAGATGCTTTAATTTCAACACTTCTAGAATATTGATTCTCCAATTCATAGGGTTTCTGGTATGGAGCCAAACTTGTTCGTGAAGAGAATTATTCGATCGGTGGAATTCTTATTGTAAGAGTTCTATTGTTGAAAGAATGAAAAACGGTTTTATCTTGTTTTTTTACTTGAACAGGTCTTTTTCTCAATTATCACAGCCGTTTTTAGTCTTGGTCAAGCTGCTCCTCATCTACAATCCTTAGCACAAGCTCGTGGTGCAGCTTTCGCATTATGGAATATAATTGATACAGTAAGCGGAGGCTACAGGCGATGAGCACATAGGGATAACATACATATTCGCTGCTTTTAGCCATCAGCAATAAGTATAGATGATCCCAATGGTATTAAAAAGGAAGATTTCGTTGGCGAAATCAAATTTTCTAATGTCAATTTTGTTTATCCATCTCGACCGGACGTTACCGTACACAATAATCTTAGTTTCACTGCTAAATCAGGTCAAACAACAGCACTTGTAGGCACATCCGGTTGTGGAAAAGTGATAATCACTGATTTTGATCTGCTATGAAATTAAATATATTTCGAAATGTGTAGAGTACCTGCATGCAATTGTTACAGAGATTTTATGATACAGTTAGCGGTACAGTTGAAATCGATGGAATTCCAGTGAATCAATATAATCTGACTTGGCTTCGGCAACATATTGGCATTGTATCACAAGAACCTATCTTGTTTCAAGTCAGTATCAGCGAAAATATACGTTTTGGACGTATGGATGCGACACCCGAAGAAATTGAAAAGGCAGCTAAAATGGCTAATGCGCATGACTTTATCATGGAACTGCCAAAGAAATACGACACGCTCGTCGGTGAACGTGGCGCACAATTGAGTGGAGTAAGTTGCTTTGAACTTGAAATCCCGGTGCATTTGTTCTCGATATCTTTAAGGGACAAAAACAACGCGTTGGTAAGAGTGTCGAATACGAGTTGTCGTAAAATAACAGTCAACTATTTCGAATTCATTTAGCTATTGCGCGTGCACTCGTTCGAAATCCGCGTATTCTTCTGTTGGATGAAGCAACTGTAAGTGATATAACGCTACGAATGTAATCTTTTTGTTTGTTTCAATTGGAATTAGAGCGCTCTCGATACCGAAAGTGAACGTATTGTACAAGAAGCGCTTGATCGTGCTTCAAAAGGACGTACAACCGTTGTCATTGCCCATCGTTTATCAACTATTAAAAATGCGTCAAAGATAGTTGTTCTCGACAAAGGAGCCGTTATCGAAGAAGGTACAATTTTATGAAAGAAGTTTTGAAACCGATGGAAACGTGATGCTTGTCACCTTTTAGGAAATCATGAAACATTAATAGAAACTAAAGGTGTTTATCATGGTCTTGTTGAAGCACAAAATTTACGTGTTAAGGGAGAAGATGAAGACGAAACGGAAGGTAAGACGAATATTTCAACTAAGTGCTCTATGAATGAATTCTCTCTGCATAGCAATTCCCGTTTACAATCGAGCTAGATCGATGAGCAACTCAGATCAATTTCAGAAACAATTATCCGTAGAAAACAAAGACTCAAAGGAAACAGCTACCGATGCAGAAGAGAAAATTGAGGTAATTGTTTACTATTGATCGTTGCAAATAGCATCTGAATATCGTGTTGTCAGATAACTAGTCTAATAGAAATATCAAAGTAAGTAAATTCAAAAATAGCTCACTGCAATATGTACTCCACACGAATAAAATCTTTAATATTAATACTCGCTTTCGTACACTAATTCAAAGCATTCTTTCTAAAGATGGCCACATCCTTACTTGGACGGAAGGAAAACGACGAACCTGTCATATCTGTAAGACAATCTATATGTTGTATATTATTTCACTATATTTTGCACTCCTTATTTATCGTTATTTGAATGTTTACTGAGAAAACAAAACTTTTATGCGATTGTATTTAGTATTCTGGACCTTCACCATTCTTCTCTATGCTCAAAATGAACAAACCAGAGTTAATATACATCATATTTGGTTGTGTCGCATGTATTTGTAATGGAGGTGAGTTGAGAAAAGTTGTCTGGTACGAAAATCAAATCTGTCCATGTTCAGGTGTTCAACCAGCATTCGGTGTCATTTTAAGCAAAGTTATAGCAGTAAGCGAAGAGCTACGTTTAGAAAGAAACAGAAATCTTTCAATATTTTTGCTACGAAAGGTCTTTCAAGTGTGTGATCCAAAGGAACAGGAAAGAAGGGTATTGACGTATATTCTCCTATTTATTGGTCTTGGCTTTCTGATGCTGATTACAATGTTTTTACAAGTAAAAAGAAAATGAAACTGTTCGCTTGAACATTCGATTTCATTTCAATTTAGAGTTTTCTCTTCGCAACATCAGGTGAAGAATTGACACAGCGTCTTCGTTCAAAGATTTTCCGTGCTTTACTGCGGCAAGAGGTTGCTTACTTTGATCAAACAGAAAATAGCACAGGTGCACTGTGTACCCGTCTTGCTACTGAAGCATCCGATGTTCAAGGGGTACGTATTCAATGGGCTTGACTTTTGCATTCTGTTGAGCAAATATTTCATAGGCAACTGGTATCCGTATTGGTACTATGTTACAAAATTTCTCAAATCTCGGTGTTGGAATTATTCTAGCATTCGTTTACGGTTGGTCATTGACTTTGATTATGCTAGCTTTCGTTCCATTTATGATTATTGCTGGCTTTTTACAAACATATCTCATGACTGGTTTTGCGAATAAGGTAAAGGACTTGAGTTGAAATACGTTTCATTTAATTGCTTCCTTTTCCAGGATAAAAAAGCGTTAGAAACCGCCGGCAAGGTCAGTTATTGACAATATGTACAAGATAGGAATAGAAATTCTTTATTTATTAGATTGCTGTTGAAGCTATTGCGAACATTCGAACAGTCGTACAATTGACAAAAGAACAACACTTTGACGATGAATATTGTCGATTACTTGATGTACCCTTTCGGTATGTGTGAGCAAAATATGTGTCAACGATGATTTCAGACGTATGTGAAATTGTTTTCCGTTCTCTTCTTATAGAAATAGTTTGAAACGAGCACATGTCTTTGGAATTGTATTCAGTTTCACCGATGCGGTGAGAAGAACTTTGACCAACTTTCATTCAATGTTTCCAATTATTGTTCTGTTAAGATTATGTTCTTCGCACAAGCAGCACTGTTCACTTTTGGTGCTTGGCAAGTCGAACGAGGAGCAATGACGTAAGGAAAACGAACAGATTAATCAGCCATGAGTAGATTTGCTTCGAATTTTTAGTTTTGAAAACATTATGCTGTAAGTTTATTACCTTTTATGCGAAAAATGATGTACTTATTGTTCCTGCTATTTCATCAGCGTTATGAATTGTATACTTTTTGGTGCAATGGCAGTAAGTGATTCCTACTATCTTATGTATTGACATATGATTTGAATCATTCCGTTCAAAGGTTGGTCAAACAGCATCAATGTCACCGGATTATTCCAAAGCCATCGTACGTTTAAATTTTAGTGAGAAAATTCTCGTTTTCGAAACTGATTCATTATAGGCATCGTCGAAGAGAATCCTAATTTTACTTCGTCGTGAACCATCCATTGATAATTCTTCGACTGCAGGAGAAACCATTGTCAGTAGAAACGTATCGAAGCTATTGTTCTATTTGATGGGCTGTTTGATTGTTTAGAATAACTTTCAAGGTCGAATCAACTTAAAGAATATCAAATTTTGTTATCCCAATCGTACAGAAGTACAAGTACTGAAAGATTTTCAATTGAGCATTGAACCAAGTATAACTAGACTTTGTTCGTTGAGAAAAAAAAAGAAACATCGCGTTTCATTGTACTTAGATAAACAGATTGCACTTGTTGGCTCTTCTGGCTGTGGAAAAAGTACTATCATTCAATTGCTTGAACATTTCTATGATCCAACACATGGACAAATCGTATGTTCGATCGATTGAATAAAATAAGTGTTCTATTTTGGTATGTTGTAGTTGATCGATGAAAAGAATATTTCATCTTTGAATCTTCAATGGTGGCGAAGTCAACTTGGTCTTGTTAGTCAAGAACCAATTTTATTTGATGCATCGATTCAAGAGAATATTGCTTACGGTGATACATCGCGAACTATTCCAATAGAAGAAATTCAAGAAGCAGCTAAAAAGGCGAATATCAGTCGGTTTATTGAGAGTTTACCCGAACAATACCAGACAAATGTTGGCTCCAAAGGTACACAATTGTCCGGCGGAGAAAAACAACGAATCGGTAAGGAAAATGGGAAGGACTTCAGTGAAATAAAGCTCTATTTTCATTCATTTAGCAATCGCGCGAGCGTTGATTCGTAATCCAAAGATTCTACTACTCGACGAAGCAACTGTAAGTAGCATGACATTGCTCGAATAAGTATTCTATGTTTTTCAATTTATATCAGAGTGCTCTCGACACAGAAAGTGAACGTGTTGTTCAAGAAGCACTTGATCGCGCATCACAGGGACGTACAACAATTGTCATTGCTCATCGTTTATCAACTATACAAAACTCTGATCTTATTTGTGTGCTTCACCGTGGTCAAATCGTGGAATCGGGTCAACATGACGACTTATTGGCGCGTAAAGGACACTATTATCGTTTGGCACAGTCCAAGAAATGAGATTTTATTTTTTTAATAAACGTTCAATTTTTTTTTCTTATTCAACAAGGCTTGTGTTGACTGGCATTTTCTCTTGCTTTATACGTTGTAGTTTTGAATAAATGAAAAAACAACAATGATTATGGATAGTGTCTTTTAACAAAGAAGATATGAACTGCTGAAGAGAAAGAAGAAAAGTGCGCAAAAACGCATACAAATCGAAATGAAAATATGGTTTTATTAAGTTTTTTCAATTAGATTTCGTTTTTAGCGATATGTTTTTCAATACGGTGCATAATTCGATGAACCTCCGTTGCCACGACTAGCGCCACGATATGGGCCACCTCGACCGCCACGATATGAACCACCTGAATATATAAGTTAACATTGAATGATGGTGACATTTGATATCATGACGACTTACCTCGATCATCGCTGTCTCGGAATGAATCCCCATCGCCACCATCACGGCCTACAAAATATAATCAAACGTAAAGGTGTTATGCCATTCGTTAACACCCAGAAAAACTTACTACGAAAGCCACCGCCGCCGCGGCGATTGTCGGAAAAGCCTCGTCCACCGCTACCTCCGTCAGCATTACCCCAACGACCAGTATTGTTGGAGTTGAAACCTGGCCGTGAGCCACTGTCCCAATTGCTACGACCACCTCGATAACCTTTTATGTTACAAAAATACATGAGTCATACAAATTAGATCATTCGAATATATACCGCCTCGACCGCCGCGATCATTGTTATCGGTGCGTGTACGACGTTGAGCAAGCTGAACACGTACAGATCCACCAAGTGAGTCGATATGTTGATCTAACAGATCAATCGATCGTTTAAACTAGAAATCAAGCAGATCACGACCTACCATTGAATTCCGAGATAGCTCGATCAGCAGTTTCTTCGTCATCATAGGTTACGGTAGCTCGGCCATTGCCCTCACCAGTATCCCGATCTTTGTAAATCCAGATTTTCGGGCCACCCGATCGATCGTCTGTCTAAGATACGAACAGCACACCAAGACATTCCGATAATGACTGTAGGACTCAAGAATTACTTTAATTGAACCGACTTTTGAAAAGGCATCATAGATTTGATCGCGTGTAACATCTTTTGGTAAGTTTTGAATAAAAATCGCATCTCGAAGTGTTTCCATTTCTCCACCATTATTTTGTCGACGAAATCCATAACTGCCACCTCCTCGTCCTAGAATATAAATAACAAATATAAATCACATGTTTCGAATTTCATATGTTTTCACTCCCGAAAAAAAAAAACAACACAAGAAACGAAATTTTGTCTCTTTCAATCAACGCTCAAATAAATATTTCCTTTTCATTTTCTTTCGCTCAGAATTTATATCAGTCATATTTAAACTGGATCCAACGGGCATATAAATCTTACTTGAGTTATTATTTCCAAATGACCCACCATATGATCCACTATTGGAAGATAGAAATCAAAATAATCATCAAACATCACATCAAACATAAAATAGGTTTAAATTTATATATTTTCGATTTATCATGTTTACCGGTTTAATCGATCAATATCTTACTTCAACGCTTTTTTTTCTCGATATTATTCAACTCGTTCCAATAATAGAGAAGTCTTTAGTTTTGATTGGTTGGTCCAAAAAAAGTTTCATGTATATAGAGTTTTTCAAACGAAAATAAAAAGATTTCATTCATATAATCAATCGATAGAGAAAACTAGCCTAACGAATGATGCTTACCCTCCTCTCGGACCATTGCTGTCATCGTCGTCATTGGAACGAGAATAACCTCCATGTGAGCCTAGAAAGTTCACCAATTCGTTTGGAATATCTATTAAATAGACATACCACCACGCGATCCGGAACTCCACATATTTCCACTATTGCCGTCATTTGTGTTCATACCACTATTGAACGCCATTATTGCTTAGACAAAAAAAAGAAACCTTGTTGATGAGTTTCGTAATAAATTTGCCGGTGTGATTCAAATATCGGTAAAAGAAAAACAAAATGATAGAAAAGAATGTTTTTGTTGTCCTTCTTTTCTTTTCTTTTGCACTGAGTAGAAAATTCTGTATCAAACTGGAGGCACTGATAATATATCAGTGTCACTAGTTACAAAAAGAGGTCACTACTCAACGGCTACAACGTCAAAGACTCTAAGAACGCAACGGACAAAGCATTTTGTTACTTATTTTGAAAAGGCAAGGGCATCGAATCTACTCTCAAAGATAAAATTAAAACATCTTTCGTCGACATTACAAAGTAGAAAATTATTAAGTCACATGATCATCCAGAACCATCATACAAAGTTATAATCGGTATATGAGAATAAAAGCCAAATGATATTTTTGATTTTTCTTATCAAACTAGAAGATAATTTAAAGCTAATGACTGAAACTAAAACGTATAGTTTTCATTCATCATGTGTTCGAAAGCAGGTACGTTGAAGGAAAACGAACAGATTTTTTACGACTACTATCGAGAAGTTCTTGGGTATAGATTATAAATAGAAAGTGACAATGTTGAACATTCAAAATTGAAATTACACTTACTAATATAACCAAAGTCATGTTTGATTTGTGCATCATTTAGGTTTATATTCGGTGCTTATTGTCCTGTGTGTTATTTTTGTTGATGCTCACCTTGTTTCAATTCAACAAACGAGCGATGAACCACTTGCTATTGATACCATCTCACATGTTGTACCACCGATGAATCGAGCAATGAAGTCATTTGCTCGTGCGAATGCTTCCGTGTGTTATCCAGTTATTGGCTGTTTTGACAACAATGATCCATATAATAATGCTGCTCTAGAAATTCCTCAAGCACCCGAATTAATTGATACTCATTTTCTCCTTTTTACACAAGAAGCACCTACAGATCCGGAATTTCTTAGTTACGATGGTAATGATCAATCAATCGCAGGCTCAAAACTTAATCCATCACGCTGGCTAAGAATAATTGTGCATGGCTTTGTAAATAATCGTAACAGTATATGGATCAGACCGATGGTGGATGAATTGTTGAAATTGAAAAATGTTAGCTGTGCTTAACTGTCATGTTGTGGAGCCTATTGTCATTATTTCTCTTTGTAGGACGAATTGTCCGATGTACTTGTCGTCGATTGGGGCAACGGTGCTAAATTTCCATCATACCCAAATGCTGCTTCTAATACGCGTCTAGTTGGAAAACAGATTGGTTTACTTTTGAAGAAATTACATTCGATGAAAGGATTTGCATACGATAAAATTCATTGCATTGGTTTGTTAGAATTCTTAAATGTCTACGCCATAAATCCTCTTTTTCTCTCTCCTTTTAATTTGAAGGACATAGTCTTGGTGCACATACATGTGGTATAGCATCAAATACTGTTGATAATCAACTAGCTCGTATTTCTGGTCTTGATCCCGCTGGCCCATATTTTGAAGGCAAAAATGCACTCGTTCGTCTTGATCCAACCGATGCCAAATTTGTTGATGTTCTTCATACGAATACCGAAATTGCTTTTGGATTGGGTCTCGGATCCGGTGAAGTCTCAGGTCATGTTGATTTTTATGTTAATGGTGGGCAGAACCAACCTGGTTGTCCGTCAATGTAACACATATTCTATGTACGTCTCATGCGACTTTTATTTTATCATCTCCGTAGGACTACATTGATTGGTGGTCTTCTCGGCGGTCAATCAGAAGGTATAGACTAAATTCTAGAATCTTTGAAATAACTAGTTTCATTGTGTAGCTACTTTTGAACAATCATCCTGTTCCCACAGTGAGTTCAACCGAAGGGACTGTATCAATACGATTCTTCTTTCTATGCACAAAATAGGTCGTGCTCATGGATATTTTACCGAATCAATCAATTCCGAATGTTCATACAAAGCATATCCATGCAGCAACTATGTAAGTAAACACTTTGTTTCATTGTCAATTTCATCTACAAAGTATTTTCTCAATTTTTTAGAACAGCTTCATGAGTGGTGAATGTCTCGTCTGTCCTGAATCCGGATGTGGTCAAATGGGTAATTGACATGATTTCTATGGTCTGAATTCTGGCGCTATGCTTTCTTTTTATAAAATATATAGGCTTCCATTCAATTTCTTCACCTGGTCGCGGTAATATGTATTTAACGACGAAGAGTGTTTCGCCATTTTGTGGTAAGATTTTATCTATCGTCGAATTAAGTTCATTTTTGTTGAATAATATCAACTATCTAGGTTACCACTACCTCATTGAAGTTACCCTTGATCATAATATTGCTAAAACAAGCGGAGAGATCTTCGTGGCAATTCATTCAAATTACGAAATGTTAGCAAATGTCAGCGTGACTTCGAAGTATGTTAGGAGTTCATGTGTTTTTCATATTTCGCCGTTTTTTTTCTTCTTCTTAAAGATCCAACGCGGATATCAAAGCTGGTGATGTATTTCGACATATGTTCAGTTACAAAGCTGATTTAGGTCAGGTTGATTATGCCATTGTCTACTTCAATAAAGCAAAAAGCTGTATGTACTCAATTGAGTAAAATCAATAATGACTGAATCGTTGTCTTTCGTTTAGTGTTCGGCTGGGGTGGTCCGAAAGCAGATGAAATCGTGGTATCCAATCTTCGTCTGAAATCAGTTGAAGACCCGATTGTGTATGTATATAATTCAAATCGGATACATTTCCACACTACCGCTTTCCCTTCTGAAAATAGATACACTGGACTCTGTGGTGCCAAGACAAAAGTAGCGGCATACACATCTGAAACAATTTTACTTAATCGTGATGATTGCCGACATTAGAAAGACGTGTATTTCTTTTTCAATAAAAGAATATTTTATTAAGAGACACTCCACAAGAAAAAAACGATTTTTTTCTATGTGCTCGCGTTCATATGCTTGTCATTAGCCAACTTAACTTCTTAGAGCATCTTTGCCGTTAATTGGTTGGTGAAAATTGAGCGATATAATGTCAGAAAATAAATTGTTGTACGGTTATTGAATTCAAAGTTTAATCATAAGGAAAAATGTTCGAAATTAATGAAACATACCTACTTTGTAAGTGTCTCATAAGAGTTCATTTTACTGAAGAAAAAAAAACACTGTACATTTTCCATATTTTATGTATCGAGTAATCAAAATCCGTTAATCATCGTCATATTTGAATAAATATTTTACTTATTATTAGTCATCGTTCTCCCTAACAAAACGCAAAAATTCATTGAAAGAGTAATATTTTTCTGTCTGTATGCATACAGATGTATGACAATCGAGTATAAAGTTTTTTTTCCTTTCCTTCACTACCAACATCATACGACATCTGTCCATGCATCAGCTGACATGGTAGATTCATTTGATGTTTTTATTTTCTGTCCATCTTCCTTTTATGGTAGTATGTTGTGTATTAATCTGTCCACTCTCTCTCTCTGCCTCTCATTCGTTCTCCATCGTATTGTCTCTCTTTTCATCTTACCAGTATCAACATGATTGGAGACCTGCTCGGTGATTGTAAATATCCTTATACTAAAAAAGTTCAAGTTCATTACATTGTCAATAAAAAACAAGTTTTTCGATGCAGCTATTTATTTATTTCAGATTTCACCCGATCATTGTTCGACAATTTTCCATAGATTTTGAGTTGATGTCATTTGACTTGATTCATTATAAGTGATAATACTGGTTAACAACATAACACAATCTTTTTCTCAGATCAGGTAAAGTCTTTGTTGTTATTTTCTTTTCTTTCTTCTTATGAATGTGTAAGAAAAACAAAGTAATAGTTGTCTATTATCATGTTTGTTGCTTTCCTTTTTGTCTTCTACCTTTCTATAACTATGTGTGATTAATGAATTACAATATACATTCAAGGTTTTGTCGTTTTTATTTGCCGTCATAGAAGACAAAAGAAAATCAACATCATATCTGCAGTTTACTTTTTTTTTTCATTTAATTTTTATAAACTATTTGAAAGTTTTGACATATTGAAGAATTTCTTTTCTCATTCTTCGAATTATTTTACATCGAATGGCGACAAGGTGAGATGTTACGATTCTGAGAACAGGGGAAGGTGCATATGTATACGTACGCAGTACTTTTTTTTTTCTTCTTCTTTTCATCTTTTCAATTCATGTATTGAATGAACATAATACCATTCGAAAAATGTTAGGTATAAAGTCTTACAAAAGAGAACATCGAAATGATTTTGATTGATTGTAAACTTTGTCTTTTATTTCTGTTTAGTTCGTTGTCAAACAGTCAATTCATTTTTCCGTCTCTTCATGGAACTCTGAGCTTGCCAAAGATTGCCTCCGCAACTACCAATACGATCGACCGTCATCAGGCAAGGATCGTTGCGGGCAATGCAGGTTCGTACATGGCCTTAACTAAAACTGATTAAGTAAGTCTTGATTTTTCTTCTTACTCTAGAAAATTTACGTACACATCTTGACTCGATGTACAAACTGCTGCGACCCGACGATCGCCTCACCCTGGTATGTTCGTTACAAAATTCAACTCAGTCATATATTGCTTTTTCTGTTTGATTAGATGGTACAGTTGGAAAGTGGTTTTCCAAACCGTTTTCGCTACCTAGTCATTGTAACATGCGTGGGAAGACAAGAAACAGAAGAGTAAATATTCAGGATTGAATTCAATAAATATACATTTCATTTCCTAGATCGGCTATTCTTGGTTTCGATGTCGATACAAACGATATTACAATCGGCATGTCATTGCCAATATGGGCCGATTTAGATATATCACTCGACGGTGATGGGTAAGATTTTTATCTTTCGAAGAAAAAGAAACTATTGCGATTGTATTTAGTGGTTTCAAAGTAACTTCTTACGAACGATGTCATATTTTCAAGCCGGTGAGCGTACAAGCACTATGGTATGTTCGATGAGTTAACAGACTTTCGTTTGCTTCATGAATCTCTCCTTTTTTTCCACAGGACTGCATATCAGAGTTTACACAAAGCATCCAATCAAGCACGTCTTTATAATTATATTGTTAACAATGATTTAACACATACATGGATTGAATATTATCGTAATCCAGATATTCGTTCAAATCAAACCTATGTTAATGAATGGAATCAAATGGATGATATTCTATCACATCGTAGTGATTCACCTCATTTATATCAACCGTATGTGACTACGATTGCATTGAAATTTAGTTTTAAAAAAATGAGCTTTCTTTAGGCTATCGTCAGATGAAGAAACGTTACGTTCAAGAATACATGTGAAATTAAAAGAAATCATGCTACAAGTTGATCTTGATGAAGTGACATCGAAATTTGTATGTTAAAAAAAACCAATGAAACGTGCCCGCTTTATACACACGCATGTTCTTTCGTTTAGTTACGTGAGCAATTAGAAAATACTTTTCAAATGTCCTTGTCTCCTTATAAACAGTATATCGATGACGTTATGTTACAAATTCTTGCTCAAATGGATAAACCAACAATGATACTCCCGCATTTATATCTCGGCTCCGAATGGAACGCATCCAATTTTGAAGAATTGAAAGCAAATAACATTGGCTATGTGCTGAATGTATCTCGAGAAATCGACAATTTCTTTCCTGGTCATTTTAAATATTTAAATGTTCGTGTGCATGATCATGATGATGCGGATTTATTAAAAGAATGGGAGAAAACATTCCGATTCATCAATGAAGCAAAGTAAGATCTTCTTCATCTCAATTTTCTATAAATGTTGCATTCTTTTAATATCTAGAGCTAATAATCAATGTTGTTTAGTACACTGTAAGATGGGTATTAGTCGATCTGCATCGACGGTATGCATCAACTTGTTTTTCTCTATCAAACAGCAAACGAATACTTTGCTTTTTAAATTTAGGTATTAGCATATCTTATGAAAGAAAGCAATCATTCATTTGCTGATGCTTTGGAGCATGTGAAGAAACGACGATCATGTATTAACCCAAATGGTGGATTTAGAAATCAGTTATTGATATATGAAGGAATTCTAGCGGCAAAGTAAGACCGAATTCTTCTTTGAACCCAAGCCGGTTACATTCTCCGATCGTTCGCTTGAATAATTTCTATTGTTCTTTTTCGAGAATAAAAACATAACCTTGAGCTGTACTTTCCATTCAATACGATCCGGCTTTTTTTTATATTCTAGTAAAACATTCCGAAGTAAAATAAATGACAGTCAGACAACTACAACAACTATTGGCAAAAAAACAGTAACTATTCCAGCGATATCTTCGTCATCATCGTCATCGACGTCCAAGAGTACTCCGTCTACTCCTACTGAGCACTCGCCACCATCGAATCCTTCCATAGTTGTCATGCGAACACGATCCCCGAATAGATCCAGTGCTGTTGTCGTTGTTCCACGACAAGCAACTGAACATTGTAAACAAACATCACAGGTAGCTGCGCGGCCGAATTCGATGATTTAATTAATTTATATATATTTTTTTTTGTTCTTTCTTTCCATTTTCACTTACTGTACCTACATTCTTCTTCTGTCTCTCTTTGGACATACGGAAAGAAAATCGTTTTTGTATGTATGAAATCTAAATTTTCTTTTGTTCTCTGTTCATGCTGGAATGATACCATTTCTTTTTCTTTTCTTCTTTCATTTGCTCTCCTCTCTCTGTTATACATGTGTTCTATTCCCTTTCTGCTACAACAAATAGCTGACAAAAGCTTACAAACAAACGGAATAAATATTGAAACGCACTTTCAATCTATACTCAGTGATTTCTTGCCTATATGACTATTCTTCGGAAAACAAAAGAGTATGCTCTATTAAAAAACAGAAATATTAGACGGTGTCAAGTGGTACTAGCTGTCATATTGATAATATTTGTACGTTATCTGATTAAAGTAACCACAAGCTCACTAGAACTTGTGCAATCTGCTCTACGAATAATGATTACTCATTGCAACATGGCATGGGAAGTATCTACATTCGAGATGGATTTTTCGTTTGAATTGCTTTTCTTAATTTTTACATTAAATTACACACTTAAAGTTAGACTTTTTTATGTTCGCTAGCTGGCATATGTGTAAATTCGAAGTCTAAATGAACGAATGCTCGTTCAACGTCATCAATTTCCTCTAATTGAGTTTGCAATTCGGCACCAATGTCATGCGCTTCAGACAATGGCATTGCACCCGGTAAACCAATATCGACTTCGACGAAAAAATTCGTACCAAGATGAACAGCTTGGATCGAATCGACTTTTGTAACGATATCTGGACGATAATTGTATACAACATGTGTTATTCGTTGGAGAAAGGGTGGTTCGGCTGATAGACCGGTCAAATGACGCACCTGCCCTGAACAATACAGAAACAAAAAACAAGTAGAAAGCTTGTAACTACAAGAAAATGATTTACTGTTTGCTTGTAAAATCCAAGCTATGATAATGTAGATTGAAATGACGATACCACCGACCGGATCAACTACTATTGCTTCTTGTTTGAGATCACCACGTCGAGCATGAGTTGCTGAATAAACAAATCAATTCATTTCAATAATGTTGTCTACTCTCATACCTATAAGTCCGCAAGCAAGCGCTACGATATTAGATACGACATCATTACGATTATCTTCGGCCAGTGCGTACATTGTTGGATTGTTGATTCGATAACACAAAACGAAAAGAATTGCTTTTGAGACTAGAAGAAAGAATGACGAGAGTTTCCTTTTCCATTTGACAAGAAAATCAAATTTACCAATAGTGATAACCATTGATACGATAGGTAAAATACTCATATCGATATCAGGTAATGTTTTTGTTGATGAACCATTATGTTTATTGGTAAAATATTCAATATCCTGTTCTAATGTTTCACCACTCTCGAAGATGACTTGTACACTCGCTGAACACATGATGACCGATAGAATGACAATCGAGATGGGTTCAAGACGAGTTCGACCTGAAAAATCAGTACAGCGTTTGCTTTTGGACTTATATTTAATCTGTATGTACCTCCAGGATATTTATAAGCATCACGATTTTTGATTTTTCTCGATGTCCAAAGAAGAATGACACTTGTTAGTAGATCGACGGTACTGTCTACAACTGATGAAATCACTGAAAGTGATCGCGATATGACCGCTGCGATAATTTTGATAATCAAAAGAATCTTTAATCGAATATTTAGAACAAATACTTCGACAAAGCAAGGAAAACTTACGATATTTACTACTAAAGTAACTCGAGTCAAAATTTTGATATTACGATTTTGTCGTCGTTGTGCATCTGTTTGATGATCATTTGATTCGTCCGTTTTTGGCAACAGAATGTCTTCGATAGACGTTATCAATTCCAACTGATCTTCATAGAAATCCCTATTTTCAGTTAATAACATCGGTGAAAAAACCTTGTCTCAGCTTATTTATATTATCTACCTGACTTTTTTCGGAAGAGATTTGTCATCTGGATGACAAAGAGGCTTGAATGACTGAATATGCTTGAGATAGCCATAGTCCGATGAAACATCAGGCGCTTCTGCTGCTGCTGTCGTTGTTCCTTGGTCAACATCTGCTTCTGGTATAGAAGCGTTATTACGGTTTTTTGACAATGCTTCTCGTCGAGCTGCTAGAACACGTAAAGGCCGTGCTGGGTTTGGAGGATTGCTGCTAAATGATGATCGTTTTCTGCTTGTATTCGGTAGAATATGTGGCTCTTCAAGCTCTACGTAATTCATTTCTAGATGAAAGCGTCTATTTCACTCGATCAAATCAGGTAAAACCTTTAATGCGTATGTTGATTTCGGTGATCGCTTTGCTACTCGAAACGCCTCTCATTCATGATCGATTGATATGTGATCGGTGGACCTTGTCTTTTTATTTATACTCATCATTGGTGAAAAGGTATATTCTTATTTAATTCGTAACTTAATACCTAAAAACAAGAATCTTTTCTACTCATTAGTGATTGATTCATCGAAGTAGATATAAAACCGAGTCGCACAGTACATGTTTTTCATTATTTCAATCCACACATTTTTTTCTCGTTTAAGAGCAAACAGTAAAAAATACAGAAGAGAGTTATACAATGAAAATAGTGAAATAATCTGTAAAAAAACCGAGAGAAAATATCCATTGATTGATTGTTTATTTGTTACATATACATCATATTCAATTGGCATCCTACGAAAACTTTATCAATCAATTTCCTACGTATCAGGTTAATCATCGATAACTTATGAGATATTCAGCATATGCTTGTGAATCATGATAGGTTACTAAAGATAAACGAAATCAGATAAAATACTCATTTGATAGAAATCGGTCCTACCAAATATACTGTGTCCATCACCAGTTGTATCAAAACCTGCGGGTGGTACACGCATTGATGAATTCCCTTGAACTGTATTACCAACAAGAACCCGAGCTAGAATATACAAATAATAACTTTAAATGCGAGAAATTTTCAAATCCTATTTACCAAGAAACATTCGTCGAATCCCATTGCGATCAGGTGCAGCGTAGCTGTGACTATATGTTGAATCGCGTGCAAAATAACTACCTTGCCCATAAGCAACGGCTATAATAGAAATATTGAAAAAGAAATTTCTCTGTGTTCTCGATATCAACTAACCACGTTGACCAGCGTACGAACGATTAAAACATTCCATCTCGATATTTCTCGATGCTTGTTCGTCGCAGCCTGAGAGAAATATAAACAATTCGTTTAAATTTTTACTAGCTCTTTTTCTACGCTTCACCGTGAAATAACCATTGTTCAGTTTGTTTGCCTAGTTTTTGTCGGAATTCAAAATCGTGTGCTGAATATTGTTTGAACCATCGTTGATTTTGTATGCGTTCGATTTGTATAATTGTTGGTGGATTAGTACCAGGAAGAGAAGGTCTTGACATTTGTCGACGAGCATGCACCAGCGGACGTTGGTTGTAAACATTTGTCTGAGTATATGGAACTGGAATCGATGGATGCACCTGTGCAGGAAAATGAGCTTGAGGAATATTTGGGATTGACGATGGTTGCGCCTGTGCATGGAAATGAGTTTGAGGGACACTTGGTGCTGTCGATGGTTGGAACATTGATTGTGGCCACGGATGTCCGAAATATGGCGCCTGTGGAGAGATCTGATTGCCTGCGACCGGTACTGTCATCATTGATGGTAGTGCCATTGGATTTACAACAGCTGTACTATTTGGATTGCTAGAAACTGGCGCTATAGGTCTGAATGGCTGCGTTAGTTGTCTTTGACGAATTGCAGGCTGTTGATTCGTTAACGGTAGCATAAGAGGGGCTGATGAGTATGAGGGTGGCAATTGGTGCGCAGGTATCGCAGGATTATGAGTTAAAGTCATTGGAGCGAGAGCTGCTTGTTGATTTGCAAGGTGAGTCCAGCTGTTTGTAAATTTATCCAATACAAATTTATACTCTGTAGATTGTGGATCAAGTGTATGACGAGAAAAGTTCATTAACATTGGCAGTGTCCAGTATTTAGGTAAACATTGCTGTTGATTTATCAGTAAAATATCAAAATCGGAATCATCATCATTGTCATTCGTATTATTGTCGGCCTAGATAGAAAAACGGAAATATTCTTATGTAATCAGATGTGTTCGAGGCAATTTCTACCTGATTAGTACTTCTTTGTTGACTGAAATGCACCGCATGTTCCAATTCAAATAGTTTTCCTTGCTGATACAATTGTATGGCATCAATCTCCACCTGTGGTAAACGTAAATTAGCCAGATCATTACGTTTGATCGAAGCACGGCAGAGTGTACAAGCTAATAAATAAAATAATATTTCGTCTTCTAAGAAGAAAAGAATAACTCATTCGCACTCACTAAGCAATTCATTTGTCATCGTTCGTTGTCGATTGACTTCATTCGCAAAACAATCATAACATATTTTACAATTACAATGCAACACAAAGATATTGCCGTATGAATGCTGCTTAGAGCATATTTCACATTTACGACGTGGTATATCATCTTCATTCGTTGCTGTTGCTGTTGTTGCCGTTTCATTTTGTTGTTCAAGAGTTGGATCGACATTTACTGCATCTTCATTACCATACAATTGTGTATATAACTCAATTACCTTCTGATTTTGATAATTCTGATAGAGATTGATCTGTTCATTCGTCAAGGCGCGCACTTCTAAGAAATCTCTATCTTGTAAATGATAACTGCATTTGTAACAGGTTAATATTTGGTTAGTGTTCAACTATAGATATCGAACTTCAAAATTAGTCATCTATAAATCTCTTCTTACTTTTCTTTGCAGATGTTGTGTATAGCATCCTAAGCATAGCGAATGGCCATTATCACAGTTGATTGTGTAGAAATCTTCCGATGGTACTGTATTTTTGCACACGTCACATAAATCATTGGATAAAACTAAATAATACAAGTATCGAAAAACAGAAAAGACTTTCATAGCAATTCACCCACCAATTGGCTGATTGAATTGTTCAATCATTTCATAGACATCTATAGTCTGTCGATGTTTTCGTTGCCATGCATTTATAAATGATTTAACATTTTTCTCATCAATGTTGGGATTCTGTAAATGCTTGACTAAAAACTGTATCAATGCCGTATTATTATCATTGTTACATATAATCATGTGTTGTTCATAATCATCAATAGAAACGGGACAATAGCAGATTTCACACGGAATTGTTAGGGAACGCCCGAGACATTCATTTTGATGGATGTAGAAATTGTGTTGATCGATGTACAATTCACATTTACCACATTTCATTCGACTATCCTTATTTTCCGTAGGCGGTTTTAATTCAAGTAGTTTAAGAAGAACTTGATGATCTTTGATTGCAATTGGTAGATCGTCAAGATCTTCGACTTTTAACGAATAAGCGCAATCAACGATTAAACACCGTGGTGGTGTTTTAGTCTAGAACAAAATATGAATAAAAGGACGCAAATCGCTTTATTTCATTCATACTTGAACATGTTTCTGTGTCCAGATGAAAATACAATTCAAACAAAAGCAATGCGTTGATGGACAATGGAATGTTTTCAATAGTTTCTCTTGTTTACCACAATGATGACATTGTTCCTTGTTTTCGTCAATCTCATCAGGTGTTAAATCAGCAAAAACACAGGACGATGGATTTGAAAGACTTCGTCTAGAATTCGGTGATTGACACCGTCGTTTACTTGAAGGACATGAACGTTCTGAATCTTCATTATTAGTAGTGACATCAACTCTCGAAGACGATTGACTCATTTTAGCATCTAAAATACGAACGTTTCATTAGCTGGACGTCTCAGATATTATGTCAGTTTTTCCACTATTTTTTTTGTCATATTTTTCCTTTTTCCCCATGTGATTCATATTATATCGTTGTGTATGGGTACGTATGTGTGTGCAAGGCAAAAGAATCAATCGAATCAAATTTCACATTTTCGGTAGAGCACTAATGACATCTATCCGATGATAGAACACGTTTACTGAACATCAAGTTAATAAAAATGAAAATGAAACCAAATCAGAAAATATTACATGATAATAAGAGATCAATGACTATTCTAATTAAGAAAAAAGAGCGAGAAGAGAAAGAGAGAGAGATAGAATGACAACATAAAGCGCTTGCTGAAAATACAAGTCTAGCCAAGCTGTGGAGGCGGAGGTGGAGGTGGTCGTTCGCGAATAAGACATTGCAATCCGGCGTTATCAGCACAGTGACAGACACGTTTAGCACGAAGACTTAAATTCGGTAAACAAAGTTGACCTGTCGTGCAATCATTATTGTCACCACATACATTGTTCACTAGAACAAAGGAATATTATCATATGACATTTGAGAGAGCAGTTCTTCTAATTTTTATTTTACCATCACTAGGACATGAGTCTTTGACTGCAACTAAACCGTAGAGTTTACCGTTACCACCTGATGGTAGAAGTACACTATCAGGTGTACGACTAGGTGTTTTATCAATTCGACCGATTTTATTTCTAAATGGTGAATAAATCAGTTCGATAGAACATTTTCAAGTCAGCTACATACGTTGACCAATCTGTCCAATATGCATATTGAAGTCCATCACTCAATCCGAAGATCATTGTTGTTTGATCAGTTAAAAGTACACGACGATTTGATCCATCATCGCGTACACATTCAATTGTTTTCATTTTTGCATCACCCCAGCATAATTCTCGACGATGATGATCGTAATAGAGACCATTAGGTAAACCAAGTTTGTCGGAAACCAGTATTTTTCGTTCGCTTCCATCCATGTTAGCTCGTTCAATACGCGGATTTTGTCGATTCCAGTCTGTCCAGAAGACATATCTAAGAGACAACGAATCTTTTGTCAAAACTATCGATATGCTAATCTTACCCAAGTTCGGGATTGACCGCAATAGCACGAGGATTCTGAATATTTTTATCCAAAAGAACTTTACGTAAACTACCGTCTAATTTCGCCACTTCCAAACGTTTCAATGCTGAATCCGTCCAAAACACTAGACGTGATACCCAATCAATAGCAATACCTTCAGGACTACCGAGTCCTAAAAATCAAACAACAACTACTTTCTCTTTCGAACTCATGTCCATCAAAATTACCGCTAAGAATGACTTTCTGTTCCGTGCCATCGTATTTCATTCGTTGAATCGTCTTACCAGATGTATCGGTAAAATAAACAAATTGCTGACGGCAATCAACAGATATACCGACAGCACGCATTCCTATACATACAGGTATTCGTTGTAGTTTTACGAGGAAAGATTTCTTATTTGCTTATTACTTGGGACATAAAGAATACGCTGTTCGCCATTATTAGTTGAACCTGATGCTGTCAGAGGCACTTTGAGAATTGTTTGTCCTTGATTAACAATTAAAAATTGTTCTTTGGGTCCGCCTAACGTTTCTGCGCAACTACAATGACAACCGAATCTCAATCATATGGCAGAGGAAAACTTAGAAAATATTTACTGTATTCCATCACCAACAAAACCATCTTTACATGAGCAAACATTGTCCTGAAGAATTGCATCATAAACACAAGCAGCAGAAGGTGAACAAATAGTGGCATTTTCCAAACACGAATCTAAACGAAATCAAAAGGTTACAATTCAATAGGACATAAACATCCTACGTTCGTGACGACATGTTATTCCATCTCCTTTGTAACCAGTTCGACAGAGGCATACATGTCGGTCGATGCGTTCATTGTAGATACATTGTGCATTCACATGACACTTATTCTCGATATTACATGACACCACTGCAAAATCGAGAGAGCATACAGAATTTTCCTTTGGTATTTATACTCCGTTACCATCTTTGACACAAGTAGAAAATGTTGTTCCGTCGTTGAGATATCCAGGATCGCAGACACATTTACTGAAACCAGGTCGTTGTTCATCCGGTAGGCAATGTGCATTATATCCACAATCGCCATCTGTTGAACAGAAATGTGCTGTACAAGAATACCCATCGCCATAAAAGCCTACAATCATTTGTTTGATGGAAGTCAAGAATCATCGTTGCGAAAACAAACCTGGTTTGCACGTGCATTCATATTTTTGTGTATTTTCGTTGATTAAACAATTGGCATTGGTATCGCAATTGTAATATTCGTTGCATTGTTTTGGTTTGCAAATGGATTTATAATTTCCGTTAACATGATTTTCATGATCGTCAGTCATTTGCCAACCTTCTTTGCATAAACATCGAGCATGTCTTGTATGAGGATCTTGTATGCATGTGGAAAATTGTGGACAGATCTTTGTCGCACAAGTTTCAACTAGATAGAGAAACTGTTGTAAGATTTCTCTTTGGAAAAAGGTCAATCCTTTACTTTCATCATTGATAGGTTTACAGAAAAATCCATTACCAATATAGTTTCGTTTACATTCACAACTAAAATTTCCATAGGTGTTCGTACATATGGCATTTGAATGACATGGTGATTGAATACATTCGTTTACATCTATGAATAGATAGGAATACGGTCAAGAGATATGGACAGATTTCATCTTCTTACCGTCACAACGTCGTACGCCATCTCCGAGAAAACCCGGATTGCATTTGCATTCGTATGTATTCTGTTCAAAGTTCGGTATACATTGAGCGTAGCCATGGCAAGGTGAAGAATCACATGGGTCAAATTTTGGAGCTAGAAAATTGTAAGAGATTGTCTTCGGTCATCGAGAAAGAAAGAATCTTGTTTGCAAGTNTCATCGAGAAAGAAAGAATCTTGTTTGCAAGTACCTTGTGTGCCAACTTTTGTGACAGTAAAAAATCGAATGGTCGTGTCTTCAATTGAATGATAAATATGATTATCTTGATTCGATACGATAATTTCTTTTGGGGATCGATGTGGATTATGTGGGCATTCGTAAAAACTCAAATTATCCTCAATTTCATAACTCATGTTGTACGCAACACTGGTGTTCGCATCAATTTTCGACACTAACGTATATGTTGGAGATGCTTTTGCATCGTAATGACCTACAAAATATGAATTCACGTATGTTTCTCGAACAACCATAGACGAACCTAATGATCGTTTGATGTATTTTATGTTATTGTTGCCGATCGTAACCGATAAGTTTCCTTCGGGATGTGGTAGACTTCCATTAATATACGTATCGACTTGTAGAACACCTGATTCAATTCCACGGAAATATTGTTCAATGTTTAAAATGGCTTGCTCGGTTGTATTATCGACTTCGAAAATACGAACCGTAGCTGTACGATTCACCACACCACCTACAATTGCAATTTTGTTAGAGAAAAAGATTTCATTCAAAACTTAACCTGTCAAAGCAAAACCATTATCGATCGGATCTGAAAATCGATGAACGGTGCCGAATAGCCAATTGATCGTATTAAACAATGGAATTAACTGCTGAAGATTTGAATGAGTTAAAGGCATATTGTAAAGTGAATTATGAATACGACCATCTTCGATGTAAACATAGCCTTGCAATTCCGAATCGATCTTCTGTCCATTGATAGTGCCATTGATTTTGCCCACGACTGGGTAATTTTCTATTCGAATTTATGATAGCAATGAGTGATCAAGTGAGGAGGTAACGAACTTACCCGCACGTTCACATCGCTGACCAGAACCAAGATAAGGAAAGAGACAACGACAACAATATCCATTTCCTTGATTTTCACATCGAGCATTACGAGAACAAGTTTTACATTCTACTGCATCTAGAAATCGTCGAGTTCCTTTGAGATAAAGAGATCGAGATTAGTTCAATTTTCATTACCTGGTGGAATTGTTGAGGTAGATGGTGATGATAGGTATTCATGATAGAAATTTTGTGGCTGATGTTGATAGATATTCGATGAGTACGGTGCTACAATATATTGAAATGCATTGAACTGTCTATTTCGAAAAACATACATTGTACTGGTACAAGAACTTCTTCTGCGTCATCTTCGCTTCCAGCTGGTGTGATACGGAATCTTCCGTAACGACGTCGATCACCGATCAAATAGACCCAAACACCAGGTTTTCCAATATTCGAGTCTCTATTCATTCCACCGATGTATAAAATCTTCCGGATTATGTTCTGTACATACCTGGCAAGATTGGCAGCAGTCTCTCCACTTGATCCTGGTAAGACAATTGTCTGCTGAGAAGTACCATCGGTAAAGCCAGCTTCAGCATATCGATCTTCTCGGCCTAGTTTGGTTGGACTATACGCGGAGATGAATTCCAATTTGGCGTACATAAAGATGGAATATGTTTGTGTACCATCGCTAACAATCGCGACTTGAAATGTATTTTTCTATTTTTATGGCGGAAAATAAACGAAAATTGCTAGGATTTACAGAAGTGTCTCTTGTTTACTTTATCATCCTTGTTCAAATGAGAATGTACATCTTTCCAGGTGCAGATCAGAATTGAGTTGGGTTGGAAATGTGTTGCACGTGGAAAACCTTCTTGAACTAATTTCTTCGCCTTTTCAAGTAAGTGTTCTTCTTTCGTATATCTAAAATACTTTCATTCCTAAAGACAACTTTAACGAGCAAAAACACGTTTTACTTGTATGTGATTGAGCCACCTTTTATTGAAGTATCAATATCAGCCCAAAGTGGTGCAATGATCGCATATCCACTGTAACTCGTTAATGTAATTTGTGGAAAGAAATACGCAATTGGTAATAGAAACGAAAGAAAACCGTTGGTATTGATCTTTACAAAAAAAAAAGAGACAGGTTCTTTCTTTGTCGACATGATAATACACCTATACTTACGTAAATACTCTCGTATTTCGTCGTTATGAACGGTATTTCTGGCGAGAGAATAATTTGCTCTGAATGTGTATCATCCTCTTTTGGTAATTGAACTCCATCTTCATAGATGAAGAACTCCGATTCACTAACACTTTGACTGAACGTATTCAAACAAATGAAAATCAAAAGACAAATAATTGTCTTTTGACTTCGACAACACATGAACATATTGACCATAGACAACAGAAGAAGAAGAAGAATAGGAATGATTTGTACGTGTAGTAATGCTTGGTATAGTCAAATGAATGAACACGAATGAATCGTGTCAATGAACGTTAGCTTCTTTTTCTTCTTCTCTATTCTCTACAAAAGGAATGATAATGATCGAGATATGTATATACGTACATATGTTCAATGTATTTAACGATGCAATGTGTAACTCTAGAGATAGTGTGTGAATACGTGCGTGTATTGCATAAAATAAAACACATCCAGTCAATCTAATATTCATATATGAACATGAATGTGAACATGTATAGTATTGTTAGCATTCGAGCATATAATATACCACCATCAGTGAACGTGTGTGTGTGTGTGCTTTAACAATATCAGAGATCAAACAAGTGTTCTTTTGTATTTGTCTGTCTATTTGACCGCGAGAGACATTGTGGTGCGATAATATAATCGATGATAATGATGAGGAATTCAGTACAATTACGTCATTGGTGTATCAGGAGAAAAGTTATTTGAATGGTACACGATTCTCTGTTGATTTGAAGTGAGAGTATTTTATTTTTGTTGCATCATTCAATTGAAGGGTGTTCATGTTCCATGTGCATTGTTCTACTACATGCATTATGGTTGAAAACGGTGAGTATATTCTCAAATATACGGATATGTCTATTGAACGATAAACTTTAGGGTGATTAATGAGGGTAGCTTTTATCGATATGCACGTTCTGATATATGTAAATGAAAGCGAAAGAATTTCTGTTGTACATAGAAACTACGAAGCTTGGAAGTCATTTTCGATTCGATGGTATTCGAACAGAAATTTGCCATTTTTGTCTCAATTGAGTCGATAATTGTCATTACGCTTGACATTTCTCTTATATCTTCTTTGAATAAAATTAATTTCATTTCGGAATGTGTTATTTGTTTGTGTTCTACATAATCAAAAGATATACATGTAGACATTCTGATCAAGTCATCTTTTCCATTCGTCGAAGAAAATGTCGAAATATGATAAATACTACTCACTTGCATCTTTTCTTCATGTCAAATTATCGATCGATTGTGTAGACATTTATTTCCCATGAGCATCATCAAATTTACATAACTAGTCAGTGTTAATTTACGAAATGTTCTGAAAATTTTTGTTTTCGCCCAGAGTGATAATCAAATCAACATGTCAAGAACTGTACACTTCAGCGTGTTTTTCTCCTTCGCACAACAGCAATTTATTTCGATATACTCATGGGTGAAATTTATTATGTGAAGCAAAAAAGACTGGATTTCTTAAGATATTTTCAAATACTGTTGAGCGATAGATACAATAGAGGAATCTCTTTCTTCGTGTACAAATTGTCATCGATAATTAAGGTTGAATATGCTCTGCAGCCATCAAATCACGACGCTTACGTCCAACCAGATAAGAGGCTCGTTTACCGACTAAATATGTACCACGTTTGCCTACTAAATAGGATGCTCGTTTAGCGGCCGAGAGATCTTCATCTAAAATATCAGAAGAGATTAGCGAAAAGATTTGTTTCGATCTTACCACTATCATCGAAATCTTCCTCCGATGCAACAACGTATCGTTTGCCTACCCAATAACCGTTAAGATGTTTTCGTTTTTGCAAGAGATCGGTGAATTGTTCACGTTCTTTGTTGGCTTGAACCATAACAAATGTCAAGCCAAACAGCGCGAGGAAGATATAAGCGAGAACGGTTTGGTATTGCATGATTTTTCTTTGAAGAGAAATAAATCTAGAGATCAGTACTCGAGAAATACGATGGGTACGAAATGAGGGTCAATAGTCTAGAAGAAAATCATATAAATAGAGAGAACGAGAGAGGAAAATATTTGTTGGAAATTAACAGGAAGAAAAAGGAAAGTAATAACGTGTGTGTCTGTTCACGCATACCTGCAAGGTATTCATGCATTCGACAACGGTATTAGTATAATTCAATTCATTTTCAAAATAAAGAATGTCTTTTCTTAATGATCTGAAACTAAACCAGTTTTCTGCGCTAATTCTAATGTCATATGCAGTTCATTACCTATGGAGATTTCAAAGTGATTGGAAAATAGAAACTGAAGTGAAAAATAATAATCCAATTTCGATTTAGAGTCATTACTCACGTTGATCAACGGCAAATATGTAGTGTAGAGAAAAGGAAAGTTGACAATCGCTTCCATTCTCTTTTCCTTCAGTAACGATAATGATCATTAGTTTTCCGTAGCACTTTTTGCTTCATTACATACAGACAAATAGTGCTTTTGATAAAAAATGAACGGACAATTAGCTCTTCGATCTGCGTAGATGTGTGTGTGTGTCGTTTTTCAACAGAGATTTTCCTTTAATCGATTTCCCTCCCTCTCTCTCTCTTTCTTCTCTCCCTCTTTTTCTCTCTTCATTCTCTCCCACTCATAGTCACTCGTCATCATCAGTTCGCCTCGCATGGGTTGCAGTTCTGCTGCTAATGTGAATTAAGAAGGAGTGAGAAGAAGGTTCTTACGCTGTCGAAATACAATGAATTGAGGTTTATTAATGATCGAACATATTAGCTGATGGAAAGACAACCTTTGACAAGAAATGAATGTTGAAGAGGTTACTCTCATTCAAACAGTTTTTATTAGTAGCTGTTTAGTATTAATCGATTCATGAAATGGAACATATTAACAGCAGAAGAGGAGAAGAAAGAAAACTAGCTGAAACGTTTAATCAATGAATTAATCAAAAGCAATTGTTCTGTTTCTTTATGCGTTCGTGCTCTGTTGTTATTGACGAGGCATCGGAAACAGTAGAACGAGAGAGAAAAATCGTCTAAAACAGGACTGAATTGTCACCGCACGAGATCGTGTCAAATGTACAATGATGATTGGCAGTTTCTATTCAATAGATACACATATTTATTCCTTTGGAACAAGCAAATCTCTTGTGCGATTCGTAACGGAATGACTTCTATAAATATTAGCAGAAGCCTGTGAAGTCGTCATCGTCTGTTCATCTTCACTCACGTATTTCTTCGCTCTACATTTATTATTTCTCTTTTCTTCTTCTACTAAATGGTATTAACACGTTTACATTTGCTTCTGTGGAACGATTCGGAAGAGGAAAGACAAAGTTCTATTTACACGTGATTTATTCGAAAATTTTTCTCAAGAATTTCGAGAATGACGGGTTTGTTGGCTTTGTTGATAGTTTCATTTGTTTTTCCAGGAGATCAAATGTTTGACGAAATCGAATCAGCGGATTGATGGTGAGATCTTCGTTTGATCGCTGACGTCGTTCATTCAAACGGCGAATGAAAAGTGAAAACGTGTTCTCACTATTTCGTTGATAATCATCGAGGAATTTCATAAACAGCATTCCTATCAAACAAGAAGAACGAATCCGTTGAAAATATTTCAGGAAACCAAACTTACCGGATATAAATTCTTTGAGAAATATGACGTAAGACGGAGTGATTTGCACGCGAAGGAATTCATCTGTGTGAAATTCATACCCAAGATAATTATCTACAGCCTTCGGTTCATTATTTAGAATTACTTGTGATAATTCCATTGAAACAAGTGATTGTAGATCGATGCCACTATCACGATGTTGAAGACGATCTGGACCTATAGAAGATTGCTGATCTTTCTCCGTTATTGACGATTTGTTACGTTTGAAAAAGTCCGGTAAACGATAGAGTAGTTCAGTAAATACGGATAGAAATGCTTCACTAACGGCAATATTAGTTAATATGGAATTGGTTCTCAGTAAGCGAAATCTTGCTACATAATCAAGTGAAGATTCTAAAATTTGTCGAAGATTGTACGGTAACAAATATGTTGTTTCGAGATTTCCGTCCAGTGTACATAGATCGAGATCAACAATCAGCGTTTCACTATCTGGTGCTTTAGGTATTTGCTGCATTGTGTCACGCAAACAACCGTATATATACGGACATGGACTATCCAATAGGTCAGTTAACCATGACGAGGGCATCAGAGAAACGAATGAATACGGCCATATAAATGGATAGATAAGTAATGAAAGAGCTAGTGTACATTTGGTTAATTTCGATGGGTAATGTGAGAAAAGCAAGATACGTTTCGAACGTAACATTGACTCAAACAAATAAATAATTTGATAGGAGGACAGGCAAGAAAGTAGGGTTGAAAAATAATCATGATTGAGACGATCATCCCGCGGACATACATAGAAAAACAAACGACGATCGTTTAGTACACAAGTGACACCTGATGAATTTAAATTAGGCATAGGCAATGGCTTGGAATAGAATGCCTGCATTAGAAGACTGCATTCCATTTCGTTGGTCATATATGCTAAAAGAAAACATCAGTATGTCAATATAATTCCTCTATTTGACTTGCATGCACTTCCCATATGTAAAACAAAAGTAGATGTTTACCTTTTATCAATTCATTTAAAATGGCATCGTAGAGTTTGAAATATGAATGAGATGAGACTAAAAAAAATAATGAAGTACTCTAATAATTAAATTATGTTTCTTACCAATGCAAATGACAATTGGATACTCTGCCATTTGATTGTATTCTTTTGATAGTCGCCGACAATAACCATATTCGACTTGACCATTGGAAAGTGTTCGTGTAAAGATGTACGTAGCAGAATCAGTAATAAGTTGTCCACCATTGCGATGATTGGAATTCAATTCAGGGAAACAGAAACGTTTGTATACTGACAATGCTTCGAGAATCTTATCTTCATGATTATCATCATCAGGTGGGTAATGTCCGAGTAAGAGTTCTTTATCGACGCACTGATCGGATAATGTAATAATAAATGCTAATTTATATAGATGAGCATCTAAGTTTGATGATGATGATGATGTGAAAGCGAGATGATGACCTTCAAGAAATCGATTGCAATCGTGTGGTGTATTGACATAATCAGTTACATAAGAAGAACGTGCAGGTTGAAAGATTTGTTCATCGAAGAACGAACCATTGACAGTGAAGCCGTTTTCGTGAGAATTTCGATGTTGAATGATCGAATTTGATAAATTTTTATTCGAAGACTGTCGCTGACTTGAATGACCATGCAATGGTGGTGATGAAAGATAATGCAATCCATTTGATGATTCAATATTCAAACTCGAATGAGATTTCGTATCGTCATCCTGCAATGAATTCAGTTTCGTTCCGTAATCGAGTGAAATCGAGTTTTTCAACAAATATTCACTACGAATCGATGTCATTTGAAATTTCGTATGAAAATAAATACCCTATTGAATCTATTATAAAAGTAGTTATAAATAAGAAGTACACCCAATCAAGCGTGACGGATGTGAGCGATGGTGAGGAATTATTCTTTTCTACATTTTCATTCGTCGATGATGATCACTTTGTATTTTATGTCATTTCTTCCTCACGAATGAATCGAACCTGAAAGGAAAATATGTTTATTTTATTACCATTGCTATGCGAATGTAATAAATGGCCACGCGGCTCGTCTTACACTTGTGTAGTTATTTTCTTTTCGCTTCGAGCTGAGTTCGATACTGTATTTCTTTCATTTTTTTCGTAATCAAAACATCTGACCTCGATGATCTTTTCTTCTAAAGTTCGTACACGTTGTTTTTCTATAGACAATGTCGAAGGAATGTCGATTATTTTTTGATGATATAATCATAATACCCGCGAACAATGATCAATGTGTTTGAAAGAAAATTTTGTCGTTTCTATGAGTCTTGTTTATTATTATTTTAGTCTTTCTCTTACTCCCATCATTAAAATCGAGTAACACACACGCAAAAAAAGTTCAACGAGAAATCGAAAAGAGGAAAATAGAGGCACACTGCTCATCAAGATTAATTCACATAGTTAAAGGAAGAACAAAAAAAGGAAGAGAAGCTATCGCTATAGTTTCGAAAATATCGATAGGTTCACTAGACACACTGTACAAAAAAAAGAAAAAGACGATAAATAAAATTTCAAAGGCGAAAATGGATAATAAAGTACGCAGCAAAAAAGTTCGACACTTTATCATCGGATAGACACATATATATAAACAAACAAAAAAAGATTGAGAAAGACGGTTTTTCTTTCCCCGATCATTTGCGGCTTTTCTTGCTAGAACCACCACCAGACTTTCGAGCTTTCTTGTTCGGCGACGAACTGTTGGAATCTAGACGAGAGAAAAACAATGAAATGTCCGTTTGCTTCGACCATGTGCCGTGACACTTACTTTCTCCCGATCGTTTGTTTGGTGATCTTGATTGTTGGCGTTCATCATCGGTTGCCGATTGATTGTTATTGTCATCTTGTGATGCTTGGCGTTTTTGACCACCTTTGGGTCGGCCACGTTGTCGAGATTGTTCACCATTATCATTTTTGCGATTATTTTGTGATTTACTTGGTGAACGAGATGTCGATCGACGAGATGTGATGCTTTTACGGCGACCACCTGATTTACTTTTGCTTGGCGAACGAGATTGTTGTTGAGGTAGTTTGTTATTTTTGCGACCGTCACTCTTCTTGTTCTTGTTGGGCGATGATCGTGATCGACTTCGTGATCGATTTGCTTGACTTGATGATCGGGATCGGTTTTGCTGTTGTGGCGGTACGTTGTTTTTACGACCATCGGATTTCTTTGATTTGCTTGGTGAACGTGATCGGCTAGCATTATTTGATGATCGAGAACGTTTTTGTTGTTGTGGTGGCACATTATTCTTACGACCATCGGATTGCTTTGATTTGCTTGGTGAACGTGATCGACCTTGGGACTTGGTATTCTTACGACGACGATCAGTTGATTGACTTCGGCGGCCAGATCGGGATCGCGATTGCGATTGCGATTGCGATCGTGAAGGTGAAGATGAAACACCACGGCTACCAGAACCGCTTTGTGATGATGATCGTCGTTTACTTGATTTCTTGAAAAAGAAGAAAGAAGTATGAAGGCGATTTTAACGGAAATTGAATTACATTAGATGATGAGTTTTTATTGTTTGCTTTTCTTCCCTTGGCAGACAATCTGTAATATCCGTTGCTATAGCCCGTACCTATTTAAAATTATATTACATGGTGAGAATTAACGAACTTAGGACATCGCTTACCACTAGCAAGTGAAATAACGCTGTCTTTGAGAAGTGCTTCGACTGCTGAGCGAAGATGACTCTAGAAAATAAGAAAAGTCTTATTAACAGCCAGGGATTTGCTATAGCATTCAAGTCTTACATTAACAACTTTGCCGCTACCGATTCCATACGTATTTTTGAGATGATTCATGATTTTTGATCGACTTGAACCTTTACGGGAGTCGTGCTATAAATCAAATAAATATTTGTTATCGAATTGAAGTTAGAGACTAAGGGATTTCTTACAGCTGAAATTGCTTCGGTAATCATTCGTTGATAGTTCGGATGTCTCGATGATGTGCCCGCTCGTCGTTTTTTTGGCGACTTGGACTTTTGTTTAGTTGATGAATTGTAGCTTTGTGATGATTTGCGTTTCATCGGTGATCCAACTCTACTTTGTTTGGATGTTTGACTTGCTGATTTGCTCGATGTCTTTTTAGCAGACGCCATGATCGGTTAAGAAGTGGGAGATATAAGTGTGTGTGTATGCAGTGTGGGTTAAAAAGGATGAAATGAATCGATAGACGAAAAGAATCTTAGTTATAAACTCGTTGATTTCGCAAAGAATACAACGATTTTTCTCTCGTCTTTGTTACCGATAGAACTGGTCGTCCATCATCGAGAATCGATATGGCGGACACTAATACAGGCAACAGGATACATGAATGAAGGCCTGGATTTTTCAATAGACAATGTGTAGACTATTTTCGTATAGCTAACAACACGATCAGAACGTCGAAAAAGAAAATTCTAGTCAAATGAACTGACTTTTTGAACAGAATCAATCGCGTTACCAGGTATCATAGCTATAGAGCCTATGCAAAAAAAAAAGCACTTTCTATTATAAAAATACCTTACTATTCGAATTGTTCTTTATCAAAGGGTATACCTCGACGAAAGTGTATTTCATTCGTATGATACCCGGAGGTGATCGGATTTGTCTAGAACAATAGCATAGTTAATACTCTATACAAATATATCTTATTGAATCTGCATAGGAAGTCGATCGATCGGAATTGAAGAATTATAATTAAGAACATGTTTATTCGATATTGACAGGAGAATTGATTCTAATTATATATACTGATTGTTCCAAGACAAGAAAAGAAGTATAGAAAAGGCACGCATGTCAAACAAAATGCTCAAAACATTGCTGATGATGTTTCTTTCGAGATTGATTCAGTCGAAATAAAGGAATTCCTTCGTGACATTTGGTCTGAAGATGAGGTCGATTGGATTTTGACGTTAACAAATGCTGTCCAGGTGTTCGATGTTGTCTCGTTGAACAGATTAGGTTTTGTTCCGTTGGAGGCGCAGAACGTTTGTACCAATTAATATAGAATTCACATTGACAGTATCGACGGAACAAATGCATCAATTCAATACGAAAACGTGCACATGAGAAAATAAAAGCAAGAAAATTCGATGCATGATGAAAATGTAATAGGATATTCGTATATATGTGAATCGCGTATTGAAAATTATTCAGTTGACGTGTAATCAATAGATAAGTCGTGTGAATAGTCGATGGTGTAGCTGTTAGCACAAAACATATTGACGAAGTCAAAAGCATCGCTGTTAATTGTCGTTGTTTACTCGACAGATCGAATGAACTTCTTGTTACCAATTGATTGTGAACTAAACCCGTACATTGGTTTTTTAACGTTTGTTCAAGGCGTAAAGCATAGTGAAGACGTTGAATGATAATTAAATTACATATAATACATAGCGGTACAGTAAACCAGTAAGTCAAACCGGATCGAATACATTCCCAAGTCAAACGATGAAAATTTCCTTTGAATGCACAAAACGATCGAGTCGGTACAGTCTGATTCATACTATAAACATATTCAATATGCATATGTTGTGCATAGTGACTGAAAATTAGCAAAGATGTAAGAAATAAAGCAACAACTAGAATACGAGATGTCAGACGACTAGTTAATCGTGGCATTTGACATGGATTAAATACTAATGAACAACGTTCGACATTAATAAAACACACGAGCCATACAGATAATAAACGGAACACATCCATCAGAAAGAAAACTAAACAATCATACGACGTTACTTGTGGATGAAGTTTAGTAACGATTTGAAGACTTTGTAGACATAAAACAATGCAGTCCGATATCGATAATGCTGAGATGAATGCTGCTGAAGGTGTCTTACGAAAGAAAGATTGATTCACAACTATTAATATTAAAACGTTTCCCGTGCATCCAAAAATTGTCAATGATAGGATCGCAATTGTCCGAACACGTTCTAGAAACAACATCTAGAAGAGAGAGAGTACATTGAAAGAAGAAGAAAAGCAAAAATAGAAGAGTTTCTGTTTCTGCGACATCAGTTCGAGATCGACAGAAATTAGAATAAAATATAAGCATGCTGATTTTTTTTTCTCCTCTCGCTTGGCTGTATTTGAAAACAAAATAAAAATGTAATAAGATATGATTATCATCTAAAATGACAGATCAGCCTCAGGGTGTGAAATTCATACACATGCTCTCGATCCCTCGTTACCACCGAACTTCACTACTACAACAATTTATCTTAATGTATTTATTATTTAGCTACAATAATACGGAATATAATTAGAACGAACACACATTCATCTCAACGCCCACTTTCCATCAGGCATTATTTTCTCTCGTCGATTATATTCATAGCATATTTCTGTCAGATTCCCATATCGACATAAATATTGAGATATATAAAACAAAAAACCCGTTGACTACATCAAAGCAGTGTTTATTAATTGTTTCCACGTGTATGTACGAGAGAAATTAATTATGCATAAACGTAATTATAAAGATACGATCGAAAATAATACGATACATATGGTTGATTTAGTATTTTAAAAGTTTAAAAGAAATTCTCGTCGGATTCTTCTGAAAAACATCACTCAATGGGCATGCTATTCTTCAACACCGACGGCAATATAAACTCCTGATGTTAAGAAGCTCATCGGTATCAACTATTTGAACTTACCGTCTTTAGGCTTTTTTTTTCTTTACATTCTCTACCAATGACGTGAGAGTTAGCAGGCATTTGAGGAAAAACATAATTATTTCCGAACGTGTGCGTGTATATTTGATTACCTGAACGTATTCAATACATTTTCATATAAGGAACTCCACTCGGAAGTAAAACAACCGTTGAGGTTTGCAGTACATCGCTCTGCCGATCGCCGTGCAATGCTTCCGAATGATTTTAGTTCGATTACCTCACGTACGACGTGTAATTCGAAGGAAACGATCTCTACTTGTCTCGAAAGAACGCTTTTATACATTGGAGAATTCGCTATGACCAGTCTATCTAGGAAAAATAAGCAATATCAGGCAAAAGAAAATATTTGTCCATCAATAGATATTTATACACTGTTATTCAAAGGCATCAGCTTCACTATTCATCTGTTTTCATATTCAAGTCGCCTACGCTATATCTCTAGAGAACTGTATGATTTCTTATTGTATTTATCTAATAATAAATGATAGAAAAAATAATGGCGAAGATTGTATTACTTGTTCATGTCAAGTTCAATATATAATCAATAAAAAAAACGAATCTCGACGAGAAGGCGATGGAGAGAATTAGTTTTATAGAGCAATGAATGACGTGAGCATAAAATTTGAATGATTTTCTAAAGAATTTTTCTTTGCATATATGTTTGATTACATAAATTCTTCGTTTTTGTCAATATGTGACAAAGTCCAGATGCGTATCTGTCGATATTCTCGAATGAGTAGGTGGATGGAACGCAAAATGTAATCGTATAACTTGTTTTTTTCCTAATCAATGCAGATCAAATTGCACAAAGATGTTTTGTGTGTTTTCAATGATTGAATTTCTGAATAGACGAGAAATATATAAAAATTCTGCATGAATGCGGTGGAATTCCTCTTGCACTCGATGTTTTTCAGTAATTTAATTGTCGATTTGAAAGCCAATATAGAAAGAACTACCCGATCAATTTTCTCCACATATTGTTCATTGAATATGAATGTCGAAATCATCGAGCGACTTATTGTTCATTTCCTGGAAAGTACTAATAGTCTAGTGTCCTATTCATATCATTTGTGCTTGTCAGGAGCTTCTTTCTGAACTACGTAATATACGTGAGTGCGTGGTAATCTTTGACATTTCATGATTAATCCCGAATGAAAGATTTATTCGTGTAACTACGGAATTGACTATAAATATCGTACTTGTGTTTCAATCGAACGCATCCTTTTCACCATGTCTTATCGACTGTCATCGGACAAATCCTTTGATCTTTTGATATCGGATGTATTTATGTTACTGTTTTACTTCAATCATCTCGTGTCATAATAATTTCTTCGAAACAACGCCGCTCGTATTGGATAGATTCTTTCCTATATCATCATTAAGGATATATTTTCTTTTCCTTTTCTGACCTCTCTCTCTCTCTCCCCTTTTCCGAAAACCAAGGATATCCTCTAGCAAATGTAAACAACACATATTGCACCACTAACTCTTTTCTGATGTTCTTAACTATATTTATCAAATCCATACGTTGCTTCTTTTATGATGTTGATGTAAAAACGTGCATGAATGACTTTGTTAAATAGAATAGAAAAATCAATCATGATGAATACATATTCATTGACTAATGGTATTTTCATAAACTCATTATGCCTGGTTCACTGAGAATATTCTTGTTTTGCTAATCAAAGAATTCGCTGTTCAAACAAATCATCTTACCTCGATTTCTTTTAGACATAAGACGAACAAACAAAGATCTTCGATTATTGTTTTGTTCGTTCAAAGAAGAAGCATTCCCGATCGCTTGTTTTCCCTCATCCTCGAAATTGTTCCATTAAGTACTCTTGCCATTTCGTTATGTTGCAGCTGTTCGACACTGCAATACCATTGTCAAAATCAATCAAATAAAAGACAATGAAAAATCATTGTTCTCCGTAGACATCAAGACGAAGTCTGACAGTTCTTTTCTTCTTTCATTTCAAGCATGAAAACATATGATACTTCAGCAATTGAGAATTGTATTCATCGATCTTTTTTCTTCTTCGTCTTTGTCTAAGACTATTATATTAAATCTCTATTTGTCATTGTTAGTGAATTACATAGACCAGTATGACTATTTAAGAAAGGAAATGAAACCGGAACTTATCATTTTCTTCCGAAAAGAACTCTTATCCGATTCAGACTGTCAATTGCTATCAGACTTTGTGATTAATCGAAAAATCATGGAGAAAGAAAGGATATGTTGATTAATATTCGCACAGAACAAATTGACTGCCGAAGAGCACGATCATTTTTGTTCAAAGAACTCTTCTTGTTCTTTCTGTTAGAATCGCATTCGTTGAGGAAAAACAACCGAAGCAAAGCATTCCACTGTCCAACTGAAGTATTTTTTTCTCATGAAAAATAAAAAGAGAAAATAGTTCTATAATTGTGCGTATGTATGTGCGTTTGTCGTATACAAAGAGAACAAAAAAAACAAAACAAAAATACAAATGCAAAAAAGAAAAAAGTCCATAGCTCTTTTTCTCTTTTTGTGTTTCGTCTGCGTCTATCATACAGAATGATGAGAAAAACGAGAAGAGAGAGATAAAGCATAAAATATAGGAAAAATTAAGGAGTGCATAATACACCCACAGACATACACACACGGAAGAGCATCGATAAGAATGAAATAAACAAAAATAAAGTAGATAGGGAGAGAGAAAGAAAGAAAGAAAGAAAATGATAGAGAGAGAGAGAAGCAGCTCGTGCGGTTGCAACAAAACAACAATCTGAAACTCATCAGTATCATCATCTTATTGTTTTCTATACATGTACACACGCACGCACACAAGATGAAAAAATAAAATAGAAGAGAGAACGCATTAAAGGAAGAGAACCTTCGTTGTTTGTTGTTTATCCGCAGTGAAGTTGTAGGCAATAAGTGTTGGTAGTATTCTTGTTGTAGTTCGAACAGCAATCGGCTATGAGAACCTTGAGCTATGCATGTAGACATACATAGACGCACAAAGAGAAGATAAAACTAGAGAATGGGAGAGAGAGAGAGAGAGAGAGAGAGAGAGAGAGAGAGAGAGAGAGCGAAAACGAACGGTCATGGGCAACAAACATCATCATATCATCTCAACAATTGTATGAACCAAAGAGCAAGGGATAAATTTAGAAAGAAAATGGCAATAAACACTCGATTTCGATAGATGACATTCTAAAAAGGAATAAAAAGAGAAATTATTTTTTTTATTTTTTGAAGCGAAGAACTTCTCCTTCTTTCTAAACAACATCAAATGTGCACAGTAGAAGATTTTCATTTTCTAGACATATACATATACATATATATCTATACCTGAATGCCATCATCACGTTCGTCCGTTTGTATTGATGTCTCTTGGGTAAACGCATGCATATCGGCAGTAATAGCTGAACCAGCAGTAGCAGGAATATTAGACTGAAAAACATGCACATGCAAATCAGATCTTATTCTCGCGAGATTCAACTGAGCTCAAGTCAACTCCCATGATACACGTTTGGTATTGATCAAACTTAAGCAATTTTCTTTTCTTCATTCATTCTTGTTTATTATTATTATTTCGATAGTTCTCTTTTAGCATGCGCTAATGTGCGTGTGATCGATGTTAGTCGTCAACAGCAGTTGACGTTGTTGAGGTCCAGAAAGAAAACTCAATGCTTGTCTCTAATTGAAGCCAACATGAAAGGCATAGGAAGGGAAGAAGAAAGGAGGAAAAAGATCAATTGCAAATGTAAGACAGCTTTGGTAGAGAAAAACCTCTAATGACTAGATTACAATGATGAATGAGATGGTACTCTGCTGTCTATCTACTTGAAAATAGGATAAACATGTTTCTTTTTATCTATCAATCATAGTTAAATAGAATGATCAAACAATTGTTATTACATATGTATACACTTAGCATGCCAGAAAAGAAAACGAGCAAATTGTTGTTTGTTTGTTTTGACTGATTTCTTACCTGTAATAGATTTTTCAGACGACCAATCGTTGTTGAATCACGATCACGTTGACGTCGTAATTCTTCTCGCCTTTGAGAACCGAGTATGGTTGCTTCTTCTCTTGATATACCTGGAAACGAAAGAAAGAAACCGTTTGTGCAAATTAAATGCGTCAATGGAAACTCACTGGGAGCTCCTTGACGATGTCGAGCCATATTAACAAGTGTTGGCATACTACCACGTTTGCTTCCACCGGTACCACTCGTAGTTGATGTGGGTGCATCAACTCGTGTAACATTTTCGAGAATAATACGACGAGCAAGCGTCGGCGAACCTGTACTGCTCGTCATCACAGTTGGTTGTGGTATTGGTGAGCCACTTTCTGTATAAGTGGTCGTTTGCTCAGTGACACGTTTACGTATACCATTCTCAATAATAAAAGTTTCTTTTTCTTGTAAGTTATCACTGGACCGAGCTGTTTCGTCGATTCTATAATCACCAGGCTTAGTTTTAACAATACTCGGTAGAGATTTTCGTCGAGGAATAGGAACAGGTTGCGGAACATCGTAGACATCAACAGTTTGCGGTGATGATGCGGCTGGTATCGATACCGGAGCGTTCGGATTACCTAGATGACGCATATGATGATGTTCAGGATCGAAATTTGTTCCACCTGAACTCGAACCCGAATCATGTCCGCTTGGATTACGAGAATTGTGAGCACCGTGTGTGAGATTATGTCGAATACTAGAGTTATTAGGCGTCGTTCCGGGCGTATTCGGTCGAAGACTAGATGAATGATGATGTTTGTGATGAGGAGTATGTAAAGCCGATGATGGATGATGATAGTCTTGCGGATGATGTTCAGAAAATTGATGCTGATCATGAAGTAGATCATCATTAGATGCATCAACACGAGTGGTCCTTTTAAAAGTACTTCGTTTTGATGCTGAACGCTGACCTACTCCGGCGGTATTTGGTACGAATTGTTGTGGAGGTATCTGTGATGGCGATGATGACGATGGTAAATCATAACTAGTTGGTATAGAAGTAGCACGATCATCATCATAGTTTAAATGTCCTGGTACAACAGTATCAGCACGTGAGAATTGTGTTGGATGAGTATACTGTTTAGACACGGATATACCTAGAAGGGAATGAATCAAATAAAAAATCTCGATTTGAACATATCTATCGATATTTGAAAAGAATTGATGCTTGAATGAACTATCTTCATGCATTTAAAGAGTGTATATATATAGATATAAATGGAAATATGTATTGAAATCATTGATTAGCTTGAGAAGAGAACTTCAAGAAAGAAAAACTAGGAAACATTCACATTTCCGTCGGTAATGTTCCGGAATGTATTATTCTAAAAAACTTGAGTTGCACCAATTATATTTTCAATGGGTTTTAGTGTTTCTTTAGAAATTGAATGGAAAAAGGAGAAACGTCGCATTTCTCTTCTCATAAAATGATGTAGCAGAAAATCATTACTTGGTATTCAAACTGTGTTTTTGTGAATGTGGGATGGGTAAACACTACTAAGAGAGAGAGAGAGGATAGGATAAGTCAAATCCCAATCTCTGCGTGAAGGCTGAACTTCTTTGATGAGCTTTAGTTTATTTTATAAGATACTTAATCTATTTGTAATGAAAAATTTTAATACCATAGAAATAATGTTAAATTAGATATATAGGATTATGTTAATTAAAATATTTCTCTACTTTCTTTGAACTTTGATGGCATCCAACATAAGTCAAAGGTGGGGGGGGGGGGGGATTTCGAGTGTCAACAACAGAGCCTACTCTGAAATAGCAAACCTGTACGTGAATCGGGCATTTCATTGTAGGACATTGATGGCATGAATTGTTGTGCATGTGGCTGTTGATTATTATCTCGATAATAATCTGGACGTTGTTGATGAATGGAAGTTGCGGAAGATGGTGACCCAACCAACTAGATTCGAGTACATATTTATAGAAAAGTAAGGAAAAGAGAGAGGAACTGAATGAACTTACCCTCGTGTTTGCATTCCAATTAGTAGACTGAGTTGGTGGTTGTCCTTGATAGACTCCACCGTCGAGAGAAAATGGAGACATAGTTGATACTGACGTTGGATGAAGTGGAGTTATATGTGATGGTGGTGGGATTGAGCTATTTGAAAGATAATTCGATGACGCGGGTAATCGACCATTAGGCGGACTAATACTAATATGATTGCTTGTAACGACTCTTCCATCCAATTGCCGATCAAGATCTAATGGAATAAATGCTTGTGGTTTTTCTTCACCTACAAGACAAAAGAAATCAATTCATATTAATTAGATTTCTGAACGAGAGTTTTTTAATTGTTCGTATTAACCTGGCTGACGAAAATCAGGTGCAGCTAATTTGGCAGATCCACGAGCTTCAATACTATCACTTCGAGCTTGTTTTGCATAAATCTCAGCTGAATGGGCTTTTGAACGTGCATTATTTGCTCTAAAAGAAACTCGTTATTATTATTGATCAAAGAAATCGATTTGGATGAAATAACTTGCCTTGCCATGGCGATTTCAGCCTTTTGTTGCGCAGTCGTGGCAGATTTGGTTGAATTATTTAATGCAGCATCGATTTTATCACGAACTTTTGCTGTCCGAAGTAAAAATAATTTACTCGATTTACGCTTATCGGCAACTAGAATATTGTTTTTATATTTTCCCTCTTCTTTGCTACCGTCTCGATATGTAGTGACACCATAACCATTCTTCTTATTATTAAACCACTCTCCTTCGTATTTCAAACCATCCGAACGTTCAGCTATACCAAATCCGGTGCGTTTGTCTGCTTTCCATTCGCCCATGTATGTTTCAACAACATTACCATCAAGTATATCTTCTTGAGATATAAATGAATGATCACCATCATCTAATGTCCCAGTAGAATTCGGTGTATTGGGATGCGATGATAGTATTGTAGCTGTTTTAACCGAATGTTTAGAATCACCACTGATTGTACTTGCTGTTGAACGAAATGAACTCGTTTTCTTTGTGACGGTTAGATCTTCAATATCACTGGTCGATTTTTGTTTACGCAATTTAGATAGGAGTGTTTTACGTAAAGAAATACGACGATCGGCACTATTAGATAAAGAAACACGACGTGGACCTTGACTAGCACTACGAGATGTTGAATCATGTGGATCTGACCTTGAACGTAAAACAAATCCACCACGATTTTCATCCATACGTTTATCTCGTTCACCTATGAGGCACGAACAAAGATGAATAGTTAGACAATAGAAGAGGACAGAAAAGTGATTATCTTACGTTGTGTTCGCTCATCGTCTTCTATTGAGCGAAGAGATGTTAAAGAATCGCGTACATCTTTCGATCGATAACGTGAGGCAAGACCATATGGTACACTGCGTCGAATTCCAAAACCGTGGCGGAGCCCTTGTTGTATCTGACCATGATAAACACCACCATCTGCATAGATTTCTACTCCATAACCATCTTGAAGACCGTTAGCCCAAGTGCCTTCATAACGAGCGCCTGATATATCCGACACACGTACACCATATCGTCCTTTAAAGCCTTGTGTCCATTCACCTTTGTAAATCCATCTTCCTTTTTTCTCCACTCCCAATCCATGACGTTTTCCACTCATCCATTGTCCTTCATAAGAGTTTCCTGACGGCTATAATAATGATAATAATAAATAAATATATATATATATACATATGGATATATATAGACAAATAGATAGATCGATAGATGAATAGATAGGTTGATATTTATAGATCCGAGACGATCGAAAAATGAAAAGAAAAAAAAAGAAATAAAACATCTAATTACCCATAAGTAAATGCCGGAAAATTCATAACCATATTGCCATGCACCAGAGTATTCACCTTGACCTTTGGGACCTGTACATACACCGTGTCCATGTGCTTTACCATCATTCCAACCTCCACAATAGGTACCGC